TGGTGGAGGTGATCCTGCTGCATTGGCATCACTAAGTGGGACTGCTATTGTGGGTGAAGGTGGCCTCCCAGGACAACTGGGGTGCCAGGCCATCACACCCTCCTCCCTGCACCTGGGACACTGCCTCCTGGGTGGGGAGGTGTAGCTGTTGATTTCAGGCGATGGAGGTAACCCGGCAGTGTTGCCGTTGGCGTCACTGAGTGTTTCCGCTATTGTGGGTGGAGGCAGCAACCTGGGTGCCAAGCCGTTACACCCTCCTTCCTGCACTTGGGACACTACCTCCCAGGTGGGGGGGGAGGGGGGTGGCTTGCTCTTTCTCCTCCCGAGAGGCTGCTTCTGGTGGGGCAGCTCCTTGTGCTATGCATTCCTGCGCAGATGCCACAGGTGGCTGCCTTGTGACAGTATTTCGCCTCATGATTGACCCCGAAGCAGTTGTAGCACACCACAGGGGGAAGAGTCCACTGACTGATGTTACTAGGGGTACCATACATGCCAAAGAAGCAGTATTCCTCAGGAGGTTGTTCCTTCCTTTTCCAAACAAAGATGGTGCTACTAAGTGGTGCACCATCCTTATAAAGTCTTCTTGCTCTGTGGATGCCCAGAAGTGACAGAGCCCAATAGCCTTGGGGAAGTGGGTGACAAAGTATGCCTTCATTTTTTTTGGGTTGGACTGGTTCATCTCGCTTAATGAGATGTAGTGAGCCGACCTTTCCATCAATGAAGTGTTTGATAGCATCCGTCTCCTCTCGGCCTACATAGACGAAATGAGGGGTGCTACCTGGCATGACAACATTCAGCGTAGGCGTGCAATATTCCTCATTCAGGGCGCTCAACCACTTCATCTTCATCAAATTGGTTGTGTTCTCGGGGAAGGCAAGGCACATGTAGTTACCCCTGGGAGGGATGCACCTATTGGCTCTACTCTGCTTCCTTCCTTGGGTCCTCATTTTGCATTTCTGCTGACGAGTCTTAAACTTCTGAAAGCCAGCTTCAGTGTCACCACGACTGTCCTCATCTTCATTTCCATTGTCAGGAACATCAGCAGAGCGCCGCCTCCTGCCATGGTTATATTTAAATGGAATCTAGGTCTTATACACTTGGGCAGAGAGGTGATATGTAGGCCAGCGGTATCCTTGAGTAACACTGATAGGAGTTACGCTCAATATTCACCAACTCCCTTGTTAATTTCCTGTTCCCACCAGCCCAGTATAACCACGGTAGTCACGTGAGACACCACATAAAGTCATTAACATGTGGTAATCGCCACCGGCAGTGGAGGGGGGTGGCTGGGAGCCACAGAGCTGGGGCCCAGGAGTAGTCTTCACGGGTACCAGGGGACTGTGGATGCCAGAAGCTTTACACATGGTCATAACTCACTGACACTGATGTGAAGTCACTAAGTCTAACACTGTTTCACAATGTGCGAAATACTGTATAAGTTAGTTTGGTTATCCTTAGGTGTGTGGCACACAGTTGGTGAACGATGGCTGGGAGGCGCAACCCTCTTATGATGCGAGGTAAGTTGACCTTTATAGTCCCATACGTAAGACGTAGGCAGCAGGCAGAATGCTGGCCTTGCACCTCAGTGTCTGACCTCAACCTTAATGGCTGGGACTGAGTGTGACTGTATCACGTCATTCATATTTTCCTCTATACAGTTTGGTTATGGTACATAATTATACAATCTACGTTTATAGGGCCGAGGTAACGAGATAACTAAGGCACACACGATAACTTCTCTCACCTGTACTAAGCTTCACACAGCCCTGAAGCCCAGTCAGGTCAGAGGACGACGAGCGGGTGTGACGTCCCCCTACGGTGCCCATAGATGAACGGACTTTTTACATAAAAATTTAGATTTCTTATGTTTTTGTAAAATGAACTGGTCATTAGTAAGTAAATAATGTACTAATCGGACACTGAAAACACCTCAGTCAGTTGCTGACTCACCGGGAGAAGACTGAATTTAATTACTTCGTCAGCATTTGTCATGGTATGTGCATTTATAGTCGCCTGTATCACCCATCTGGCACTGTACGAAATTCCACTCTGTAGGGAGGATGTCTGTACAGAGATATTTTGTTATTTTATTGTACATAATACATAATGTGAAAATCTGGTTTGTTTTCATTTTACAACCTATATATATATATATGCAAGTAAATCACTGTAGTTGTGCGTGATCCTGGTATATGCCGATAACCACAAGGAAAGAAGAAAACACGAAAGTAGATTTCCCGAAAATTCGATAATCTACTTTCCCGAAAAGTAGATACTTACGATCTCGAGAATTCGAACTTCTAATTCTCAAAAGATCGTAAGTATCTACTTTTCGGGAAAGTAGATTATCGACGTTTGGGAAAATATTACCTAATTTTCTGAATTAGATTATCATAGAAAACGGGAAATTTGTATCACAGAAAATGGGAAATATCTACTTTCTGGGAAAGTTGGCTATCTACTTCTCATAGAAAACGGGAAATTTATATCATAGAAAATGGGAAATATCTACTTTCTGGGAAAGTTGGTTATCTACTTTCCCGAAAAGTAGATTATCTACTTTTCGGGAAAGTAGATTATCGATTTTTGGTAAAATATTACCTAATTTTAAGAAGTAGGTTATCATAGAAAACGGAAAATTTGTATCACAGAAAATGGGAAATATCTACTTTCTGGGAAAGTGGGTTATCTACTTATCATAGAAAACGGGAAATTTATATCATAGAAAATGGGAAATATCTACTTTCTGGGAAAGTAGATTATCGACTTTTCGGGGAAGTAGATTATCGATTTTTGATAAAATATTACCTAATTTTAAGAAGTAGGTTATCATAGAAAACGGGAAATTTGTATCACAGAAAATGGGAAATATCTACTTTCTGGGAAAGTAGGTTATCTACTTATCATAGAAAACGGGAAATTTATATCATAGAAAATGGGAAATATCTACTTTCTGGGAAAGTTGGTTATCTACTTTCCCGAAAAGTAGATTATCTACTTTTCGGGAAAGTAGATTATCGACTTTTTGGGGAAGTAGATTATCGATTTTTGGTAAAATATTACCTAATTTTAAGAAGTAGGTTATCATAGAAAACGGGAAATTTGTATCACAGAAAATGGGAAATATCTACTTTCTGGGAAAGTGGGTTATCTACTTATCATAGAAAACGGGAAATTTATATCATAGAAAATGGGAAATATCTACTTTCTGGGAAAGTTGGTTATCTACTTTCCCGAAAAGTAGATTATCTACTTTTCGGGAAAGTAGATTATCGACTTTTTGGGGAAGTAGATTATCGATTTTTGGTAAAATATTACCTAATTTTAAGAAGTAGGTTATCATAGAAAACGGGAAATTTGTATCACAGAAAATGGGAAATATCTACTTTCTGGGAAAGTGGGTTATCTACTTATCATAGAAAACGGGAAATTTATATCATAGAAAATGGGAAATATCTACTTTCTGGGAAAGTTGGTTATCTACTTTCCCGAAAAGTAGATTATCTACTTTTCGGGAAAGTAGATTATCGACTTTTTGGGGAAGTAGATTATCGATTTTTGGTAAAATATTACCTAATTTTAAGAAGTAGGTTATCATAGAAAACGGGAAATTTGTATCACAGAAAATGGGAAATATCTACTTTCTGGGAAAGTGGGTTATCTACTTATCATAGAAAACGGGAAATTTATATCATAGAAAATGGGAAATATCTACTTTCTGGGAAAGTTGGTTATCTACTTTCCCGAAAAGTAGATTATCTACTTTTCGGGAAAGTAGATTATCGACTTTTTGGGGAAGTAGATTATCGATTTTTGGTAAAATATTACCTAATTTTAAGAAGTAGGTTATCATAGAAAACGGGAAATTTGTATCACAGAAAATGGGAAATATCTACTTTCTGGGAAAGTGGGTTATCTACTTATCATAGAAAACGGGAAATTTATATCATAGAAAATGGGAAATATCTACTTTCTGGGAAAGTTGGTTATCTACTTTCCCAAAAAGTAGATTATCTACTTTTCGGGAAAGTAGATTATCGACTTTTCGGGGAAGTAGATTATCGACTTTTTGGTAAAATATTACCTACTTTTAAGAAATAGGTTATCATAGAAAACGGGAAATTTGTATCACAGAAAATAGGAAATATCTACTTTCTGGGAAAGTTGGTTATCTACTTTCCCGAAATATCTACTTTCTGGGAAAGTAGATTATCTACTTTTCAGGAAAGTAGATTATCGACTTTTTGGGGGAAGTAGATTATCGACTTTTGGGAAAATATTACCTAATTTTCTGAATTAGATTATCATAGAAAACGGGAAATTTGTATCACAGAAAATGGGAAATATCTACTTTCTGAGATAACCTACTTTCCCAGAAAGTAGATATTTCCCATTTTCTGTTATACAAATTTCCCGTTTTCTATGATAATATAATTCAGAAAATTAGGTAATATTTTACCAAAAAGTCGATAATCTACTTCCCCTTAAAGTATATAATCTACTTTCCCGAAATGTAGATACTTACGATCTTTTGAGAATCCGAACTCGATCTTTCTAATTGCCCCCAAGTTCGAACTTAAGAGAAAAATGACTTCCAATCTTTCTAATTGTCATAAGTTCGAACTTAAGAGAAAAAAAATAACTTACGAGTAGATACTTACGATTTTTTGAGTATTTACGTAATTGAGTCACGCATGTGACTCCCAGAATAAAACTGCATTAACGTTTCTTTAAAAGTCTGTTTTGTAGATGTTCCATCATGACATCTTATGTAATGCTCTCTAGTACAGTGCTTTACAGACTAAGCTGGCCAAACTCTCCCCCCTGTAATTTTCATTAAAAACATGTTTGTGGGATTTCAAGAGGTTTGGGAAGTTTTTTATTTTGTTGTACGAACTTATTACCTCAGCATTTATAATGGGAGGCTATGAGAAAAAGTGATCCAATTTACAAAAGTAGTTTCAGGACCTGTATGCAGTATGGTTAAAAACAAAACAAAATTCACAACAAATAATTCATAAATTTATTAACATTCCCAAAAGAAATGAAAATAGAAAACATTTAACATGACTAACTAACAGAAGTTAACATTAACAGTTTTATAACAACATACTACAGTTAAGTACAGTGTTGCACAAGTTCCTTACCAGTAGTGAGATGAAGCAAGCACCTGATTTCACCAGCCCCCCCCTATAATCCCCTAAAGTAGAGCACAGGTGTATGACAAATGTGATTAAAATAGTATTACCGCACGAAACCTGAGAAAAAAAGGCTATCATTATACAGTTTCCATCGAGATAAAATATATACCGTACTTAATGCATAATCCACTTATCCTTAAATTACTATACTGTACTTGCCAAATTTCATGACAGCATCTCTCCCCCATTTACTGTAAACAGAACCCATATCCACAGACAGTTCGACCAGACAGACATGTTGAGACTAATGAAGTGTAACTCAATTATTTCCTAATACTATACAGAACCGACAATTGCAATGCCATTAAGAAACACTAAAATACTTACATTGAAACTACATTACATCACAATTCACAATATAAACAATCAAATTGGAAAATATAAAAATAAATAATGGCAAATGACTCACAACCTTTTGATATTCTAGTTTACAACATTAACAACAGCTTTGGAATATTCACAAGCTTAAAAAGTTCCTAGTTGATTAAACCCAGCAAGTGTTGTGAGAAGAGGATACAAAAATTGCTTGCAGGTGCAGCATTTACACTTATAAACTCGACTCTCTCTTCACCTATGGAAGCAGCAGCTAATAACATCAAGGCAGATCTATAGCCCAAAGGTTTTTGGCTATTTGTGCAGACGACGTAAAAATAAATAACTATCATACATTAAAATAATGTAAATGAAATAACAGCACATGCATTTGCTTTGCGTTATATTTCGTAACCGACTTTTTATTATCAGTAATTATTAGTGCTAAAATGAACCTAATAAACATTAATACTTTTCAGTGTTTACCATATTAAAACATCAACAAAACAACCATCTGTTCGCTCTGGCATTGCAACATCATCATCAAATATATGTTTTGAGTGTGATGACTTGTCTTTCACTTCAGATGTGGGACATACACAGAACACTCATCTGGTAACACTAATGAGTACAATGTTTCCAGTTATTAGTTAACCTTAGCTCTTGAGAATATGTTTTGTTGTGGGCATTACTCATCCTGTGTGGAAACGAGTTCTACACGAACATGTATACAGTATAAGGTTTGCTGCTTCGAAAGATAGCTTATATCTTTGTTTCACACATTCACAAAATTAATTATAATATCAACAAAACTTAAAATGAGCCTCTTAAAATAGAGGCATTATTAAGGGGGACCTCTACCCCATGAATCAAAGGGGGACTCCCTATGAGTATGCTACAAGAACTTGACTGACTTCAACAGTGTCAAACTCGCCCCTAGACACATGAATCTGGACAAATTGGTATCTCTAAAAGGACACGGTATATACTGTACTGAAACACCAACAGACAGTGTGAACATCATCAAAATGACAGGTTAAGATGGGCAAAGAATGCCAAGTAAAAAATGAGACACTGACAGTCGTCAACGGATTAACCGATTTAGGAATACAGACTCGAGATGGTCAGAGAAAGCCTACCATGGGCAGTCGGCCATATTAATAACCACAACAATAATTAGATTATGATGTGATGTAACAGCCAAATATTGTAAACACTGTAGGAGTGTAGTGGACCATACTGGTTGCTTAGGTGGTGGAGGAGCGACGCCTGGCACACATGTATGCCCCCAACACCACTGCCTGTGGGAGGAAGAGTAAAAGGTGTAACACAAGTATGAAGAGATCCTCACCTTACTTTATACTGTACAGTATTATCCTCTTTACTCCTAGTCAGCTTACTAGCCAATCAGACGGTCAGTCTGTTTTCCTTTAAGTACAGTACTCTAGATCCAGGTTCCTGGATGTACCTGAACTTGTGCCAGTGTTAGTCAAGTCTGGTCTTAAATGAACTACTTGGTACTGTCACAGCATTCTCTGTCATGTTATTCCAAGAATTTACACATTTACTTCAAAGAAGTTAGCTCTGACAGTTTTCTGTATTTTTAATTTCTTTAACTTGAGGGTGTTACTCCTTGTGGGGCAGCCATCTATTACCATCGGAGTATGAACACTTGACTGTACTGTAGTGTCTTTTGAGGTGCTTAGAAACCGGATGATCGTCATACTCGATTCTGAGTGACAGCAAAGTAGTATAAATCTTTACTTTTATCCACTTGACCAATGATCAGCTCGTTAGCCGCTTGGGCAATCGGTCACATCTCTGTTACGCACTATTGGCAAGTACTGGCTCCTGAATGTATCTAAACCTGCTCCAATGCTTGTTAAATCTGACCTTGAAAGAGCTCACACTCAGTGCCGTCACAACACTCTCTGGCAGATTGTTCCAAGAGTTCACAACTCTCGCTCCGAAAAAGTTACCCCTCACAGTTTTCAGGACTTGTCCTTCAGTAATATAAACTATGCAATTGAAGAATTTTTAATCTCTCTTAGTATGTTTCAAGAAATCACATGTGTCAGGCCCAAGCAAGACTTAAACCCATGACCTAGTAGTAAGAGATATGCATGTCACCACTGTGCCACCAATACCAACCAGACAGTTAAATTTTTTCACTATATTTATACAAACTACTGATAACTGCTGCATGTTTAACAATATAATGAATAATTACTGTAAAGTTTCATGGAGTAAGCACTGCATAGTCTTGTATTTGCAGTCATACTCCAGTTATTTTTGTTAACTGCCTTTGGCCATTTTGCATCTCTTCATTTTCGTACTCAAAAGCGTAGCAAAGATACTAGTATTAATATACTAATTTGACAACATTGTACTGCACTTATATATTGCCCAAAACACTGTTTTCTTGATTGATGGTATTGTCAACAATCTAAAAAGGGTTACAAGGCACTAGGGTAAGAGGCACTCATCAAGACAACGACGACCAAGACACTCACCAAGGCGATGGGCAGTAGGACAGTGATGGTTGTAGAGGTGGCAAAGTTGACATATGGGGTCATTATTCCAGCATAAAGTGGCCCCAGCATCTCCCTGTGTGAGAAGTCGCTTGTAAAGAGGAGACTTGTCTGCAGGAGTGACTTGTCAGCAGGGAGAGGGATGGGGGGGGCAAGAGTATCAAAGGAGGAAAGTTTATATTTGTTTCGATTTTGTAACCTTTTGGAATTCTGTAGAGAGAAAAAATTGATTATCCCAACCACATGAAATCCTCTAAAACAACACCAGTAAGGAAAGTACCACAACCACATGAAATCCTCTACAACACCAGTAAGGAAAGTACCACAACTACATGAAATCCTCTACAACACCAGTAAGGAAAGTACCACAACCACATGAAATCCTCTACAACACCAGTAAGGAAAGTACCACAACCACATGAAATCCTCTACAACACCAGTAAGGAAAGTACCACAACCACATGAAATCCTCTACAACACCAGTAAGGAAAGTACCACACCACATCAAATCCTCTACAATGTCATGGTCACAATAGCATAGCTAATCTATTTGACACCTAATAATTCATATTATGCTCCACGCCCACAAAATGTGTGAAACTGTCGAGTTCCCCAGTTGAGACGTCCATGCTCTAACCGCTTCAGGAGACCTGAGTCCTCCATTTTCATTTACGCATTACCGCAGACTCTGGTATTGCTAAATACCTCATAGGGCGTTCACAAATTTGAAATTGTGAGTGAATGAATTTATTGTACAGTCAACGATGTATAGCCACAGTGAGAAAATATTCTAGGTGTATGGAGATGCTGAAGGCTTCTTGTATCTTGTTGGAAACCAGTACAGGTGCAGTTTACCCAGCAATCAAGTTTCTATTGATAAATCTGCATTTCTAATGTATCTAACTACTGTACCACAAACAGGTACTTACCCAAGGGAGTAGGTGGCCGACCACAGTCCTCCTACCACACTGAACGTACTGATGTCCACCTCCTCCCCTGTACTGTGGAAGGGAAATTTATCTTGTGTAAGACTTGATGGAATGAAGAACATCAAAGAAAAATAGCTTACGGTAAGAAATGTAAGGTGCCAGGAGTGGCTAAACCACTTCTGTACATATATATTCAGGATGAGAAGTGGGGAAAGCATTATCATAGATAACAATGTAGAAAGAAGTGGCAGAGAGCATGTATTGCTCCTAAGTACAAGAGAAGAAAATAATAGAAATTTAATGTAAAAATGAGAAGGGGATTAAGGCAGATAAAAAAAAGCAATGTTTGCAAATAAATGAGAAAAATATAAATTGTTGAATCCTGTCTCCTATAGTGAAGGTGACAACGTCCAGTACTTGTATAATGCCACTGTGGTTGATCACTATTTTCAGGGATGGGGTAATGAGAAAGGTGAACCAAGAGTAATGTAGAGGGATGCAAGTTCAGCAAATACTGATGCAATACGCAGACAAGGCGAGTCGGTTGCTTTAGTGGCTGATTCGGAAAAAAGACAAATATTAGTGAATAAGATGGTAAGTGTATAGTAGGAGAAATTTAATAGTAAAGATGGAAGACAAAGAAATGAATGTTAGTTTGAGTTGACATTACAATATGGGCAAGAAAACAGACTAGATGCAAGACGACGGAGTGATTGATCGATTAAAATATCTGGTGTTGCAGCCTGTGACCAGATGCAAGAGGAACACACTACTTAAGAGGGAATAGGAATGATGCACTTGATATCAATGTGTGGTGAAAAGTACATAGAGAATAAACTGAAGACGGAGATGAACTATTGGAGAGAGGAGCTGACCTGGGTGTGCAAAGTTAGTACACTGTTAGTAACTGTAAATAAGATAAGGAAAAAATAATCTAAATTTCAAGACTTTAAATCAGTTGTAAATCCACACTAAGTCTGTCTGAGTTTTGGACAAGGGGTAATATCTCACCTGATGGATGCATTGAGTATGGCTCCATAGGTTGGCACTATACACAAAGCTGAGGCCAGACCAAGCAGCACTATCCCAATCACATCCTGATTGTACAGCCTGTAATGTTAAAATGTACCATCTTATTATGATTGGGCAGCCTGTAACACCAAAATCCATATACCAATTTGTTATGATGGTTCAACTTGTAATACCAAAATAAACCAGTATGCTATGATGGTACAACCTGTAATACCAGTGTGCACCAATTTGAACTAAGGATATTCTGAAAATGGTTAGTCTTAAAAAAGAAAATATATTGGTTTACAACACCAGCTAGTAATGGGGAGGTGTTAGAACTGACAATCTATAGCACACAAATATGCCACCCTGATAATAGGGACAGCCAAGGCAATAGTGTTGAAGGGTGTTAGCATTGGGACAGTTACAGAGTTTACAGGAAGAGAAGTGTGGGTCATCCCCCACCACAAATATATGCCAAACAGGTCTGCATCCCTAACACAGACACATCATTATGTCAGCGGACCGTAAGTCCATGTCGACGATATTTGTATGGAAGCCCACGTGCTATATGGTCTGATGAGATATGGATAAGGAAGAAAGTGATCATAGTGTTGGATGGATACATTTCCAGCCCATTTACTATCCCTGTGATGGACTGTAGGGAGAAGAGTGGCTGAACGTATTCTCTTTTGGTAGGTTATGCAGTTTATATTTTGGCCTAAAAAATCCTGATTGGACAGCCTAGTTTTGAGAATTCGTTATTGGTTAAGCTCAATAGAAAGAATTGCAAATAAATGTGTAATGATGTGTGTCTTATTTTAACCTTTAGTTAAGATTTTTTTTTTATAATTTACTGTGAATTTATTTTAATATTTGAGACAATTTTGTTGTTACTTTTTACTTTCAGTACTTGAGTATTTTAAGAATTACACTGTACATTATATACTTTTTTACTTCTACTTCGGTATATTGACATTTGGATATTTTTACTTCTACTTAAGTAACATTTTGCCAATGTAACAATATTTTTACTTAAGTAACAAAGCTCAGTACTTTTTACAAGCCTGGTTGTGCTTTTTACTTTTCCTCTTACCCTCTTCACCACTGATCGGCTCGTTAGCCGCTTGGGCGATCCGTCCCGTCTGTTACGCACTGTTGGCAAGTACTGGGCATGCACCGGCTCCTGAATGTACCTGAACCAGCTCCAGTGTTGGTCAAGTCTTGTCTTGAAAGAGCTCACACTCGGTGCCGTCACAACACTTTCTGGTAGATTGTTCCAAGAGTTCATAACTCTTTCTCCTAAAAAGTTTGCCCTCACAATTTTCTGGACTTGCGGCTTCTTCAATCTTGAGCTGTGACCCCTTGTGGGGCGAGCGTCCGCCAGCTCCAAGTAAGGACACTCGACTGAGTAGTGCCCCTTGAGATGCTTATACACCTCAATTAGGTCACCCCTTGCCCGTCTGTAGTATAAGCTAGGCAAGTTCAGGCGCTCCAATCTCTCAGGGTAGCTGAGGTGCCGAAGGGCAGGCACCAGTCTGGTGGCCCTCCTTTGAACCAACTGACAGTCCCTGGTATATCTGGGGGACCAGACGGGGTGACAGTACTCCAGATGGGGAAGCACTTCACTCTTGAAGATCGTTACGAGGGACAGACCGTCTAGATATCTGAACGACCTACTTATAAAACCCAATAATTTATTTGCCTGATTTACCTTCTTCTCGCAATGGCCCGAGAACTTCAGCTCATTGTCAACACACAAACCTACAGTAGGTCCTTCTCACATTCAGTCTCAAATAGTGCAGTTTCTTCATCCCGTTGGGACATATGATACGCCTCCTTACCGTTGGTACGCCCCAGGTGCATCCTAGGGAAGACACAACCTACAAGATTCATCAACTACTTACTGGTCATGCGAGAGATGTGGGAGGAGAGGGGAGTTGCCAATGAGGAGGTAAGAGACAGCTGTGAGCAGAAGGCCAGCCAGCATGAAGCCCCAGGGACACCCATAGCGGTCCGTTGCCAGACCCACCAGAGGGGCAGACACTCCATATGCTGCTGACAATAGTAAGTACACCAGCCCCACGCCCTCTACTGAGACTCCTAGCTGTAGGGGAACAAAGACAAGTAAACTGGAGTAAAAAATATTTGTGTAAGACAATAATAAAAGCTTTACTTGAAAGACTACAGTATAAAATATAAAGAAAATTTTACATTGCCTACAATTTAAGGAAGAAAAGGCAATTAACGAAATTGTAATCTCATTAAATGATACTTTAAATTGCTACAGATGGTGTCTATTCCAATTTCCTATTTTAATTTGTAGGAGCCCTTGAGTGGAGAAGGAAGATGCAAAGGGTTCTGACCTTGCTCATATGGGGCTGTAGTGTGGGGTAGAGGACAGCCACACACACAGCTGAAGCACATAGGATCAGGAGTGAGACGATGGCCCCGGGGCGTCCCAGCACTTTCAACACGCCTCCTATCCCTCGGCTTGGTAGGACTCTCACCTCTGCATACACAAAAGGAGTACTGGTGAATAATCATGAAAAAGTACCTGAACAAAAGAGTGAGAGTACTGTACTGATGAAATAATAATGAGCTTCAAGAGCTGACTGAAACAATGCAGGGCAGATCAAATTTAAGTTTTATCTGAGAATATCAAACGTGAAAACTAACAACCACACTCTGGAGACAAGATCCAGCATTCAAGGAAAAATTATCATTTATTACAACTCTGGTCACTGAAGAATATTTTTATATAAGGTATTACTCATACAGTATATGGGTGGCCAGTCATAGAGAATACATGTGCCAGGACTGAGATAGGAGAGATCTTGAACCATACATCAAGGGAGTATCAAACTAGTGTCCTGGAATCTTATCACATCAAGGTTATTGCACCACTGTTTATACAATAATACTGTTCCCATAAATGGAAACACTGTAAAGTTCTGAGTCTCTAACCACAGTGTGTTATCATGTGGTTTCTTTCATCACCAGAGTTTAAAGTCTGTGTCTTACCATCATCAGGGAAGGCGACGTAGCTGGCTGGAATTGTGAGCAAGATAAGGACCCCAAGGCCGTAGAAGGGCAAACTGAAGCCTCCTTCCTATGAATAAGATATAACATGTTAAAACCAATGATACTGTAATTACTATACAGTATAATAATTTTTGCCATACAAAAAGAAGCAGGTAATGAGAACATCAGAGAAAGTGGTAGGTAGTAGGGGGATAAGGCACAAGGACAGGTAGCAGGTGAGGGAGAAGCTCAGAGACAGTGTAAGGGTTTGCTTCTTTGCCAAGACGATCAACAGTGTCTTCTGCAGAAATTCCTGTGTGGTAGGATCCAGAGAAACTTAACACAGATGGAGGAGGTGGTCGTACACCCACTGATCCCCTGCAGATCATGAAAGTAATGCGAAATAATGACTCAAGATGATACACATGGCACATCTGAGTGTTGTGGTGAGGATACTGTTTACTGGGTAATTCAAGTGATGGGAAGAGTGACCCATCCCCGAAGATAGTTTCTGGTGATGGGAGGATAGTTGCCTATTCCTGAAGACAGTTCCAGGTGATGGGAGGATAGTGGCCCATCCCTGGAGACGGTTCCTGGTGATGGAAGGATAGTGGCCCATCCCTGGAGACAGTTCCTGGTGAGGGGAGGTTAGTAGCCCAAAGAGGGTTGGTGTGGGATGTTATAAAAATAAAATCTGCACACTAATTCTCCAATAAAAATGTACCACTGGGTTAAGCTGGCTATAGAACACTGATCATGACAAACGTATGACAAGTCAGCCTCAGGCAATCTGCAACTAGATTCTCCAATCATCCCAGGTACTGGAAAATCAAGCTACCCAATAGTTACAAGGGCACATTTCCCACAAATCCAAGTAATGGAGTTTTCTCCACTTCCCACAGGATATTGGAAAATAAACTATCTTCCGATGCCAGGTATTATAATATCTCTAGCAATCCCGAAGACCACAGAAAAGGATTTCCATCTATCCAGAATAGTACAAAGGAATCTTACCGAGTAGAGCCACACGCCGACAGCAGGTCCAGCACACATGCCAAGCCCCACGGCCGTCTCCAACATCCCATTCACCGTGTTCATGTTGTCTGGAGACAAAAGCATACCAGTTATTATAAGTTCTTGTAAAGACAATCTTCTTGGTGTGCAAGTTGAGTAAGTGAATAATAAATTAACCTTCAAGGGAATGTCATTGAACATTCTACAACTGTATAAATTTGTTCACAAACAATACAAATAAAATGTTATAATTTTTAGTAAAATTAATTAAGGTGCTTATGAAGAGTAGAAATGACTGTGGGACTCACCGGTGAAGAGGATGGGCACGATGGAGTAGATAACAGTGAGGAAACAAGCAGCGCCTACAGCTGCCAATGCCCGCAAGCTGATGCTCACCACCACAAACGCCTCTGGTTCTTTCACATACTTCACCATCCTGAAAGAAGAAATGTTGGACATCATATCAGGAAGGCACTAAGACACTGTAGGAGGAGGAAGGCATGCAAGGAGAAGGGTGTCAGGCCAATTTGTATTTATCCAAAGAAAGTGTCATTTACCAGTCTTGTAATGATACACCATGTTGAGACATTTGACCATTTACGAGTACAGTATATTTATGTAAGTTGGGACATCTAAATTATAATACAAAAGACCTTAAACTCCTCTTAATATGAACTCAACGTCTTCACACTTAATTTATAAAATGTTCTTCACTCTTCATTTGCAACACCACCTTGACCTCTTCATTTACTGTACACAATGCACATGACTCTCCCCATCTTTTAGGACACAGCATCAACATTTAGACTTGGGAGAACATTATATCTGCAGTAATGTCAAGAACATACCCAAAGCTGATGTTAGCAAGGCCAGTAAGCATAATCCCCACCAGGTAAACATCTTGTAGTCTCAGCAGAGGCAACTGATGTGGACATAAGGTGAATAAACAAAGATGAGAAAATAAAAAGAGTTGAGTTTTATTACAACTTAATACTGTTCTGTATGTTACTAAACAACACTTGCCACAGTACAGTAATATCTCTGTTAGCCGGAATCCCTCAAACCCGGAACTCTCCGATAGCCGGAATTTAAATTTTCTCGGAAAATCGTTCCCAAAGACGGAATTTTCCAGAAAATTGCGGCTCAGAACAATTTTCCGGAAAATTCTGAGAAAATTTCCGCGATATTAAAAAAAATCAGAGGATGAGGGATATTTTGCCGGGTTTGAGAGATGATGTAATGGGCAATTTTTGGAACTACCGAGAAAATTTTTCCGTTACCCGGAAAATTCCGGGGATGAGGGAATTTTTCTGGCTTTGAGAGAGTCGTCTCGTTCCCGGAAATCTCTCATTCCCAGAAGTGCCCTGCACCAATTGTTCCGGCTAATGGGGATATCACTGTATTCTATATATAATCATACAACTTTTAGAGGCAATGGCATTTTTTTTTTACTTTTTACGCTAACAGGACCATGCCTCTGAATAGCTTGACACCACTGTACAGTTTTTTATTACATCAACGAGCAAATTTGGTGTATTATTGCATACAGTGCAGGAGGAGTGAGTTTTAACAGCTTCTTGATGATAAGATGACATATTATAAGCTACGTTGCAAACATTCTAATGTATCTTATAAGATTACACCCAACAATTTACTGTACACAACTGAGAATCACCCTGCACTATATAACATATATATACACACACCTTCTCCCCTGGCCTATGCAATTCTGTAACAGGAAAGTGGATTGTGTTTTTAAATACTGTACATATACTGTAACATTAAAAACAAGAGAAGAGTAATAATCAAGGCAAGTGCAGAGCAAGTCAAATTTATATCAAAGAAAAATGAATGAAAATTATTGTACAAGATCAATATCCAAGATAATGACAATTCAGTTTTTATAAGAGAGGAACTACAGTACTGACAAACTTTCCAATGATGGGCGAGGAGATGACCATGACAAAGGAGTACACACTGAAGATGATACCATCCAGGGTGTCGCTCAACCCCATCTCGTGCACCTGCCACGCAACCGCCAGAAAAGGTACAGGCAGGTTAATGAGCCGATCAGTGGTGAACAGGATAAAAGTAAGTAGTACTGAGTGAGATTATATATATTTATTTTTCTACATGGAAGGTGTGTCAATTAGAGCCAGTGGTTCCCAACTTTTTAAATTTCACAGACCAGCAGAGTGAAAAAAACATTTTGATGGTCAGTAATTGTAAATATTTTATATTTACAATTCATATAATCCATATACAGTAGACCTTTGGTATTTCATGAGAATGGGACTGGTAATTGCAGCAAAATGTTGTTTTCACGATATATCTTTATATATAATTATATTGGGAAAGATACAGTAAAGAACAGACTGGAAGCATACAGCAAAAATAATCCTTTTAAGGCCTGTATTTCACTAAACATTGGTAGCAGTGAGGCTCCACAGTAATATGTACAGTACAGTATTTTAACGTCTTTTAATAATCTTTACACAGCAACTTAGGCGATTATAGTTTTAACAAAATTTATAAAATGAGATAATGCAAGACATTCCACTCTCTGAGTGACTTACTGAAGCCTACACCATCCCCTAGGCCTCCCATGAATCACCTGACAGTTGCCAGAGATTAAATATATACCTGTATTAAATTTTACCAATTCATCACCATATATTTATAAATGATCACTAAGTTTAACATTATATTTTACGCCGAAATTATAAAGAAAATAAGAGACGATAAACAAATTTGACGGGCCTGTAAATTTCAAGCCATGGACCAGTAACAGTCCGCAAACTACAGGTTAGGAACCACTGAACTAAACCATCCTATATCATTAGTAGTTTTAACCTCCTGTATAATTTTGTAAAGGGTGAAAGCAAACCAAAGCAAAAACAGATCATTAATAACTGTATACCACAGTACAGGAAGTGCAATACCCTGTATCTTTTTTTTTCTAATTGCATTTCCCCTGCACAAGAAACCAATATGTGGCACTCGTATCATCCATGAACAAAGACTGCCATGATAGAAATTTGGGGCACTTGGCACTTACCTGGTGTGGGAAGGTAAAAGTCATGACCTGTGCCACTGACCTGGTGTGGGAAGAAGGGAGCCATGATGGATATGGAAGCAAAGGCAAAGAAGTCAACAAGGATCATGGAGGAGAGGACCAGCAACTGCCTCCTGCTGAAGCGGAAGTAGGTACGACTGTGAGTGCCACTCTCAGTGCCGTTGTCCCAAGGAGGACTGGACCCAGTCGCTGTCACCTGACTTGTGTCACCTGATCCTGGGGCCCAGCTTGTGGGAGGAGGCAATGATGTAAGGTTAATCTGGCAGTATCACTTCAGCTTCACATTGTGGCTAGCAGTGGGACAGGACCTTTGTCGAAGCCTGTACTTGATGACAAACAACGTATGACTGAATACAAACCGATACAACTCAACCCAAACATACTTGGCCAAAATAATTTTATATGTTCATTTACATATGGTTAGGTTAATTTGTTATATACAGTACAGTAATAAATGACAAAAGCTTACTGATGCTGCTCACTTGATGTTGGACACATTTTGATTATGTCAAATTATTATTGCTTACTGATCTTAACACTTAAAAGAGTGAATATGGATTATTTTGGCCATGGGTGGTGACAGAGTAATGCAGGATCAGAACAGGTTCTACAGCAGCTAGGGACTCTGAAGAAGTGTGTCAAAGAGATGGCAATTAGCAGACCTATTGTTAGGGGAGAGGAGGAACAACGGGAACGTTTCCAGCACAGGAACAATGTACTAGTTTATGGAGTCCCTGAGACCCTGTCGTAGGAAGCTTAGAGTATGAAAACACACGATAAGATACAGTTTGAGAATATTTGTACCGAGGTTCTGAAAATGCCATCCTTCCCCCAAGATGTGAGGAGGCTGGGAAAACAGCAGGGGGACAAGCCTCAACCCCGTCAGGATCACACTAATGAGTGAGGAGAAGAAAGGGGAAATTATCCGGCATGCAAAACACTTAGCAAGGGGCGAGACTTTTCGGAATGGGTTCATACACCCAGATCGCACAGTAATGCAGAGGGAACAGCACAAGAAGCTCCTGCAGGGCTTGAAGCAGAGGAGGGAGGAGTTGACGAAGAATGGGGACGGGTGTACATGGGTTATATCCAGGGGAGGGTAGTGGAAGGAAGAAAGTGACACGGAGCCAGGGGCACACCCTCCACCCTCTCTACCTTCCAGCCGGGAGGAGGGGAGCACCGTGTAAACAATGACATTTCTAACCACACCCTGCAAAATACAGTGTACTTAGCTAATGCTGCAGCTTCTAAGAATGGAGAAAGGGGTGGGGGGTTACTGCTAAGAGCAGAGACATTATCGAGAACAAATTCCGGTTTGAATGTTGTGTACACTAATACCGACACGTTCCTTGATAAGAGAGAGGAGTTTGAAACACTACTGAAGGTACACCAACCCATTATTGTAGGAGTTGCAGAACTGTTGTACAAGAACAGGAGAATCGACCCAGAGGAATGCGAGTTCAGTATTGACAGATATGACTCATTTACGAACCTCTCTCAAGAAACTTGCAAGAGGGGTGTGGTTATCTATGCTAGGCAAGACCTTAGAGCCAGCCAGGCAAGGGTACAGGGAGAGAACATTTTTTTAAGAATCCAGTGTGGTGTAAAATTAAGTCAAAGGGAGGGGACTAACTTATTGTCGGGTGTATCTACAGATCCCCAAACTGTAGCTTACTAAATCAAAGGAAGTGAGATTCAATATCACGAAGTGCATGAGCATGCACCTGGGGCGTACCAACGGTAAGGAGGCGTATCATATGTCCCAACGGGACGAAGACACTGCATTATTAATTGAGACTGAATGTGAAAAGGACCTAGGTGTGTATGTTGACAATGAGCTGAAGTTCACGGGCCATTGCGGGATGAAGGTAAATCAGGCAAATAAATCATTAGGTCTTATAAGAAGGTTGTTCAGAGTGAAGTGCTTCCCCATCTGGAGTATTGTCACCCCGTCTGGTCCCCGAGATATAATAGGGATTGTCAGTCGATTGAAAATGTCCAAACGCGGGCCACCAAACTGGTGCCTGCACTACGGCACCTCAGCTACCCTGAGAGATTGGAGCGCGTGAACTTGCCTAGCTTAGACTAGATGGGCAAGGGGGGACCTAATTGAGGTGTATAAGCATCTCAAGGGGCACTACTCAGTCGAGTGTCCTTACCTGGAACTGGTGGATGCTCGCCCCACGAGGGGTCACAGTTCAAGGTTGAAGAAGCTTCAGGCCCAGAAAACTGTGAGGGGTAACTTTTTCTGAGTGAGAGTTGTGAACTCTATGAATAATCTGTCAGAGAGTATTGTGACGGCACCGAGTGTGAGCTCTTTCAAGACAAGACCAGACTTGACAAGCACTGCAGCAGGTTCAGGTACATCCAGAAGCCAGTGCATGCCCAGTACTTGCCAACAGTGCGTAACAGAAATGTGACCGATCGCCCCAGCAACTAACGAGCCGATCAGTAGTGAAGAGGATAAAAGTAAAAAATATAAAAGTACATTTCCGGTTTTATGCTGAATTAAGAAAGAAGGTAAAAATACTAACTTATAAAGAGTGGTTAGTCATACATGTGTCAATACTGCTATTTTGAGAAACTGTAGCGCCATTACCCCCAAAAAAAAAAAACGAGTTATTGTTATTTAACTTTCTTTTAAAATAACACATCATTAGCAAGTAATGATCAATATATTTCAGTTAATTTGTGAGAAAGAGGTGAAGTACCTGGGGGCGGTAAGTAGTCGAGTCTTCTCTTGGGATGGAGAGAGGGAGCAGGTCCCCTGAAGACACCCCAAACAGGACATCCCAGGAGCCTGATTTATCCCTTGACCACAGGGCACAGGACCCAATGACTGCGTAAAGCCTTGATGTAAGGTGTCTACTCTGGAGTGAGGAAAACCCCGATAAGTGGGGTGGATAAATTTTGGGTTAGATGCTTGGGTACATGCCTTGGGGAATGGGAGAATAGGGGAGAGACAAGGGATGTGAGCAGAGGCATGGGAGGGACACAAGGCAGATGAGAAAGCTGAGAAGGGAGGGGAACACTGAAAAGGAGGCCCCCTTGTGAGGGAGTCCAGGGTCACCACAGGAAAGGGAGCACTGCTCACCATCACTAGGGAAGGTATGGGTGTGGAGGTGGGGATGTGAAGGGGTTGTGTAGAAACAAGGGGCTGGAGAGGTGGTGTAGAGGTGGGTAGGTGAGGGGCGGCCACATTGGGGGGTGTGCGGTGAGTGCTGGTCAACCTGGGTAGTGTCTCCTGCAGCAGCCTCACCATCGCCGCCACATCTGCCTGGTCCTCACACCCATCACTTATCCCAGGGTTCACTGCTGGACCACCACCTGCAGCTCCACAACCCAAAAGTTCAGCATCACATTAATATTTTATGTGTACAGTACATACTTGGTAAAATGTATGACTAATATTTTTTACTATATGCTCACCATAGAATCAAGTAAACATGTCTACAATATTCTTGTGTATCCTCACAATCTAAAGTTCATCACAACATAAGTCCCCCTACTCCAACTGAAGTAAAAACCAAACAAATAACTAATACCTTGATCAGTAATTGTTGACGAGATATCCATCGTCCATTTTTCATAGAAAATTATTTTTAAAATGCCACAATTTCACTGTATTTTGTAGTTGACACAGTCATTGTTTGACAAATGTGTTAAAAAGAAGTTATTTCTAAATTAGACCTGACCTGACCTAACCTAACCTTAGATGATAAGAAAAATAAGCGGCAGAAGTGTGGTTAGAAGACTGCACCAACCTAACCATAGAAACCTACCTAATCTTACCTAACTTCCTAGCCATGGGGCTCCCCCCCAGACCCCCCCCAACATAATAAATAAAGGACTTACTAATACGGTATAATTTTACCCTCTTTGTGAACAAGAGGGAAGCTGTTCAGACCGAGCAGCTCATAAACATACACTGAGTGTAGGACAAAATCAAGCATCAATCGGGGCACCTTACCAATTTATCACCGCGCAAGATGAAGTAGTACATGTACTGCTACTGCGAGCATAAGGGCCCAATTATCTACCAAATGAAGCATCAAAACTAATAACATGGCAGTGAGTATCTCATGAATATTAACACCTTGATCTAGTTTGCCGTCAAAAAGATACATTTTAGGTTAGATTAGGACGTTAGAAGAAAGCCAAACTGGCACATTCTGCCGACATGATAATAATCACTATCAACACTTTTGGCATTTTCAAATGTCGGTAATTAATATAATTCATTACTGTCGAGTCTTTAAACACCTGGGAGCCATTGAATTACTTCTAGAGGACAGAGGCAACCCTAAAGAATGCACGACTGTAAACCTTTACTGTGACATTTATATACGAGGTCCGACACAAAAATAACGAGACTAACCCTATAACTCGGGAACCAAGAGTGGGAGGGACAAACAGACAGTAATTGAACATGTTCTAACCTATCACAGTGTGACAAGGCTCAATTTGATCGCTTCACCCAGTACAAGTGAACGCGTGTTGAAGTATATACGTCTTTTTACGCTCGGTCGGAAAATGTCAGACTGCAAAACTGAGAAACGAGTTATCAAGTTTCTCGTTCAACTTAAGAAATCCGCGGCGGAAACTTTTCATTTATTGACACAGGCTTACGGTGAAGATTGCATGTCTCGTGCACGCATTTTTTAATGGCACAAACGATTTTCGGAAGGCAGAGAAACCGTGAAAGATGATGACCGCCCAGGCCGTCCACGCATAGTAGTTACAGTACCAATGACAAAATTGAAAAAGTGCGAGATGTGATGAGAAAAAAAAAAATGTAGGTTGGGTGTTTGAGCAATAGCCAAGAAAGTTAATTTAGACAGGGAAAGTGTTCGACGCATCCTAACGGAAGAATTGAACATGACAAAGGTTTGTGCAAAAATGGTTCCAAAAATGACGTCAGATGAACAACACGCCAGCCCACAACGGTTTGTCTATGAAGCAGTTTTAACCAATAAAAACACTGCTTGAGCACCGACCCTATTCGCCAGACATGGCTCCCTGTGACTTCTACCTCTTCCCAACGATCAAGTCCGTGCTCAAAGGAACCAATTTTTTTCGGTAGAAGAGGTGAAAGCAAAAATGACGGAGCTCAACAGCCTTACAGAACATGATCTGCAGAATTGCTTTGAACTGTGGCAGCATCATATGCACCTGTGTGTCAACTCAAAAGGAAACTACTTTCAAGGCAATCATAATTGATTTTCTTAACTTGGTAAATAAAAAGAGTTACAGCACCAGTCTCTTTTTTTTTGTGTCGGACATTGTATAGAGTAGTAAAATGTATTTATATTTAAAATCAATATCGCAAAACTTTATCATTAAAATATAAAACCCTGAAAATTACTGCTTTTGCCCAGATCTATAAACTCTACTTTGTTTGAACAGCCCATACAGGTTATGTCAAGTACAGTAAAGAAAGACTCACAGTTGGCATTGTAAGTGCTGGATTCATCAGCTGGTAGTGCCAGTGTGACGTGTGTCGGGTCAAGAGCTAGTGCTGCTGACTTGGAATTGGCCAATGATTGGGTTGTGGGGTTCGGTGCATCGTGGGGAATATTACCCTCCTCATGGGACTGCGAATCCTGAATAGTCCTGAAGGAGGAAAAGGGTTAGGTCAGATCACCATATGGAGTACAGCCTAATCTACCTACCTACTACCTTATCCTAGCTTCTTTCAGTTAAAATTATGGTAATTACTGATGACTGACCCGCGGCCGATTTTCCACAGAAAACACTGTCGTAGTTTGTGCAAAATGTGCTCATAGTGGTTATTTCTAAATCAAATGTAACCTAACCTCAGTTAATATGAAAGACAAGCTGCAGAAGCGTTGTTAGAAGATCTGACCAACCAAACCTACCTAACCTTTCCTAACTTCCTAGCCGTGGACCCTCAGATAGATTAAACAAAAAGAAGTTGCCACGATATGGTGTAAATTTACGTTTTTTTGTGAGAGCAGCCGTCCGTACCAAAGGGTTCTTAAGCATACACCGAGCATCAGCATTGATCAAGCCCGGGCGGCGGAGTGTTTTCAATTACGCCAATATAATTGGTTGTTTACATCCTGGGATGAGACGTCACCACCGCATGACCGCCAATAAGACAAAAGTATTAAAAATTCCTAGGTGCTTAATTATAGACCAAACAAAGCATTTGCACAAGAAATGATTATCACATCAGAACTCATTGATGAAAATAAAGTAAGAAAGTAAACAGTAAAACCAATAACCCGTCAGCGGGTTAGTCGTCAATATTAACCAAAGTTAGAAATCATGCACTCCAAGGGATCACCTCATGAAAAGGCCAAAAAGTGGACGAGGAAATCATTTTGCGGTTTAATTGTTTCACAGGAACGTGGGACGATTCATGGATGAGTTTGTTGGTTCCTTTCAGTGAAACAATTTTTTTAGATAATGATAGAAATTATCAGAGATTTTAGGATGGAAAGGTTAATTTGGTACATTTTATGAAAGGTAAATCATAAATTGTAGCACCATGTGGTATTTCTGTAATACTAGCAGTTCCAGAGTTAGAAATGGTTCTTATGGTCAAGAATAATCGTTCATAAAACGAATCAACCAAATCTGCCTTACCTTTCCTACAAATGACCCATCCCCGCTACCAACAACAATGAATGCACAAGTGGGTCTTTATGTCGAAGGAAATAGTAGGTAAATACACGAAAACAACTGAACCAATCAAACCTAAAGAAACCTGACCTGACCTAACCTGTCCCAACTTTACTAAATCTTACCTTATTCAACCCATGGCGGAGGCTGACCATGTGTAACAATGTGAAGTATACAATAAATACGCTCCAGTGAACAGAGCACCGCTAAAGTTGTAAAAAGTTTCATAACTTTATGATTGAATTAACTCCAAAACTGTATACTATATATCGAGATGTAACAGTAAATATTGACCAATTTTTTACTACGAAGCATATTTTCATATATCTATCACTTACATAATTGCCAAGGTTGATTTTGTCTAGATTACCAGTCTTATCACGTCTCCTGCTGTATGCTTGAACAACGAAACACCACCTCCCTCCAGACACCCTTAAACAATATGACGGCTGGCGATTTAGCGAAGTCAAGTGGAGATTCTGGCGAATGACAATTATGAACTTGTATTAAGACTTAGAAACGAAGCGAACGAAGCATCGAATCGATATTTTGAAGCAATTTTCGAAACAATGAAACCACAGCATATACAACTGTGATCCTTGATGAACCAGTAAGGTGAGGAGGAAACACACCAGGAATAAATATGTGGCAATAGAGAACAGAGTAATAGACTAATAGCAGGCTTAAGGTGTGACGTGGCTTCTTTAGGAAAGCTATTTGTGTCATGTTCTCAAACTGTAATACAGGTATGTCATGGATAAATATCCTCGAAGACATGCGTGGTCATCCCACAACAAATTCGGACACAAACCAAAACATCTAAATGGTGCTTCGGTAAATAACCCTGAATCATACGATAAACAGACCAACGACCAATGGTGAACAAAAATTTTACTATTATAAAGATGTTATAATAACATGAACAAGAAAGTGACACATATAATAGATTGCAATAATAATATGTACACGCCTTTTTGGCAGTATTGCCACATTTTCAGATGGGAATTATCGTACTGGATCTTCAAAATTATCGGGGTTTTTTTCGGTAGAATTATCTTTCTAACGCGCGAGGCACATTGTTTGTGTGAGGCTCGAGTCTCAAGGCTCCTACAAATTATACTAAAGATGTTTGTAAGCACGTATCTGACTGACCTTAACTAAAACACGCTTATAACATCCTTTGAATATCATCCGTCCACTTAGCGCCAGTATCAAATAAACTTAGGAATGTCTACCAAAGGACTCCAGACATCATACGTATCTTAAAGTATCAGTATAATTCGGGATAAAATTTGACCGTAATTAATAGTACCTTTGTAGTGCTATTATGATCATGTGTTATTACTCAAGTTAGCTGCACTGTTATAGGTTCAGTAACGGGGAACAGTAATAGTTCGAGCCCCTGAAAATCGAAGCTCCCAAAAATTATACAAATGAAGAATCTGGCAGTGAGCGTGCAGGAGTACGGTGGTTAAGTGAGATGCGGTGACTGTATCTTTCCAAAGTTGTAATACTAATTATTCATATAAAAGTGAGGTAGAAGCTTTAACACTGGTCCCTTTGGCTACTGTAGATATACAAGCAAACAAGTATATTCCCAATATTAACCGGTACTGCGACTCTTTGACCATATGTAATTATCAAGTGACTACAAAAAAAAAAAAAAATTATGAACACATCGACACACGGTACTCCAACACACACACGGTACTCCAACACACACGGTACTCAGACACAGCAAGACACAATAATCCATCCCACATGATGTGATTAAAATACAGTAATTGTTACACGGCTTCACTCATTGTCTTGTGGGGGACGGTCGAATAGGCAACTAAGATGAGGGTTTGGGGCTGCTGTGTTCTACGTCCCAGCCTTGGAAATGAAATAAATAAAGACGGTAAAGGACTATGACACACTTCCCTGTTGAACTTTGCCCCCGAGGTCATTTATTATATCTTAAATGAGGTGAAATAACAAACTAACTGAACTGATATCCGTGACGACAAGCAATGCGTTAACTGCCTTCATCAAGCTGGGACGTTAACCTCGTATAGGCAAGTTCACTCAGCGACGCCTAGAATATTCGACTATGACACTTGTATGATCACTGGCCTGCACCGACTTACGTTGCTTCCATTTTCCGCAGACTTATGATTCGTCGACAAAATAGTGTAGCGTCTCGACTCGCATTAGGTACATTGACAAGTACAGGTATGATTAACGTGACACAGCATGAGATAATTCTTTTTGTCATTTATCATCACTTACCAGCTTACTAGTCTGACGGCCAGGTGGTTGGTCTGTTCTTTGCTACTTTGTTATGATTTTTATTGACCAGCTTTAGGACACAAGGCAACTGGAGTACCCGGAGATAACGTGTGTCCCAACCTGGAATCGGACCCTTGATATAGTCGAACTTTCTGTTTTATTTATATCAGGAAGATTCGTACGGATGTTAAACACTTAAAAGATAAACTTATTTAAATTCCGTAAAAAAAAAACAAAAAAAATCATTACACACACACACACCCTACACATACATACCTATACCTACACACACACACACACACACAAACGGAACAAATAAACACTCGCACAGACACACGTACTCCTACCCACTAAAACATACATACATACATAACTTTGACCAGTCACAGATACCCAGGTTTATCTTTAAGGTTAACTAGCCATATCATCTAATCTATTACGAACTGAGATTATTTTCCGCTGACGCCTGAATTCAATATACATTTTAACATCTTATAAAATATCGGTGTACAGATAATGAGCAAATACGAGTGATTATTTTTTTTGTATTGTTGTTATCGGTCTGAGGCTTACTAATTTCTCTTGTACCATTTTCTTGTGTATTTTCTCTATTTTTCGACTCCTATTCTTTCTAAAGGGGTGCGGTGTTTTGGTGTGTGTGTGTGTAGTACCGGAGAGAGACCCCCCTCCCCCTACGTGCACCTCTTCTTGACACATCGCAGGTGTTGGCGTAAAACTTTCCATCCCGTAACAGGAGTGTGCCGGTGAAGGTCAGTCAGTCAGCCAGCCACTCAAACAGTCAGTCAGGCACCCCGGCACGACGTTTAATCTGTTCCTTGTGGACCTAGTATCCCTCAGGGGGCATTACAGTAAGTATTCAGACTACCTACAGTACAGGAAGTACTTAGTGCCCTCGTAGATAATCTGTTCCCAGGCGGGTGAAGATAAGAGGGGGAGATGGTGAAGGAGAGAGAGAAGGGGGGGGTCAAGTCACTATCACGCCCCTCTAACTGATACTCGAATGAAAAAATTTCGAGCCCTTGAGTGCACTAGCGTAGCTAGGGGGGGGGGCGGTCCGCCCCGGGCGGCACTTTTGGGGGGGCGACACTTTTGGGTCTGCTCATCACCCATATCTGCAGCTACTGGAGACGTTAATCCATCCCTTTGTATCGGCGGCAAGTTAATCCTTGTCGTGTCTGACCTAACACCTGACCCACATCATCACGGCCACGTACACCCTTGCTATGCGCCCCCCCCCGCCACACACACAACCTGTAACCTGTTGAGGATTAAGGAAACTACTTCAAACAAGTACGCCAGTGAGCTCATACGAGGATTAACTTGCCGCCGATACAAAGGGAAGAATTAACGTCTCCAGTAGCTGCAAAACCATGCAGTCTCGGGTCATGTACAGCCGACCAATCCAGCAGTTACAAGCAATTCACTTCAGTTCTGCATAAGTCTCCATGATGACAAGACGAGGGAAGGCTAGACGACTTTTAAGTTCTCTTGTGTTTTCGATCCAGTTATTTACTTGGTTGGAAGACATAATACTATAAGGTAAGAAATATTAAAGTATTAGTTAAAAAATATTGATGTGACTTTTGCTGCGGTACTGAGATTAAATATTAAGATTTTGTTTCACAGCATTGCGATTTTATACTAAGACACTATCCTCTCTGGGGTACAGACAAAAGCCCCCCCGACAAAAGCCACCCAGACAAAAGCCCCCCAGACAAAAGCCCCCCCGACAAAAGCCCCCCAGACGAAAGCCACCCCGACAAAAGCCCCCCAGACGAAAGCCCCAGACAAAAAGCCCCCCAGACGAAAGTTACTCCAGACAAAAGCCCCTCACTTTGATCAGGGTCTTTTGTCTGACAACAGTAAGCAAACTATTTAATATATATATATATATATATATATATATATATATATATATATATATATATATATATATATATATATATATATATATATATATATATAAAAGAGTGAGTCACTGTGCAATATGTTTTTTTGTAGGGTCACGGGGGGGCAACTCAATGCCCCGGGCGGCACACACTCTAGCTACGCCACTGCTTGAGTGATGGCCGAATCTTCCTTAAACTGATTCTTGTTAGGACCTTCCCAGAGGCTAGAACACACAGATTTCCATGTGCTAAACTAGTGATATGCGGTGACTTCAGTGAGTTAGACATCAGTGACATCACCCAACACCTCCACCTTACACAAATAGTTGACTTTCCCACACATGGCAAGGCCACCCTTGACCTCATCATGGCTGATCTCGGTAACCACTACCTTCCCCCCCAGCCCTGTGGTCACCTACCTCCACCTTCTCACCACCGCTAGTTGCCACCAGGACCTACCGACCCACCCCCCACTAGCGTAGCTGGGGGCGGCGGTCCGCCCCGGGCGGCACTTTTGGGTCTGCTCATCACCAGCAGCTACTGGAGACGTTAATCCATCCCTTGTATCGCAAGAATCCTTGTCGTGTCTGACCTAACACCTGACCCACATCATCACGGGCCACGTCATGAGCTACACTCATATATTCCCCACTCCACTTCGCCTAATACAATAACCTGTAACCTGTTGAGGATTAAGGAAACAACTTCAAAACAAGTACGCCAGTGAGCCCATGTGGTGGGTTGTAAAATAGGTCAGACACGACGAGGATTAACTTGCTGATACAAAGGAAGGATTAACGTCTCCAGTAGCTGCAAAAACCATGCAGTCTCGGGTCAACATAAGAATGGAGGAAACTGCAGCGGGCTTCCATTAGCTCCATACTGCAGTCCTGTTTACACCCAACCCCTATTGCTCATATGAGCATCCAACTTATGTTTGAAGCACCAGCGTATTCGAGTTAATGATGATATTTGCACTTGTTCCATCTATCCACTACTCTGTTTCCAAACCAGTGTTTACTTATTTCACGCCTAAATCTAAATTTGTCTAATTTAAAAACCATTGTTACGAGTTCGCCCCTGGCTGATAGCTTGAGTACCTTTGTAATGTCCCCTTATTTAGCCCCTGCCTTCCACTTTATACACCTCTTATCAGGTCGCCCCCTCGCTCTACGTCTCAAGGAGTGCAAATTAAGATGCTTTTTAACCTGTCTCTCATACTCAAGGTTCCTAATGCCCGGATTATCTTTGTCATTCTCCTTCAAATTTCTTTCCAAGGATTCTATATCCATTCTGTAATACGGTGATTCATTGAACTGGTGTAATCCAGGTGTGGTCTCACAAGAGCAAGATATAGTTTTAGGATGACCTCGCTAGTCTTGTAACTAACACCTTGCATGAACCCAAGCATTTCTTTATTCGCCTTTGTTACGATAAAAACACATTGTTTACTTGGCTTATGTTCCTACTTATCATTACTCCTAAATCTTCGCAGTCGGATTTCTGCGGCATCGTTGTTCATCTGGTATCTGGTTTCTGTTTACATCTCCTATACTGAGTACTTTTTACATTTGTCGACGTTGGAATTTCATCTCAGTTTTTCAGACCATTCGGAAAAATTTGTTTAGATCTTCTCTCCTGTAGTTTTGCCGAGTCCTCGTCAGATTTGATAACACGTCTCATTTTAGTGTCATCAGCAAATTTACTTATGTTGCTGTCAATGCCGATATCTATGTCGTTTATGTATATAATAAATAATAATGGTCCAAGTACTGAGCCTTGGGAACTCCACTTGTGACGTTGTCTAATAGGATTCTAAGTCGTTAATGCTCACCGCTGTTTCCTGTCCTGTAACCACGCCCTAATCCATATAAGGATGTCACCTTGATGCCATGAGCTTCTACCTTCTAATTAGTCTTTCGTGGGGACTCTATCGAAGGCTTTGCTAAAGTCGACATACCATCATAATTGTGCCCCTCGTCCACCGATTCGAAAACTGATGAAAAGAATGTTAATAGATTAGTTAGACATGAACGTCCGCTTGTGAAGCCATGCTGGGAATCATTGATCAATCAGTGCTTCTCCAGGTGATTTCGAATAGAGTTTGAAATGATTGCTTCCAGTAATTTGCCTACTATTGATGTTAGACTGATTGGGCGGTAGTTAGAGGATAGTGATCTATCCCCCTTCTTGAAAATCGGTATTACATTCGCTATCCTCCAGGATTCTGGTACTACACCGGTTTTTAATGACATGTTAAACAACTTTGCTAAGGGCATACAAAGCTCTTCCTTACATTCCTTTAATACTCTGGCAAATATCTCATCGGGACCAGGTGACTTATTAGGCTTTAGTTTGTCTATTTGCTTACTAACATCGTTACTAGTCACTACTATCTCACTTAATTTGTTTTCTTCACTATCTCTGAAGAGAGTCGGATCATATCAGTTCATGTACAGCCGACCAATCCACCAGTTACAAGCAATTCACTTCAGTTCTGCACAAGTCTCCATCGTGACAAGACGAGGGGAGGCTAGACGACTTTTAAGTTCTCTTGTGTTTTCGATCCAGTTATTTACTTCGTTGGAAGACATAATACTATAAGGTAAGAAATATTAAAGTATTGGTTAAAAAATATTGATGTGACTTTTGCTGCGGTACTGAGATTAAATATTAAGATTTTGTTTCACAGCATTGCGATTTTATACTAAGACACTATCCTCACTGGGGTACAGACAAAAGCCCCCCCCGACAAAAGACAAAAGCCACCCAGACAAAAGAGACGAAAGCCACCCAGACAAAAGCCCCCTACTTTGATCGGGGTCACCCCGACGGGGTGGCTTTTGTCTGACAACAGTAAGGGCTTTCAAAAGTTACGGACATAATTAAATAGTTGAGGGTAAAATATACTGTTCTTCTCTGTGGTTAATTATTGGTTAGGTTAGGGCAATGATCTGGGGATAGTCATGGAGCGTCAGCGTCGACCCAAAAAGAAGAAACAAATGTTTGGTGAAGGATCACGAGATGCTGAATTGCCATACGACATTGAATTGAGGAGAGAAATGTTTTCTTCGCTGGACAGAGTGATCCAAGAAATAACTTTGAGATTTCAACAGCTTCATGAACTTGCTGAGAAATATGCCTTCCTTACCCCATTGAATCTTTTGGATGAAAATATGAGTGTCAAATAGATCACGATCACGACGACATTGATAAAGAGGAGTTCCTCGTTGAGAGAAAAAGACTTCAGCATTTTGTTGCTGTTGCTGCTATAACTATTAAAGACAGAATACAGACGTGGAAAGAAGGCCCCCTTGAACTTTTGCAGTTTATTCAAAAGTATAACCTTGGGAACTCGGTTCCAAATATAGTAATAATGCTGAGGATTTTCCTCACAATTGCTGTTAGTGTTGCTACCTGTGAGAGGAGTTTTTCGAAACTAAAACTGATCAAGAATTACTTAAGATCTACTATGAGCACCTTGCGGTTGAGAAATCTTGCCATACTGTTTATAGAGCGACAATTGACAGATGAAATAGTTTTTGACAATGTCATTGAAGAATTTGCCAACAAAAAAACAAGAAAAGTTACTTTGTAGAAAGTTGTAGTTTTCATTTCAGAAATAAAGATGGTCCTAATTTTTTACACTTTTTTTACTTTTTTCCCTATCCTATATGTCGTTTTTGCTTTTTGTTTAACTGTTACTTATAAAGTTTAAGTATGTTTGGTGTGTATTTAAAGCATACTATATTTGAGTATGTGAAAGTACAGTAATATTATAATGGTACACAAACTATTTAATATATATATATATATATATATATATATATATATATATATATATATATATATATATATATATATATATATATATATATATATATATATATATATATATATATATATATATATATATATATATATATATATATATATATATATATATATATATATATATATATATATATATATATATATATATATATATATATATATATATATATATATATATATATATATATATATATATATATATAAGAATAGTCACTGTGCAATATGTATTTTTGTGGGGCACCAAACAAACTCAACTCTGGGCGGCACACACTCTAGCTACGCCACTGCCACCCCCGACTCTGCTATGCGGCGTTTCGGACAATGGATAACCCGGTATCCCTGGACTGAAGTGATCACGGTAGACGATGTGCAGAACAAGTGGGATAATTACCTGGACACTATCACTAAAGCCTACCACCACTTCTTTCCAGCCAAGACACTGAGGATCCACCCCAATGATGCCCCGTGGATTACTCCCCGCATAAAAAGACTTATTGAGCAGCGCAACAAGGCATACTACACCAACAACCGCCTGTACAAAAGTCTACGTAACCAGGTCATCAGGGAAATCAAGTCGACCAAGAAGACTAATTATCCCAAGAAAGTGCACGGCCTCAAGGAAGTCGGCATCGGTCAGTGGTACTTCAAGGTAAAACATCTCTGTGGTCTCAACCGTCAGTCTCCCACACTTCCTTTCATCTCACATTTACCTAGTGAGGAGACAGCTGAGATAATTAATAACCATTTTGCTACCATATGTCATGCCTTACCCAGTCTTGACCTCACTCTCCTCCCGGCTTACTTACCTTCCCCCTCCCAGTGTTCAACCATATGAAATCGCCAACAAACTTCTGAAATTTAAATCCAAACGCTTCACGACCCCAATTGACCTTCCAATCAAAATATACATGGAGTTTGCAGTAGAACTTGCCACCCCCCGCACCAGACTACTCATCGCTACAAGGCACCCTGGACAGGCTACAGGCATGGACTACGGAGAACAAGGTCACCATCAACCACACCAAAACTGTAGTCATGCACATCAATACCGCCACCACTCCAGTGCAAGCCCCAGCAGTCACAGTGGGTGCCCATCCTATCCAGCTGGTGCAGTCTGCCAAACTCCTGGGTGTAATTATAGACAACAAACTGGACTGGAAGGCCCATGTAAATAACACAGTCAAGGCAGCCTCGTACCGTCTCTACATGCTACGACGACTTGGGTCACTTGGGACACCCACGCCAGAGCTGAGGACTATCTACAACGCCTTTATTCTTCCTAAACTAACGTATGCGTCACCAGCCTAGTCGTCTTCTCCCAACTCCACCCAACAACGTCGGCTAGAGAAGGTACAGAAAAGGGCCTGCAGAATCATGCTCGGCGCAGAATACTACGGCTACATCAATGCTCTCTACACCCTGGAAATGCCATCCCTCAGTGACCTCCACCACCAAGCACTGGAAAGGTTTGGCAGCCAACTAATGCACCACCCTCGTCATCGCCACCTCCTGCCACCGGCAGCTCCCCACCCACCTCGTGCAGTCCGCCACTGCAACAAAATTCAGCCCATAAGAGCCCGCACCGATAGACATAAGAATAGCACCATCCCATCTATTGTTAAAATAATAAACAACTCCTGATTTATGTACTGTACAGCCCTGTAAATGTATTCAACGCATATTATGTCATTATGTCTAAATCAATTGTAAGTCTGTATATTTTCAGCCACCGGCTGCAACTCTATTACTAAACCGTTTATAATTATCATTATTATTATTATTACATCTCAAGGTTAAGAATTTTGAAATAAGTATAAAAAAAGACAACACAATTTAAGCCGGTATATCACTTATCTTGTTCTCGTCCGGACCGTCTCAAATTATTTCCCCTCCCCAGAAACTTTTCCACTCATGCTCCATTTCGTCATAGCTGTGTGTGTCAATTTTACATAAGGTAAACTTCTTCTCATTGATTCAGTGTATATAACATCTGAGTGATCACCTAACCTAACCTAAGCTAAGCTACGTTTGTTGTAGAATGAGAAGTCATTGTCCACCCTTTTCTCATTCGTACATCGACAACTACACGGTGTATATTGTAAACATATGCCTGTTTGCTTTTCAACACCGTGGTCGCTGGTTCAATTCTCCGGGTCGGATGTGAGAAGTGTGTTATCGAGTGTGACGCCGCCTTAACGAACATACTCAGGTATACCGTATACTTCGGTTTCCTTCTATGCTAACAAAGAACAGACCGACCGCCCACACGACTAGTAAGGTGAAAAAAGGTGTTAATGATAAAAAAAACTTTTATTTCACTTAACTAAGATTAATAGGGTCATGAAATTTGTATCATGTCATTATGCTTAATAATCAATTATAATTAAGATAAATTGCGAGACTAACTAATTATGTATCAGATAGATCACCATGTAATACTAATGAATGCCTTGTTCTCTGCAGGTTTTGACCACATCAATAAATAGTGAATGCGTCAAAAGGCGGGTTTCAATCATTCCCTTCGACTTGCCCGTCACCTGAACGTCCTTAACCAAGGCGTTTACCTGTATAGTATACATGGTGATCTATCTGATACATAATTAGTTAGTCTCACACAATTTATCTTAATTATAATTGATTATTGAGCATAATGACATGATACAAAGTTTATAACTCTATTAATCTTAGTTACGCTTCATTCCGCGTTGTCTTATTGCTCCAGATAAGGCAGGAACGAGTCAGCAGAATCAGGGCATCTTGTTTGTGCAGGTCGCGTGGGGAGGCACGTGGTCGCAGGCTGTTAGATTTAATGTTTGTTCGGGTAAGGCAGCGCCAGCACTGTAGTTGAAGCCAGCGGCGATAACATGTTATCGCCGCTGGCTTCAACTACAGTGCTGGCTGCCAGATGAAAATCTCAGAAGTACTAATCAGTGTACAATCTTTCTGCTTTCACTACACTGATGGTGCCAGAATGACCATATCCGTTGACCTGTCAACCTCATCGCCTTTTCTACTGCATCAGCAACGAATTATTGTTACTAACCTTACGTAAAATAAGGAAATCATCAAATGATATCTGAATTTCATGTCCTCCTTTCGTATTACATGCTTGCATACCCTTGAATTGGAAAACATATATTACATCAGCACTGGTCGGGACGCTGTGTGTGGACCACAGGTTGCGAGTGTTCCTTTTCGTACAGGCAGAGCTGCCGCCCGCTACTGAGGTTACGAAGGAAATGAAAATTGATTCATTACCACCGGTTTTAAGGCAACAAATAACCAACTCAACGAAGTACACGGTAAGCGTGATTAAATTTACTTGTAGCACCATAAACAACCGGCAGTGAAATGCCATTTGTAACACCGTAAGCAACCGGCAGTGAAATGCCGCTCGTAACACCATAAGCAACCAGCAGTGAGGTGTTACTTGTAACACCACAAGCAACCAGCAGTGACCTACTATCATCAAACATAAATACAAGCGGCGAGCTGCACCATCAAATACAGGCGGTGAACAGTGGTTCATCGAACAAACTTTGAGACCTAACCGGAGCTGTAAATACATATCAATAAAAGGATAAGAGGTTGTGGAAATGGATCCAGAACAACGAAGGGGAAGAGTGAACATGGACGAAGGTGACCGAGACCCAGAGGTAGAAGTTGTCCCTCCAGAGCTGAACGACCACGACTTTACGGCAACAGAAGCTGAAGGGGGCCACCCTTCTACCTGAGCCTGAATACTCAGCACCTGACCAAAATCACGGGTCCAACATGATGGCAGAAGTGCGACGAAATGTGACTGAAATGCTGGAGGCGTATTTCACAAAGGGGGAAATAAGGGAAACAGCACGACGTTTGGAGTTTGCGAATGGCAAATTTGAACAGTCAGAAGGTTCTCAGAACAGCTCTGGGGACACAAGTCATGAATGAATACCGACTGCAGATGCAATTGGTGAAGTGGAAGCGACCATAAATAGACGACCCATCACACCTGCCTCGAGCGACGTGAGACCTAACCATCATCTTCATCATCAATTATTATTATTATTATTTCTGTTCACATGTCTTTTCACAGCCTCATAAAGTTCATTATTATGCGTTATTAAGCAACACTCATACACTCACCTATACATACCCAAAGCAACGCAACACCCAACCACCTAAACACAGTACCCACCCACCTAAACACAACCAATATACAGTACCCACCCACCTAAACACAACCAATATACAGTACCCACCCACCTAAACACAACCAATATACAGTACCCACCCACCTAAACACAACCAATATACAGTACCCACCCACCTAAACACAACCAATACACAGTCCCCACCCACCTAAACACAACCAATATACAGTACCCACCCACCTAAACACAACCAATAGGTAGTAAGTAGTAAGCAGCTACCAATCAGGGAGGCACTACCGCCTGGGAAGAAGTTCTAAGCATTATGTGTTGTGTAATAGTAGACCCTGCTGGCATATGGCATCACGAAAATTGTGCAAGTCCCAGGTTGCTAATCTGACTTTTTAAGTCATTTACACACAATTGCAGGGTCTCAATTTTCTCTTACTTGACCAACACAACATACATAATGTATATCGTTTCTCACTCTTGATTTATGATGTGGTTTCAGTGACCTGTGCCCGGGTGGGCTAATCCCCATAAAAAAAAAAAAAAAAAAAAAAATATATATATATATATATATATATATATATATATATATATATATATATATATATATATATATATATATATATATATATATATATATATATATATATATATATATATATAGTACCCACCCACCTAAACATCATTAATATTTAAGACTGTCAGAATTGCCTTTTGGCATGTGTCAGAGTCCATGGAATTTTAACTGTTACAAGAACTATAACCGTTCCTTAGTGTTTAGATATTGTGCTTATGCTCGCTTTATATATTTCTGGACTTTCTTATTCCACGAAAAGGTGGGTTTTGCTCCTCATACAATCAAGGTGAAGAGTTGCTTCTCTCTCTCTCTCTGTATTGTTGCATCTTTAAAGTATGTAAACAAAATTCTGATGACCGAGAAACATTAACACAGGTTTTTTTTTGTTTGTTTTGGGGGGACATTACTCAATATCTCCTAGACATATTATGCTTCAATCTTATTTTCGGAACACACATTACACAGTACTGGCACACTCACCATGACTACCATGTTCAGCGTCAGGTGAAGGTTAGTGAGATCGTTGGTCAGGTTAGAAACGGTTTCTCCGAGTAAACGTTGTCGATGCAGACCGTGTCTGAGGGGGGGACACTGACTTCCAGTTTGTGTTCACCAGTTTTTAGTGGATTATTGATTGACTGCTAGTTTACCTTTCTCACACCTGTATGGAAGCTTAGTGCTTCGATCAAATCAGAGAGATCATAGTTTAAATTCTGTTCCTTCAAGAACCGGTTATCAAACGCTGAAAAGCTTTGGGATTTATGTCTTGTCTCATATTCAATCCATCTTTGTCTAGCCAGCTTTGAGAAAGTAAACTCGTCTTCTTTCTATTATCTAACTTAGAGGGCAGTACAGACCGAGATAACGTTAGAGATAAGGGAGTGTTGGTCAGTGGACACGTGGAAAAACTGCTCTCCAGCACAACCGATATTCAGTCAGGACACGAAGCGTTGATCTACTGACACATTTAAACATAAAAATCAAGATTTGTTCATCATCTTAAACAGTCAAATGTTCGCAGGTAAGGAGCCTCATCTCCCATTATGGATTGTGTCGCCAGATGTACGATGTATTTTCTAAATCGTTTGGCAACTGACTCAGGCCGTTTTATAAAGCCTCATAACTTGGGGAGTACACTCTTGTGTTTGCCGTCCATGTGAAGGTGGCTAGCAGCACTCCACAACAATCAGGAATAAACGTAACCTTTTAAGATAAAGAAGTTCTGTGAACTTTCTCTTGGTTAAATCATTCAAGTTCTGGCCGAGAATTCAACGTGGATTTTCATTTTAAATTCCAAAGGCACACTTTCTTATTACGAAGTGTAAAGAAGTGGTATCTATTTATTGAAGAGGTAATCTGATTACTGCACATTATGGGTAAGACACATTGCATTTCCTTCTCGTTATATTATTACTGTATTGTACTTTAGTTAGTGTTACTTTATCGTCTTCGCCATTGTTCAGCTCACTAGCCGGTCGGGCGATCGTTCAATTCTCGATTGTTGGCATGTACTGGACAAGTACGGGCTCTTTAATGTACTGTACCTGAACATGTGCCAATGTAGATCCAGACTGAATATAACATAAGAACATAAGAAAGTGGGATACTGCAGGAGGCCGACTGGCCCATACAGGGCAGATCCCTTTCACACCCATCCCAGCACTTCCATGTGCCTATCCAACTTCGTCTTGAAGCTCCCAAGCGTCCCCGATCCTACTATAGCACTCGGTAGCCTATTCCACATATCCACAACTCTATTACCAAACCAGTGCTTGCCTATATCCTTTCTGAATCGGAATTTATCTAATTTAAAGCCATTTGTTCTAGTTATTTCGTTATTACTGAGCTTCAGAACATCTCCCATTTTACCCTTGTTAATCCCACTTACCCATTTGAACACCTCTAACATATCTCCCCTAACTCTACGCCTCTCTAATGAATGCAAGCCTAAGCTTTTCAGTCTTTCTTCATATGGAAGGTTTCTAATATTATGGATCATTTTTGTCATTCTTCTTTGTACTCTCTCCAAAGAATCTATGTCCATTCTATAATAAGGACACCAGAATTGAACCGCATAATCCATGTGTGGCCTCACTAATGCTAGGTAAAGTTTCAAGATAACTTCAGCAGTTCTGTTACTCACAGACCTAGATATGAACCCAAGAATCCTGTTTGCCTTGTTGCGAACGCTAATACATTGTTTTCTAGGTTTCAAGTCGTTGCTAACAAATACACCTAGATCTTTTTCACAATCTGAGTTTTCTATTTCCGTGTTACATAGTTTATACTTAACGTTTGTATTCGTCTTCCCTATCTGTAGTACCTTGCATTTATCAGTATTAAAATTCATTTGCCAGTCTACTGACCACTCACGTAAGGTATCTAGATCTCTTTGAAGGTGTTCAAAGTCACTGTCTGAATTTATCACTCTCCCCATTTTGGTATCATCTGCAAATTTACTAATGCCTACTAGTTATACCTAAATCAAGATCATTAATGAATATAACAAACAGCAGAGGGCCTAATAGATCCCTGGGGAACTCCGCTTTTGACCGCACCCCAATCTGACTTTAATCCATTCATGAAGGATTTTATTACCCTTAACCCTCAAAATTTATCTCAAACAGTTTCCTGTGCTGTCAGTTTCAAGATTTTGTTGGCGAGTCTGCCCAACGCAACTAAAACAACAACACAGCTTCCAGACCCACATTAGGGCCTGGGGGCGAAATAATAATAATAAGGCAGAAAGTCAGATCAGCAACCTGGGACTTGGTCACATATGGCAGCAGGGTCTACCATTAGACAACACATTATGCTTCTAATATCTTTCCAGGAGGTAAACCTCCCTGTTTGATAGCTGCCTACTACTGTACCTGTGGGTCCGCCTCATGGATAAAGTTGGAGCTTGTGACGTTACGTTTTCCCGCCAAAATGTAATAGTGAGACGTAACAATTCCTAAAAGCTAAATATTAACGCCAGCATATTTCACTTGGGGGTCAAGTTAACGTGGTCAATTTTAAGGTATTCCCTAAATATGAAAATTTGGGTGCCAACAATTTGTTTAATAGATGAAGCCAACAGATACCAATGTACAAAACATCATGTGTCACAGAAAGACTTCTGGTTGAATCTAGTTTGATTAAGGAATTAAATTCTATAAACCTTAGTGATGGTTAGTACAAAACTGATAATATGTTACACAAATTTATTTGTCAGTGGCCCAAGGTTAAAAATACTTTGAAAACCTTGGAGTTAGATGTAGAATAGATGATTAGTGGATCCCATATTTTTGACCTGACTTAACTTGACTAGTCACGTCGCCCCTTTCTCTTAAGCTCCTCTGCGTGTGTTGGTGTGCGGATTAGTGGATGTCATGATTATGACCTGACCTCATGTTAGTAAGGTCACCCTGTGTACTTAGCCTCTCTCCGTCCATGTAATTTAACATAAGAACATAAGAAAATTAGGAGTCTGCAATAGGCCGGTTGGCCTGTGCATGGCAGCTCCTGTCGATAGTTACAACCACTCTCTATCATCCATGAATCTATCTAGCCTTCTTTTGAGACTGTCCAGAGTTCCAGCACTTACTACAAAGTTGGTAAGCTTGTTCCACCCGTCTACCACCCTATTTGTGAACCAGTTTCTTCCTATCTCCCTTCTAAACCTAAACTTATCCAACTTAAATCCGTTGCTCCGAGTTCTATCTTGCTCGGATATTATAAGAACTTTATCTATATCCCCTTTATTGATTCCTTTCACCCACTTAAATACTTCTATCATATCTCCCCGCACTCTTCTAGGGAATGCAAGTTAAGTTTCTTTAACCTATCCTGATATGGAAGGTTTCTAAGTCCCGGAATGATTTTCGTCATTCTTCGCTGCACCGACTCTAGTGAATTGATATCCATTCTATAATAAGGGCACCAGAACTGAACCGCATAATCGAGGTGCGGCCTGACTAGCGCAAGATTTAGTTGCAATAAGACCTCTGCACTCTTATTACTTACACTTCTAGATATAAAACCCAATACTCTGTTTGCCTTATTTCGAACATTAGCGCACTGTTTTCTAGGCCGTAGGTCCGGGCTTACAAGTACCCCTAGGTCTCTTTCACAAGTCGACTTCTCTAGGTTGATGTTGTGAAGGCTGTATACATCGACAGTATTTTTTCTTCCAATATTAAGTACGCTGCACTTGCTGGTGTTGAATTTCATTTGCCATTTTTCAGACCACCCCTGCAGTTTAGTAAGATCCTCCTGTAATGCATTTGCATCCTGCCCTGAATTAATCTGCCGCCATATTTTTGGTGTCATCCGCAAACTTGCTTATGTCACTGCTGATCCCAGTATCTAGATCGTTTATGTAGATTATGAACAAGAGTGGGCTTAGTACTGACCCCTGGGGAACCCCACTGGTTGCACAGCCCCACTCAGATTTAACACCATCTACGCTGACACTCTGCGTTCTATCGGTGAGCCATGACTTTATCCAATTTAAAACTTTCCCCTCGATACCATGAGCCTTAATTTTTCTCAGAAGCCTCTGATGCGGTACTCTGTCAAATGCTTTGCTGAAGTCTAAGTAAATTACATCGTAATTTTCGTCATTATCTACTACCTCGAAGACTTTCCTAAAAAACGTCAGCAGATATATATATATATATATATATACTGTATATATATACACACTAGTGAAAAATGCAAAGATTTACATCCCACCTTAACCTTCGTCATTTTGAATTTTAATTTCGTATATTTATCTTCCTTATCTAAGAATAATTTAATGATTGTTTCTTTCTCTTGTGTGCAGCGCGGTTCATCTCCAACGGGAAGGGGAATGAAGCACAGCTCCGCCAGGCGATGAAAAGCTACTGGCAGGAGTACAGCCCATCAATAGAGTCCATGATGCTTTCGCAAGACGCAACCTACCTCGCTGAGAATGAGCAGAACGAAATCCTCTCCTACCTACCTAACTACAGCGGCAAGAAGGTGCTTGAGCTCGGCGCTGGCATAGGGTAAGTGAAATGACTTATTACTGATTAGGGCGATCAATGAACAGGGTTTCATGAAAGTTAATAAAATACACAGGTCCCGAAAACTCGCGCAACAGTTTTAATGTCGAGACCACAATGATCAGTGACAAGAAATATGAGTTATGAGGGGGGGGGGGTAGGGGTGGTATTAGAGCATTGAATCATATGATGAATACATTTGTCTCTGCTAATAGCTAAAAAAATCAGTGCTAAAATGTATTTCAATTTAGGATCCATCATTGCCTAAGACCCCCCTCGTCCCCGGACCTCTGAGATCTCGCAGGACACAACGGCCATCTTCTAATAACTAGTGTTGAAGCGAGCAACATCAAAAATAAGTTTAATCATGTCAAGTTATGTTTCACGTCAACCACCCGGGTGTTGTCTATCAAAATCTGGGTTAATACATGCCGATGAATATTGATGGTAGTTGTGTCCAACAGGAGGTTCACGTCCAAGCTGGCAACAATGGCGGCTCACGTAACCGCTGTGGACTTCACGCAACAATACATCGACGAGAACCAGAAGCAGAATCAACACTTGAGCAACATTACCTTCAAGTGTGACGACGTCACCATGTGAGTTACCGAGCACACATAAACACACATTACCATGGTCATGTACAAATATGTCTACACACTTGCCCGCCCACATCCGCACAAACAGACACTGATTGACCCAGTGATACTGGAAACTAACTGGAGATCCACTTTAAATATTTACCTTTCCTCTTCTGCACCTCCGGCAGGTTGGATTTCCCGGCGGGATCGTTCGACGTTGTGTTCAGCAACTGGTTGTTCATGTACTTGAGCGACGAGGAGGTCTCGACGACGTTCAGTAAGATCTACGACTGGCTCACTCCTGGCGGCTACTTCTTCCTGCGCGAGTCCTGCTACCACAAGTCTGGTCAGTCGCTCTTCTTCACCCGCCAACAACTGTAATAAGACGGACATAAAACTGTAACATTAATACCATTTGGCTGAAGCTTAACCTCCCCCACTTATTTTACCTTAATATTAAGCTAAGCTAACCTAACCTCTCCAAGTAGCATTAGGATGTTTATTCCTCAGTTCATCAATACAAAGATAGGAGAGAGAGGGTGGAGGGAGGGGAACTAACACGATGTGGAGGTGGGGAAACTCTAATGAATCGTACACCCCTTACAGTAGAGCTCATTAGACTGACATATGTAGGCACATTATTATCTCACACCTTGACCTCCAACAGGTAATGTTAAATATACCGAAAACCCGACACTGTACCGCGCACCATTAGACTACCTACAGATGCTGCGAGTCTCCTCCAGAGATAAACCAGGCTGTTACAAGATCATTAGAGCCAAGAACATTCTAGTCTACATTCAAGTAAGTTTATTAGGAGACAAAAATAATGTTTAAATGAATCTTTTTTGTTAATACTCTGATGTTATTTTTTAAATAAATTCAGAATAAAGGACTGCAATATTATAGTTTGTTACACACACACACACAGTAACAAAAGAGGAATTAATCATCATGTTTGTATTTCAGCATAATGGTAACCCGAACCAACTGTGCTTTCTAGTCCAGCAGATGGAGAATGAAGAGTCAACCCCACTAAAGCAGCATCTTGAGTCAGTCTTCGCCATCAACAGCTTCACCGCCCTGGAGAGAGTGTTTGGTTACAACTGGTGCTCTACCGGAGGAGAACTTAGCCACAGGGTTCGTAATGATTCTAACCATATGGACTGAACAGATATACAGGGTAGTTTTACAAAGTTACTGGACTGAAGCTGCCGAGTGGATACAGTGCTCGTTTTTTGTCCCAATGATCGATGGTTCGACTCCAGGAACTCCCAGTCCACAGCTGTATATAAGCAATAATTTTTACAACAGTAGTACAAGCGTTGGGGTGCAGTGTCGGTCATGCTTCCTCTTTAGAGTAACTAAGGCTTAGAAAATTGTACTGTATCCACATTGTACCTAATGGGTAGTAATGCCCTTGGGACTAGCATTCAGTTTTTAATATTCCTCACATTATTTAAGCAACACGTTCATGTTTACCGATAATTGTACCTATTCCATGTGTCCTTTACAGCCGTGAAATGCGTTTGTCCAGGTCAGTTAAGAGTATAAATGTTAGATTATAATTTCCAGGAAATATCTTATTTTAAATCATGTTTCCTATGTTCACCAGGACTTCTCTGCTCGTCTTGGGTTACGGCCGGGTCAGCGGGTACTGGACGTAGGCTGTGGTACGGGCGGGGCAGCCACCTTCATGGCCAGACACTATGGTGTTCACGTCCATGGCGTCGACCTCTCCTCCGACATGATCTTCAAAGCCATCGAGCGACAAGGGAAACTCGAGTCAAGGGTGAAGCGAAGGGTTAGTTAACGACTTGTTGTGGTTTTAGAACTCCTCCCACAGCCGTTTTAAAGTGTGCTTCCCAGTCGTATCTTGGCTAGTTTTTGTATCTCGATAAACCTCTTCTGAACTGTACCAAGTTCCTAAATATCATAAATCTACAGTAATATTTCTATATGTTTTCTTTTCCTTTAGAAGTGACACAAGGAAAATAAAACTTTCATATATTGGCAGATTCAGTTCGAGATGAGCAGCATCATGGAAGTAGACTACGAGGATGGCATCTATGATGTTATTTACAGCAAAGGTACAATTCTCTACATCAAAGACAAACAAGAGTTATTCAAGAAATTTTACGTAAGTTTGTTAATTCATGCTCACCAATTAATGATATTAAAATAACACGACAGGGGTGCCGCACAATATGAGTGAGGTACTACACACTTAATAGCCAAATATCTGAATAAAGAAATATGATATACATAAAGCAACAGAATAATAGAAAGTTATCCATGGAGGCGGAGTAGTAATTTTTTTTAACATATAGTGGCCTCCAGCCTCCCCCAATAGCCACACCTTCGCCGCCATTTTATTACCTTAATATTAAATATCCTAATATATAAGTAGCTATCCTATCTGTGTTGAATTAGTTGAGCAAAAGATCTATGCGACATTCAGTGACTGTAGCCTCGTAGTCAATATCTGCAGCTGTTGTCGGCATTGGGGCAGAAGCTCTCGTTCCCCAGAGGCAGAGCAAAGCTGACAGAAGGAGGGAGAAAGACAGTCGACATCTCACCCAGGCTGTAACATAACTTCTGGGCTGCTGCTTCTGTTCGGAGATCACCTCCGCGAGTCTGGCGTAGAAACATCTTGCACTTGGTCCCATCCTACCAGAGGTTGTGAACACTGGAGGAGTGAAGCTGCCTTGATCAACATTTTGAGGAGTAAACATTACCTAATCAGATATATTCTTTGTTCTTAAGAGTAATACAGTATAATGTTTGGATCAGTGCCCCAAGAAGTCAGAGAATGATCTGAGTGGATTACGAAATAATATTAAGCCGAGACAGTGAATTACTAAAGGTGGTGTTGTCTCTCCAGCGGTGGTTGCGACCAGGTGGGACTCTCTTTATCGTCGACCACTGCTATACCACCTCCCAGCTGTCACCAGACCTCCTTAACTATATCCAGAACATCAGACGTAAGAACGACCGTAATTTTTTTCTTACCTCTGGTTATAATATTAGTGTTTTCTGAATATATATGCGAACGCCATCTTACCCCCCCCCCCCACACACACAAATAAATAAGCTGAAGAAAAATGTCAGTCTTCTACACGTTTATCTCCTGATATGAGCAGGTTTAATGTCTCTGTCTTAGTAAAAAGTTAGATACAGTATTAGGGGTTAAAAATACTCCTGGAAGAGATTAAGCTTTAAGAGTCAACAATGGAATTATAGTTAAGAAGGTTCAAAATTGGTTATCTTAAGGCTTTAAAAAGGAGATTTGTAATGTGACAGTGTTTCTGGTTTAATGGTATTAAGAACAGTGTAAATGAATAATTATACCGCGTTATTTACAGATCAATGCCTACTGACCATAGAGTCCTTTGTCGCCCAGCTCAAGGCGGCAGGTTTCGAGGATGTGAAAACCCAGAACCTACGAGAGGATTTCATCAAATATAAGGAAATGGAACTGAATTTCTTAACCTCTACTCGCGAGGCTTTTATCCAAGAATTCTCGCAGAATGAGTTCAACAAAATGTTTTCGGGCTTATCAGCGTCGGTAAGTCCCTCTCACTAAACCAAGACCACACAAACACAAGACAGTCTTAAATGTCCCTCACACAAGTCTCTCCTCATATATTAACCAAGCCAGAATTGGAACTAATGATAACTCCAATTTGTCATAGACACTATTATCAAGTGACATTAATTTTATTTATTTTTATTCTCATGTTTTTATTTGGTGTAACAGGTCAGAGCAATTTCTACTGGGCTATAAGGTGGATGGCCATTTTCTGTAGTTCTTACTTCAGAAGTAACGGTACCATACAGAGAGCCACTTTTTACATTCCCTCTTTCAGAACCGATGGATAAAAGAAGGACAATTCGCATGGGGAGCCTTCACGGCGCACAAGAGATTCAGGGAGGACCTAAACAACAAGTGAAGTGAAAAGAACGACGCTGATTGGATTACAAGATTTCGACCCTCAAAAAAAAATCATAAAGAAATGATATCCATGCAAAGCAGTCATTGAATCTTGCTGTCCTTGGGTAAAGAGCTTTAAAAACGGAACCAATTTACCATCAATAAGAACAGATTAACAGAAATTTATGATAACCCAACATATCAACCAACTACTGTACAGCGTCAGATATTACAGTAAAAAATAAAAATAAAATATGGATTTAGCCGTCATCTATAAATGTTCTTACATCAATAACTACAACCACAACTTGATGATGATAACGAATACTATTTTGTTAGCTTTGTATAACGAAGAGATAATATCAACATCAGCAATCGAGATAAAGCATTTAATTGTTATGTAGACACCAAATATTATTTTCATGTTAAAATAATTAATCTTCTATTAGCAAGATATCCTTCAAAAACTATATACTGTACTACATTGATGTAAAATAATTGAGATAAAAACAACGATTCCCATCCATAACATTACTTACAAATCAAATGGTACAGGGGTGAGTCTGCCTACACACCCAGGCAGCCTCAGCCTGTAGTACTCCTAATACTGTAAAATTTAAACCAACTAACCTAAACCATTTTAAGTTAACAAAACCAGTTGCATCTCTCAGGGAAGAATGTACTGATCACTAAACATAGTTAAGTGTATGGCATCTAAACATTTTATAATAGTTTTCTAAAACAGTAGTATGTTGTCCAAAACCAGTTGCATCTTTCAGGGAATAATGTACTGATCACTAAACATAGTTAAGTGTATGGCATCTAATCATTTTATAATAGTTTACTAAAACAGTAGTATGTTACAACTATTTTTTTTCATACGTTACCGCAAGCGGTACATAATTATGATGACATATAAACAAATGTTATGTTAGGCTGTAACTCATGTCATGTTTATTGGGCGTGCCTGTCCGTATACAATGTAGTGTTGAGATGGTTGAAGATGAGAGGCCCAGAAGGAGGTTGGAGGGTGTGGGAGTTTGTTTATGTATAATTATAATCACCTGACTCAGCCATAGCTGACCAGCCAAGGGGCCAGGCTATAGGGTGGGCATTTCAGTATAGCTACCCATATCTTAAGAGTCAACACTTACCCTGGCTTCTCTCTAGACTTTCAACACATAAGTTTAACTAGTACTTATTGTGTACACAGGTAGACTGTGTCATTGTTTTTGTGTTAAGATTAGACTAATTACATAGCCATGATTGTTATGTAAATATATATTGGATTAAACATTTATGTAAGAGTGCCTATGTATGACTTACTTGAAATACTAAATGAATTGTATTCAACAGGTTTGACCGAATTATAATGTTTGTGTACGACGTGAGAAGTATTATTCACCCTCTAACCGTCTGATTGGCGGTTACACAACATTTACGTACTTCTTGTTTCTGTATTTTTGTGAAATAACATAATTTACAAGTTATATCTTCGAAAACTCAGGCTGGCCAATACAGAGGCACGACCATATACACAATCATAACATACACTAAATGGATAGCATCATTAGGCTCTGGTCGATCTGATGAAATAAAGTAATACCTGTACTGTATTAAATCTGTTATTTTGTTTTGACATCTTCAATGAATTTTCTTCCCGAGCAACGCAGGGTAACACTGCCTGAAGCAAATTCATTATTTTTAATTACACTTGACCATGGTCAAGGTCAAAGTTAGAGGTTAATTATCAAAACATTCCAAACGCAGGTTCAGCTTACAGCTAGACGATACATCTAGGATACTGTCTAGTCCTCCTAAAAGCAAAAGTACTCAAACCTCAAACAAACAAAAAATCAATTTTTCGTTATACCGGGTGTCCGCATTGAAGTTAAAGAACCCTGAAGCCTTATAAGGCTAGATATATGGATTATGTTAAACTGTCCTGGTTCGTTCTACTCCATAAAATATTCTTAATTTTATATTTATTTCTTCGATTTTTTTTCTTTAAACCTGTGGGACCTGACTCAGTTGCCCCCAAAAAAAAATACAACACTGCTGCGTGTGTATGGACATGATGATTGTATGGGTATAACGAGAACATGCGCATTTACAATATGCAACCAATAAATAACCACCAAACTACTAGAGTCCTGCGTGTTTTTAAGTAGTTGACGTACGTGTAAAACCTAAACAGATATATTATTACCTTAATAAGTTCTATTGCGTCATTACCAAAATGACTGAGATAAGACTGTCTAGAGTCCAGACGTGTATAAGACACTCACTCCACCACTTGATAATGATACAACTGCCTGGGGGGTTTGCATAGCTATAGGATGTTTAATCGTGAACCGAAAATAGCTGGGATACGTAATCTTCAAGTGATCCCAAATTAATGTGAGCACCAGTCCCATGCGGTGCCGGACGCGTAATTTTTTTCCTGAGGGCTTCCGTCATTTTCAACAAGCGGCACCGTCGCAGTGTTTGAAGCGCAGCACCACTGTACACTCCGTAAGAAAGAGAGAATGAGACGATCATTCATACTTGGCTTAATATTGCATATCCGAACGTAATAGATATTAATACAAACAAATAATAACCTAACCGAGTCAGCACGGCCAAGATAGAACGAATTCTTTCTGCCACCAGCTGATTGTACAGTGGTGCCGCGCTTCAAGCACTGAGACTTGCCTCTTGTTCAAAATGACGGGAGCCCCCAGGAAAAAAAAATCTCGTGCCGGACAGAGCCACGGGCCGTGGGCAGAGAATATTTTCGGGGCGGTCTCAACGTGACAACCACGCCATGCAGGAGCACGAGTTGTCTGAGTTTGAATAAATAAATCTCTCGTATTTCTGGCTTATATGGCTTTAGAGTTAGAGTTATATTAATAAAATACGTCGTCGTCGTTGTTGTCTTTTTCACCCACCCTCACATACAGCGTCACAGCAGCCTCACACCCTAACATTACATCCATACAGCTATTTTCGTTTGTAAAAAAGAGAAACTGCGAAAAATAAAACAATAATATTCACTCAATTATTTTGGGCTGGTCAAGATCTCGGGCCGGGGACAAATAACCCAAATGCCCCCACTATAATCCGCCATTGGTCCCATGATGGCTTCAAAATATGGAATCGCTTTAAATTTCCATAAACTATAAACTTTCTGACACCATCACAAAAACTCTGACCAACATTCATTCCACAAGCTAAATCTTTAGTCAAATCTAGGCACTTTTTTTTCATACATCTTGTTAACACGTGTTGACAAGCGTGCATGGATGAAGCGATTAACAATACCTGGTGGGGAATTTTTTGAGATACAAGACATACAAAGTGTTTCCAAGTGAAGAAACCGGTATGTCCTCGTCGAGTTCTATCTTGAGTAATAAAAATATCTATGGGATGCTCCAATTTCACAGAATTATTACGAACGTTACATAATTTTTACTAAGAGTAATCTCATGGACTGTGACCCTCTTCATTTTGCTGGTCAACAGCTATCTAGTAAATTGCTGACTCTTTAAGTTAATCGCTTAGGGATGAAACTTCCTTGCTGCCCGTTGATAACAGGTAGCCCATCCAGCGCCCAATATTATTATGCCATCAGCTAACTCTCAACTCCTCACTAGCCCTAGCCTATCACCCTCCTCCCCCCAGCATTTCCCACTCATACCAATTTTTTGGAAGCACTTCATACAAAACCATTTGTTTTTAGTAACGTCGCTGGCTTAAACATAAATAGCCATGACAACGATTTAAAATCTACTAAATTAATTGTGTAATAACAATAACAATATACACAGGAGAGAGCTGAGATGTTTTAAATTTTAGATAAATGTTTCCCAGCTTATCTGACTTCTTTTCAAACTTTGCTTCAACAGCTAAGGTTTCTATTCACGTAAACTGACTCAGCTCATGCACTTGATAACAATTATTGAAAACCAATGAATAAATGTATTTTTATACACAAAGTCCTATCCGAGCAGGATAGGACTCGGAGCAACGGATTTTAGTTGGATAAGTTTAGGTTTAGGAGGGAGATGGGAAGGAACTGGTTCACAAATAGGGTGGTGGACGAGTGGAACAAGCTTAGCAACTTTGTAGTAAGTGCTGGAACGCTGGAAAGTTTCAAAAGGAGGCTGGATAGATTCATGGATGATAGAACGTGGTAGTAACTCTCGACAGGAGCTTCCATGCACAGGCCAACCGGCCTATTGCAGACTCCTTATTTTCTTATGTTTTTATGAAACGCCCCACACGTGACAAGGGTGTTATCAGCTGGTGGTGGTATCCTAGCGTGCAACAGAGAGACATCTTCACGCACCGCCATCGTTTTTACAAATTCTGAATATTGTTTTTGTTTACAATAATTATCAAGTTTCGTGTTCTCGCTACTTGACAACAGTACTTCTCTCGAACTATGAATTTCATGTGTACGTTATTTTATTTATAGCTCAATTGTGCATGCCCTCAATGGAAAAATCATTCAAAAGTCATCCAAATGGTCAAGTACTGACACACAAATGAAGGCGCTGAACCTTGTCATATTTTACGCTATCAAAAACATTTTTTAATAGTAGCTGAGGTCATTGGCGTAAGATAAGACAACAATATGGAGTGGACTCTGACACTCGGAAGACATCAGCTGATCTAGTAATCATTGTTCTTACTTATTGTCTCAGTATTACAGTAAAAGTTTGAAGGGTGTTTTATTGATTAATGAATGTCTTTCCAAAACTGGAAACGTGTTGGTTACCGAGCGAATGTTTTTAACCGAAAAAGCATTGTATGTGTACAGTATGGCTGATATTCAACATAACAGTAACTTCTGAATCATGGTTGAATAAAGACACTTGGAAGAGGTGGAGAGTTGAAAGAGGTGCATATGAAAATTTTCGTTTCCGAGGAACATTCATTATAAGAACCCATGACCCTAGTAAGTAATAATTGGACCCAGTGGAATATGCTTTTTCAATGTAAATGATACGATGCAGTATATTTTTAATGTGATGTTGAGTTTTGACATAATCACACTGCCTTTGTTAAGGTTCTCAACTGAACTCACACTTTCTCGAATTATCATAGCTGTAATACTTAACTGTAGGTACAGCAAGCTAAAAAAAAAAGCCGAGCCGTCATTCGTAGAAAAAATCCCACTAGTATTTTGAGTGACAGGTTTAAAAAATTCAAGAATATTATATCAATACCCGGTTATGCAACGTTCAAGAAACGTCCTATTAAGCTGGGTGGAAGCTTCTGTCAATCGGCCACAAGGCCACGCCCGTGACCTAGTAGTTCACCGCTACCTTCTTCTACCAGCCAGTCACCCTAGCGACAAACATTTTGAAACCTGGCAACCTACTGATTGTTCGCATATGTTGTATTCAGCTATCACCGTGCTGGATTCTCTCTTTAATGAGAAAATTCTAGAACAAACTTAACTGGGGAGCCCCCCCCCCCCCTCCACACACAGCGTGCCAAAGTTGTCGATATATTTCATTATTTTAAGAACATAAGAACATAAGAACATAAGAAAATAAGAAAATAAGGAATCTGCAATAGGCCGGTTGGCCTGTGCATGGCAGCTCCTGTCGAGAGTTACTACCACTCTCTATCATCCATGAATCTATCCAGCCTCCTTTTGAAACTTTCCAGCGTTCCAGCACTTACTACAAAGTTGCTAAGCGTGTTCCACTCGTCCACCACCCTATTTGTGAACCTGCCTATATAATCAATGTATACAGCAGCTATATACATTTTAATATGGGCATATGCAGTTTTACCTCTCATAAACACAAACATCCATTACATGCTCGCCACACGTGAGAAGTGGACTTTAAACATCAGCAACCGACTCACGCAGTGGTGCCAACCCTAAATCAGTGATGTCGTTAATGCTCACCTTAGTTATACTGTATTGGTAAACTGAACATAGTACATATAACTAAAAATATCACTGGCTTAAGTACTGTAGCTCTGAAACAGGTTGGGCTATTATCCATCATGTTATGTTTAAGGAGTTGTACAAATACGCATACATCCATCTACATTCTACAGGAATAGACCATAATTAAATTACATCAATTAGAGATACATTACAAATATTCATAGATAGAGGCCATTACGCATTATAAGGAACATAGTAACTCGGTGGATGTGATATTATCTCAGGGATAATGGGGGTAATGCCACCTTTGGGTATTTTATTAAGACTAACGCCAGACAATTCTATTCAACTGCGAGAAACCCGTCAACGAATGGTTTAACAAGCAACTTCCTTACCCGACATATACATACTCTATATTATCGCTTAAGGCGGGTTACATTCACGACAGCACTAACATATACAGTATATTGCCATTGGTGACAGAACAGAATTATAGAAGCTATTGTACTCCTTGGTATCACTTCCCGTGGTATGGTACCCTCAGTAACACATGGGGAGGAAATTGGGCTAGATTACAAGTACGGAATCTTCCCACAGCACCTGTAGTCCTCTCCCCAGCCAGTCGCTTCCTTGCCAGACGTACGGCAGCAGGGTAGTCAGTTACCAGGCGCGAGCGTGTGCACCTCCTATATGGCTGACTATCCAAGTACTCAATTTTGAGTGACAACATCCACTTCGTCTTGACAGGTCAGTGGTTCCATACTAAAACTAATCCCTTGACGTGCTTGTGACTTATATTATTTTTGTCACAAGATATATTCGAAAAGCCTTTACATATTTAAGGTATCATGGTAAGGTTACTTGTTTTTTTTGCGTGTGTGTGTGTGTTTACGAGAATTAGCCCACCCGGGCCACAGGTCGAATGACCCACAACGGGGCCTAGGAGGCGAAAAAATAAGAACAAAAAGAAATTAAAAATAGAAAAGAAAAAGGTTATAGTGTATTAATCTACACCACGAAGATGCCGGAAAACCAGCGTTTTAAAGTGAGACCGATTGTATAAGTGTGGAAACACAGGAGAAGGCAGAGCATTCCACAGTTTGGCTGTGTGAGGAAAGGATGTACTATAACGGGTTATTATAGTGTGACAGACATCCACAGAAAAATGGTGGGCAACGCGAACAAGACGTGTGTTACCAGCCCACGGCCTTGCCGGCGGTACACAGGATGCCAAATCCACCGAACGGTTAGGTAGGTTAATTGGCAAATCCTAAATAATTTTAAGGTACAGTGTTAATTTAATTAAAAAAATTTGTGTAACTTAAATCAATTAAACTGTCCCACCCAAATATATCAAACGTAATTTAAGGCAACATTGACAAGTTAAAGGCTGAAAATAACTGGGGCTTCGTAAATCACATAGTTGAGGGGTGAGGTTATACGTCATGTAAATCTCGGTACTGTAGTACTGTACCGAGGCCGTTCGGTTGGTGCTACTATAGCGCGCGGTCTACAAGATATTTAGTTTAGGTCAGGTCAGGTCAGGTCAGGTCATTTAAGGTAAGGTTAGGTTAGACTAAAGCTGTCTTTGAAGACCGCACTCAAAAGTAGCACCGTTCAGTGCCTATGGATTTAGAAATCGTTGGTTGACATCGCCACCACAGCTGTATTATTTCCTACCGTCACTCTGCACTGAGTATTTCATAACATACAGCCATGCGACACGGTTATGAGTATCAAAGATATTTGTCAGACAAATGTATTTAACTACAGCAGTGGTTTTGTTACATCTTAAATGACTACAGTTTGTTTTGTAAAGCTACGTGTTACTAAAACCACGTAGTAGTGGATATGTAGAGAAGAGAGCCATGAACTCTGAAGAATGCAAGAGATGTAGGAAGGTAAAGTTAGGAGGTGGGGAATAAAGTGGAAGATTGAAAGCAGGTGGGGTACTGTATCCACCTTACAGAGACCGCGTATTTCTTTAACTGTGTTTTATATGTACCGGACAGTCAAAAACAAAAGATGGCTGATAATCCTATACCAGCACTATGTTTAAGGTTCATTCATGACGCTCTTTCTATTGTATGTACACCTCATCATTACTTACACCAATCATTTACTACCAAACTATGCGTATCTTAATTGGATATATTGCTAAATTTTATCATAACGTGAAATATGATCTAAAGTCTAAAAATACCTGACTGAAGTTGCTATCTCTTATCAAGGTTATCTCATTTAAGTCTGTTATAGGCAATTTTTTTCAAAATTTTATTTTCTGACCCTCCACCCCACAGTTGCCGCATTTTCCTGCTTGTTACACCAGGTGAATAGGTCAGGAAAAACTCGTGAATCCCCACCACCATGAGCAACAAGGCCGCTTCCGCCACACAGGAATTCCTCGACAGCTCTCAGTACTCCCTCAAGCGTATCCTTCGCTATGAAAGGATCTTCGGCCACACCTGGGTGTCCACAGGCGGCGAGACTACCACTAAGGTTTGTATAACCCGAAAACAAACTCTTCCTATTCCTCTGGATGAGAAAAATCACTAACCCCACATTTACATCACTGCAGGGCGCTTTGAATGCTCAAGCCATGCTTCACGATAATGATCCTACACCTCTGTATCTTGGCAGGACTTCCTGATCAAGTTGGGATTACGTCCGGGTCAGCGAGTATTGGACGTGGGCTGCGGATCTGGTGGGTCAGCCTTCTTCATGGCCAGGAACTATGGCGTCCATGTCCATGGCATCGACCTCTCCACCAACATGATCAACATCGCGCAAGACCGCTTATCTCGCGAGGACAAGGAAGTGCGCGACAAGGTAAGCTAATGAAGACTAACAGCGTCTTTGTCATGCTGAGTCGTGTAAAATTGTTAGTCCACAAACACTCGTAGCACTATCAGTCGTTCATTTACAGCTGTTGCTATCACAAACACTTGTAGATTCCCCTTTGACCCATATGCAGCCCATTAAATAAGCCAAGGTAAAGATAACTCCTACATCCCGCAGGTGAAGTTAGAGGTGGCGGACACCACTAAAGTGCAATACAACGCCATCTATGACGTCATCTACTCCCGAGACACCATTCTTCACATCCCTGACAAAGAACAGCTTTACAAGAATATGCACGTACGTTTTAGGGACCTAGGCCTACTTGTTCAGGGAGGAATAGGCCTACCTGCTATAGAGGGGGAATAGGAATGAAATTTTCTCATGAAAGTGTACTGGAACTGAATGAGAGTTTAATACTTACCAGAGAGGTGCACTATGGAGCAGTTCCCATGACTGGTTAACGACGACGTTAGTTTCCCTTTTATGTTATTCAGGACCCTTTGCAACCTCTGTTTTTGTCTATGTTGATAATATTGGACTTCACGTCTTCCCTCCTCCTGCAAGAGAATCTGCTTTCGTAAAAATGATCATAGATTTATATACTATATATAAAAAGCGATGAAACTAATACTGTACTCTCCTTCCTGAAGGCATGGCTGAAACCCGGTGGCACTTTGTTCGTCACCGATTACTGCCGTGGCGACCGTCAACACTCAAAAGAATTCATTGACTACGTGAAGCAGAGAGGTGAGGGTACAGCCTAATCTCATGGGAATATGTCAAAAAGACTTTTTAAAGCTAAACTTACCCAACGAACATAAAATTTTAACTAAATTTACCTAAAGACAATTTTCTGACAATATGCCCGGTTATATTTAATGTGGAGAATTGTGTCCACCGGGTTTAGTTAGAAAATTATGTCCACCGCATACATTTAGTCTAGAAATTATGTCCAGGCATAATTAGTCTGAGAATTGGGCCTCCGCGTATGTGCAGCTAAAACAATGCATTCTTTCGTCATGACTAATAAGAGAATTGTGTTCTTCGGACTTTATCAGCCAGGAAAACTTTATCCTGGGGGCGTAGTCAACAGTAAAATACTTTCTTCAGTGTCATTCAAAACAGCGACACCCAGGTTGAAAGAACATAATGATGATATTGGACAAGACAGTAGATGAGCAGAAGCATGTCAAATGATGAATAGATATGGGTGTAACAAACGTGAGTAGACTTGTTCAACAGAAAAAAGTATACATATTAGCAACGTATAATGAAGGAGACTTGTTTGTGTAGGATACGACCTACGGACGGTGCCGGAATATGGGCGAGTGCTGGAGCAAGCGGGCTTCAAAGATGTGCAAGCTGTAGACCTCACCCAGACCTTCATCTCCGTTCTCACCAGCGAGCTCAAGTACTTCGAGCCCACTCGCGAAGCCTTCATACTGGTAAGTTATGAGCACCCACACACGACAGGTTCAGGCAGGGTTATTCATCGGAGAAACATATAAATAATACAAACAGGATTATTATTTTTTAAGACCTCTGTACTCCAGTTTTCTAATAATAATTATTACTATAGGGAATTTAAAATATAGTTACAGTTGTCAGCAGAAGTCCTCCCGCAGCCCTGAGTAAGAACTTTTACTGGCAACTGTACATTGTGATTTTATGAGAATGCTAATATTGTTCCCAAGTAAATATGGTATTTCGTTCTCATGTTTTCCTTCTCCATGGCACTCCCTTGTTTGCCAATTCTATTGTTATATTATTTTGTAAGATAGATGTTTCAATTTCTCTTACTTCCTATACCTTCATTACGACAAATTCCGTACGTTTCCTCATGAATCATGTACTTTCCACCCTGATTATTATACACATATACCCGACACATCAATACAGTATGTTCCTTCGTTGAACACCCCCTGGTCTATCCTACAGGAGTACAGCGTGGAGGACTACAACGAAATAGTAGGCGGTTGGAAGCAGAAACTAGTGCGCTGTGCTGCCGGGGACCAGGCCTGGGGCATGTTCATTGCTAAGAAGTAATTCCTCCGCCTCCTGAACTTTCAAATCCACCTCAATCACACCATGGATGACTGGAAGAGGGAGTCACCGGGTCACCAAGATTTGTTATAACCACATCAAGATGTCCACCACTTCCACAACACACTCATTTCTAAGTTGAATAAAATTTGGGTCTGTCAAAAAGAACCCTTAAAACTGTAATTAGGAAAGAACTTATTGATGAGTTTGACGCAAGTAGACAAGTGCAAACAGGCACTAGTCGATCCATAGGTTACCATGATGAGATGTATCAAGTGAAACATGTATATGGAGCAAGTAACAAGATTACAAGATGTTGTAACCGCTAGATTAAGGTTAGGATATAAGTACCTTTGGCAGTATGTTCCTCAAGCAGATGTAAACAAAACTAAATGTAAAGTGTGTGGCCATACATATGGCCACACTTGAACACTACGTCCTCGACTGTGTGAAGATAGAACCTTTTAGGGACAGGTCCAAGCACACTGTGTGTGAAATGGCACAACACTTCATCTCTAATGGCAAGATAGCCGACATATTAAGATTGTATCCACTTTTTTGCACTTAGTAACTATATCAATTCTCATGTACAGAACCAAATACGCAATGTGCTTGAATACCTCCCACGTAAATATGAATAACAAAGTGTGAGGCCAGACATACTGCCTCACACGCCTGTTCTCACGCATTTGTGAATAAGTTACCCTTTATGTATAGAACTAAACAAATAATGTAATGAAATACTGTGTAACTTTCAGTGCCATAATATCCTGACAACGGGGGTTAATTATTATGACCCTTTGTAAACCCTACTCTGTTATCCTTTTGCGCTACCGCTCACAGGATGAGTGTGGGGTGCACAATAAAGTAGCCGCTGCAAGCGGCAAAATCAAAATCAAATCATTTCTAGGTGTCTATTAACTCCAATCTCCACCCAGTGCTTCCAGAAACCCATCCACTTATGACTGACATCCAAGTTAAGAACACCCCAGGAATTTGTTTAGCGATACCTTAATCCTCGGCATGGAAATCTCAAAACCCGTGCAGTCCCACTGATCCCGTACAAAAATATTTGGAACCCATGCTTACAACTACCTCCACCGCATTGAATATTCCACGACACTTGAAAATTATTCAATCAAAGACACCTCCCCCCCTCCATATAGTAACTCCCAAATTGCAAAAATTCGTTCAAGATAATCACGTCATAGGTACCCACAACCTCTCCAGACTACGATACTGACTCTCCTCCCACTTTTACTTATAGATATCAAGGATTTTGGTGGCAATTCCGTCCACGATACACTACTTCTAGATTTAGATGGGAAAAAAAGTGAAGAATAATTTCCATCCCGAGTACCCACAACTGCTGCATTTTTTGTGACGTTCTCTACTAGATATTCCTGCATTTATGTGTCGTTCCTCCAAGGAAGATTAAATATTTTATTTTAATTTTCCTTCCTTGTCTATGACACATATTTCAATAATTACTACGGCAACTCTTCTTTTCTCCACACTAAGGACATGTTACAATTTTCACGTGAGTTGCAGGTGTTGGCCGTTACGGGTAATGTTTGAGATGTTTACTTAATGAACGTCAAGTTATCTAAAGCATATATAATTTTAAAATACAAAATATATTTTCCTCTAAGATGTTTTGCATTTTCTTGTGAACAAATATATTTCTTTATATAATATAAACGAACGTAAAGTTGGAAATAATATTGCTGAGAGTTAGTCAAGCAATCTTATTTCCATGTTTAAGTACGTTTACACGGATTCAACATTCATTGGTTTTGAGCTGGCAAATTGAAAATATACTTACATACATTGTGAAGTTTACACCATAACACTGCATTGCTTATACTACAAAAACCTGCAACGGTAAAATTAGTATCACAGCACTCGTCCACACACTCGAAGTATTTGTGAGGCACTGAGGCAGCTTCAGGCAACGCGCGCCGCTTGACGTGACAAGTGGGGCAGCTCTGGAGTGTCGAATAATTCAGCAACGACTTAACCTGTAATGTTGATTGGTCCCACAACGCATTTATTGAAATGTCCTAATTATTTAGTAAGTTCTTTCCTAGCATGATAGATATTGGTGTTTTCATTATTTAATGATCTCATTACTGTATTATTATATTATCGTGGGGAAAAACATTTTATTTGGCGGCTTAGTTTCTGGCTCATTTAAATCTTTATTCCAACCGACAGGCGGCGTCTCATTCACTAACCAGAGGTTTGGGAAAACCTCGTACAGAGGTGCATTTAAAATGCAGCATTTTACTTATACTGTAGTCAGTAAGAAATAAAATAGTTCCATCGCTCATTTATAAAAATATTCATAATCAATTATTTCTAATAACTTATTCTCCTATCAGTATTGTACGTCGGCCAGCGAGATGAGGAGTGGATCATGGGCATTGCAGAATCTGAAATATCATGCAGTGAATAAAATGCAAGTTGTTTTTCTTTCATTGGGATTAATTTTATCAATGAGCCGTCGTTTCCAAATACTGTACAATACATATATGTTGTTTTTGCGCTGTAGCATCGGGAGCTAGTTAATAAACAGTATAGAGTCTATAGACAGACATCCAGGGGCTCTAAGCAGAAGAATCTAAATTCTGGAGGATTTATGAGACTGAGTTAGTCCGGATTCTTAAGAGTAACAACAAAGATTCTTCTGTACCACAGGAGAGAAATGGCCAATTGACGGCTGTAGGAATGCAGAAGAATGCTTCGTTTCCTTTAACCGGTAACGAGTTCATTTGGTTTCTTTGCTAATTCATTGTACTACCGTCAGTCGAGCCAGATAACTAAGGGTTCATGGGATTATTTCAGAGCAATTTTCTGCAAACTATTTACGGAAGGCTTTGAAGTCAGTCATTACCATAAGACATAATAATTAAAATATAAATCATGCTCTGCTATTGATTACTGTACATAGCAGTAAAGGCAGGGAGCTCTGTCACCTAACCTTTTAAACAAACACAGGATGCTTACGTAATTACAATAGCTGTTAACCATAAAAGAATTAAAAAAAATGGAAACGAAACCAAAGGAAAAAATCAAAACACAACAACCATAGACAGTTTAGCTAAATTAGTCTAGAGCTTTGATTCCCCACAACACACTTGGTTGTTTTTGAGTGGTGATGAAGGAGCCTTTTCAGTTTCCAACAAGTCCATTCATAATTGTAACGAGAGCTGTGATGACCAAACCAGGCACGACTTAACAAACCCATCCACAAATACCTGGACACACATTAAGAAAACCGGAGTTTTAAGACTCAGTGAAACATACTGTTAGGATTTGTTTTCCATTTTATTATAATGCTGCTGGGATTATGTCCAATGGGATTAAGTCCTGTGAAAAATTGCCTGCTGGTAAGAATTTGTTTGGAAGAAAATTATCAAGTCAGATTTTTCACTTGTTGGTAACAAGTGTTAGGAAGATACAAAAACACCAGGTGTGTATGTGTGGTTATAGGTGGGTGGTAGACTCAAGTGGTTTTTACGGTTGTTGGCAGTAAGTCTTCTTCATGGTAATCCTGAAGCCATACAGAAAAGGTTTTTTACACTGGAAGATATAATAAAATCAGTGGCCCACCATTATTTACATTATTACTTTTATCCTCTTCGCCATTGTTCGGTTCGTTAGCCGCTTGAGCGGTCGGTAACGTCTCTATTACACAGTGGTAAGTACTGGCTCCAGAATGTATGCATCTGTACTCGGTGTCGTCACAACGCTCTGTGGAAAATTTTTCGTGAGTCTATGGTGGGTGTTGTTGCCACAGCAGATATGTCTTCATAGTGGATGGTAGGGAGATGCCTGGTGGGAGACCATGAAGTGGCAGGACTCCTGAGCATACAGAAGGGGCAGGTTTGTAGCACAGCTGGGTGGGTTTAACAGCATGAGTGAGAAGTGTGTGTCGTTACTTCTTGGCAGTGAAGGCTCCCCATACGAACTGCTGACTTTTTACCCAACCCAGCTGGTGATTCAGAGAGATAGGCAATTACTACAACTCTGAAGACACATCATGACGTATATAAGAAAGTTAAACCATGGGATATATGAGAGAACAACAGACGAGGGTGAAGCAACAGACGAGGGTGAAGCAACAGGCGAGGGTGAAGCAACAGACGAGGGTGAAGCAACAGGCGAGGATGAAGCAACAGACGAGGGTGAAGCAACAGACGAGGGTGAAGCAACAGACGAGGGTGAAGCAACAGACGAGGGTGAAGCAACAGACGAGGGTGAAGCAACAGGCGATGGTATTACTCCTTTCAACATCCTACTCGGGAATAACACAAGCTGTATTATATTAAGCCTTAAACAGTATTTACTTAAAGTATCGTTCTTAAGCAGCATATTAAAGACTGACTACGTCCTGTACAATACTATAATATTACATACATATACCAAAATGGATTTACAATTTCCTATGTGTTAATGCATATGCGTAATTAGATAATATTTCAATGGAAGTATGAACATATGTAAGAGTATCAGTACATGAAGTATTACGTAACACCCACCTTATTGGAGCATATATTGACTAGCACATCAAAGTCCTCCTGAGAATACTGGTCGACAAAGGCTTCCCTTGTGGAGGTGAAGCTGTCTAACTCTTCCTTCTGGATGTCATAAAACTTGTCGCACAGGTCCTGTTCCTTCACCTCCTTGAACCCAGCAGCCCGCAGAGTTGCTCCGTATGTCTCCATCGTCACAAAGGCTGAACCTATTGGGAGTATAAACACAACACCACACTGTCTGAGGAGCTATGTTCTCAAAGTGAAGACAAAGTGTGAGAATGGGAGATATTTTCTAGTGTACCTTAATGACAAGACAGTACTGTAAACGTTTTCTAAATCACAGACACGAGGTAAAAACTACTTTCGAAATTGTTCCTTTCATCGTTCATTATCATATTCCTGTATCACTTAAGAAAGTAATTATGGGAGTAACATCTTCCCACAACTGAAGTGTTACGTAATTTAAAAAAATAATTTTTTTTATTAATTCGGCTAAATTAGCTGCAAAATACAGTATCAAATTCCATCAAGATTAATGACCTTTTGGCCTTGAAAACTGATCCAAGACCTTCAAAATTTAATCAGATGTAATACATCTTGTCTAAAATTGGTCAATATCTATTTATCCAGTCTTCAAGAACTGTATCTTAAACACAAGATCTGGAAGAACAGATGCACAGGGACAAACCAAGGTCATGAATACATATTTAAGAAAGACACTGGAGAAAGATCCATAATGTTGGGCACAGAAAATAGAACTACAAAAAACAAAGGATCCAGAGAAGATAATGTTTAAAAGTAGGGAAAGCACCGTCATAAAGGCGAGACACGAGATAATATTGTGTAGTTATCACAATCTGACAGTGTTAAAAACAAAATGTGGCAACGACAACTCACATGACTTCTTCTCATAGCTAAGGAACTCCTGGGACAGGCGGCCCGTGCCCCGGAAGTAGTCGGTGGTGAAAAGTGTCCCTCCGGGTTTCAGCCACCGCTAAAACAAATAATTTTTGTGATTAGGACTCTATATACATTTATTTATCTACTGTATGTATTTGCCCAAATCAGGTATGTCTTCAAGGAAAACAAGGACAGAGTATAATGTGGAAGAGGTACTAGAGTTTGGAGGAGTGTAAGATGTTGTGCAGTTAGATCTCCTGTTTGGTCTACGTCATGGTGGTGGTGAGTGATAAACGGCGTAATGAATATAGAAATAATGACAAACTATGTCTATACCCCCTATTATCCTTTTCAAGCTATAAAATGGTTCCTCAAACAGAAACTCCACACGCATATGCCACTATCCATTTCTGTGCAGCTTCTATACCGCCAGATATCAAACACATACTTCATCTTTCTGTCCTATTCTTCCTACTTCTACATCTGTTATGATTTCTTCCCTTACCATCATATTAACACACCATCAATGTAGCGACAATGAACGAAGAAATGTAAATAGGAAAATTAGTCATTTCTTTAGGTTGGAGATGATGTCCTCTTTCTAAATAATAGCTAAATGAACTATCCAAGTACTGCATTTTGTAGCTAACTGATGAAATGCATGATAATTTATGTGATTATCCATAAAACTAAAGGAGTGACATTTCTATAAATTTCCCTCTCTAAAATTATCTACCAGTGCCAGGTTTGTGTATTTTATTTGTATCATCCCTCGTCAACTTGTGCTACAACATGGATGTAAGGCAAAATGGTTGAGGTTGTTTACTATTCCTTTTCTCAACCAGTTACAGCCTTCTTATGAGGTACATGTGGTCAAATGATGTCTATTGGCCATGACAGTCATCCGCTTACCAACCTGCAGTCTCGCCATTGATTTAATGAGTTCAATTGCAAAGAACTGTTAACTTGCCCGAGTGGAAAACTTAACCGGGCAGACAGGTGGATTATGATCATTATATTAGACAAACACATAACGCCCCCTACCACAGATGGCAGGGGCAGAGAAACTAGCATATTTCAAAGAATTTGGTTTACTTAAAAATAGACGTTTCCTTTGTCTAAAATAAAGAGATATTGATCATGTAAACACGTTCACACTTACATAGAGTTTGGGGAAGAGTTTATCTTTGTTGGGGATGTGGAGGATGGAATCCCTGCTGTAGATGACGTCATAAGTGTTGCTGGCATACTCTGCTTTCATGATGTCACATATCTCAAACTGGATCTATGGGGGGACGAAAAACAATTAAATGTTTACTCAGTACTTAACGACAATTATGACATTTTGTACTGTGAATATGAAGTAGTATATATGCAAAAGAATTATAGGTGGTCATTAGGTAAAAAATATTTATGTATATTTTGGTACTGTACTTACCACAACTTTACAATAAAATAATAAATTGATGCCCTGTTGTTGTGTCAAACAGATATGCAGTACGTATATGTTTATTCTACCTCTTATTTAAGCTTTCACTTTCCTTACATATTATCCATCATTCTCGTTTATCCACCATGTTCTTGGTCCCATTTAAAGCTTGATATGCCAGGATAAGCAGGAGGAAGATATAAATTATCCATTACAATGAAATAAGCCCCAGAGGCCACTGCCTATTGTGTAAAGCACAAAACATACATGAAATTAATCAGCCCACTCCGAGGTAACTGCAGTATACAACCTTAACATAGCACCCCACCTTGTTCACGCAACACAAACTCATTTCAATCACAAACCCGTTTCTTGTCGTCTGTGTTCAGGTTCTCCTGACGGTCTATGGATAAGTTGATCATACTGGTGGAGAGGTCGACGCCATGGATATGAATACCGTAGTGTCTAGCCATGAAAAAGGCTGAGCCACCAGCACCGCAGCCTACGTCCAGCACCCGCTGACCTGGACGTAATTTAAGATGTCCGCAGAACTCCTGGTAAACAAAAAGACGTCACAACTCTGTCCAAATAATCCTACTAAGTACAGCCGTTAATGGTCATGGTGTAACTTCTGATGCATTGAAAATTAACATATACATTTGGCCTAACTACAGTAGATCTATAACTTCCTTTCATAAACATAAATGATCTCCCTCCCCCACTATCTCGCCTCTACAACAAGTATGTTATAGGAAAAATAATCAACAAAATAAAATAGTAATATCCCTCCCACTGACTTCAGGACCTTGAAGCGAATAATAATGGGGAGTTAAGCAACATCCAGGCATGATAAATTCACCACACCATCAACACACGCACAGTGTTCAGCAACACAGCCTAGTACACGTCAATCTTCTCCATTGTTAAGCCTCCACATACATACAGTATATATGTTTTTTTTGCCCCCTTCTAGGTCTGCAGTTTCACTACGAAAGGGAATTTGTTAACTCAGGGGCGTTAACACTGTCTTCAACCTCCCACTCAACTAATTTGTCAAGCTTTCATAACGTACTCATAGATATACTGACAATTAAAATCAAATACAGATCTATAATGAGTACAAGTATGAACGTACCCTGGTAGTGGCTTCACCGCCTGTGGACACCCAGGTGTGGCCAAATATCCACTCCAGTTTGAGGATGAAGGACAGGGAGTAGCGAGTCTCCATAAGCTGCTCTGTTGTCTCCCTCTCGACCCGTTCAGCCAGGAGACACACCTCACAAGGATCTCCGCTCTTATGCATGGAGAGGCCACACAGAAAAGGTATTATATATATCTTACCCAAACATTTCAAACTGCCTTGACTATTGTCGAAGTTTGAAGATTAAACACTAATGACCGAAATATGTAAGGTGAACAATTCTATATTCAGGTGCAACTATTAAACACTTTCATATTTTTATAGATACTTTTCATCATATTTGTCATTGGCACAATAAAAAAAATAGCATATCAAACCAGTTATATGAAAACCACAGGTAAACACTCACTGCGATGTAGGCGACGAGGTTTTTTCCACGGGTGACGTTGAGAGCAGAAGTGGGAGATGTGGTGGCGTGCAGCATCCCGCAGTACTTTCTGCCGTTCCTGTACACTCGCCCGTCGCCAGTCACCACCTTCCCAACTAGTGAACAGTTTATTCAATGTTCGAGTCAATAAAGATATCCTATAACCCAGCCTACAAAGTATACAACGTTGGAAAAACTTACAAATAGACATGAACATTCTCTTACTCTGTTCCCCGGGATGTCCTTTTACATACAACTACTGTAAGCTACAACCCTCACAATACCGAACATAACACAAACTGAGGGGATAAGAGATACTGCGAATATTAGCCACATCAATCACTGAATCTCAAGACTCCCAGCTGCTGTAATAAGCCACACTGCATATACTGTATATCGCTTTAAACATTTTGAGACGTAGGTTATACCAATAAAAATAAAGGGTATGGTACAGAATGGCGACAAAAGAATAAATAAATAGAAAGCAAGATTGTTGTTTCTTCATACTTTCGTGTTTCAAAGTTAGCCATCGCCCCTTTCCATCTCTTAGCCAAAGAAAATACCGAGTCACATACGGAAAAATCGTAAAATAAAAAATTAATAAAGATGATCTTAAAATGAAAATAAAATAAGTCTCCATAAAAGAAATTAAGTGATAAACAGATTACCAAAAAAAACTTTAAATATAAAGTTGATAGATCAAAGTTGACATGTTTGACTAACCACCAGGTTGAAATTAACAGGTGTAAAACGACAAGTATCATATTACATATTCATTTCTATATAGTATTTAATTTACAATGATGACCAGAGAACTAACCTGACGGGTGGTACGATTTCTCCCTCAAGAAGAAGTGGCCGCCAGGGGTGAGCCAACTCAGCACCCGGGACATAAGGTTAGAAGCAGAAGGGTCATGAAGGTTTTCGAAAAGCTTGCTGCTACACACAAGGTCAAAGCTCGCCGACGGGAAATCTAACCTACAAAGAATCAAGTTATTGGGTGGTGGACGTTCTTATTGGAAGGGTAGGGAGGAAAATTAAACCTAGGGGTGGGGAAAGGGAATTAAACCCGAGATGGGGAAAAGTTTGAAACCTGAGCAACTGAGGACCTAATGTTTATTACAAAGAATTTTTATTTTTCTCTCACAAAGAAAAATGCTTAAGGAAAATATACAACCACAAAACCATTCACCTGAAATGATTAAGACGTTGGAAATATATTGCAGTGGGTCGGTTGAAGTACTACGGATTGTGATGACTGTAGGAGAAAAGAATAGAACCGGGGTTTCTCAGTTGAATAAAACCATCAGGCGTTAGCAATGAATAAAATACCCGAGTGCAATACTACTCCTTAAACTGGGTAAAATATATCGAGTTAAACTTGTCGTCAGTAATAATTCGTCATCGCAATGGCGTATAAAAAATATTTCTTTTATAATATTGTATGTTGACGTACCAGTTATAGTTAATGATCTAATCACATAAGGTGAGGCACTACCGCGTTGCATCAACATTATTTCAGCCACACGGTTCTTGTAAGCATAGTTGACGTGCAGTGGTGGTACACTTCCTTCTGTTGTCTATATTTTGTTTGTTTGGAATAAAATTAATATCCCCTGGACCTTCCCCTGTAGTGAAATATTTAAGTAAATAAAATAAAAATATATCAATAAGTGTTGCTGGTGACAGGCAGTTAAAAAACGGGGAACACCTTAGTATTGAGTAAACTCACTTGGTAACGTCGTCACACTTGAAGGTAACGTTGTCCACGTGATGGTCCTTGAGCTTCTCATTGGCATTGTGTTGCATGGAGTCCACGGCGGTCACGTGAGCCGCCACCGCTGCCAGTTTGTACACAAAACTCCTGTTAAAGACATCGTCCATTACTGTATATTACCATAATGGTCATGTGATATACCAGTCTACCACTTGGCCGAGAACGTCAACCTCATGTGGGGTGAAGGGTCTAGAGTAAAGAAATCATGACACGGGGATTGTTGTGTAGTAATTTCGTAACTCAAGAGAATATCAGTTGTGCAATCGATTTACAACAGTCAGTTAATAATAGAGGGATAAATTGTATCATCACCGCACAGAGAAAGAATTGTCAGTCAACTCACTAACGGAGGTTTGGTTGATCTTTCAGCTCCCGAGAGGAATATTAGCTGAAAGCTAATGAGTCATTTGGAAACAAACAAAAATAAATTTCATAATATTTTGACGGCACTAACCTTGTAGCATTAAGGTAGAGAACCCTTTTCGCAGCGAGATCTGGTAAGAAGACCATCACCTCCTCCTCCGCCCTCTCCTCCACCACACAGTCGCGTCCTGCTTCCATCCTGCAAGCTGATTTCAGGAGTTAATAAATAATGATCGACATATGCAAGGTGTTTTTCAGGCGTTAAAGTAATTTTCGACTTGTAAAATAAAGCATCGTCGTGTTGTTTTGTAATTGGTAATCATAATAGGAACCAAGATTAGGTCAATTACTCCTAAAATTAAAATTACATTTCAATGTTTAATTACAATATAATTAATATAATGTTTCGATTACAAATAATGTTCACTTAACTATATTGTTCAAGCGAACCTTACAACTGAAGCCTAGTGTCAGTTTGCAGCATGGCACCCGAAGAGCCACTACAGTTTTGTACGGTATTTAATATATCGTATTTAAATTACGAAATTTTAAGGGATAAAAACCTTTTTTATGTTAATCCGATAATTTCCGCACTTGGAGAAGCAAAAATCAGCATGTGAAACGCACTGGTAACAAAAATATCATTACGAACCCATCTTACACACTACCAGACCCAAGACCCAATCAATAAAACTAAAGAAGATACATAACTGAGCAAGCAATTTCTCACCAAAAAAATAGCAGTCTAAGTACAGTAATATAGTTAGTGCTTACTTACTGGACTCAAATCTCAAACACCTATTCTTAAAGTTTGTCCAAAAATTAAACATTTAATGTGGCAGAACTGGAGCAAACGTTTACATATTTATTTTGGTATAGGCTACTACTGCTGGTTTACAGTATTTTAACATATCGGCAGCAATTTTATGTATAACCGATATGAAGTCAAACACGACCAAAAGAGGTGACCAATATTTTATACTTCTAAAAATGAAATATCAATAATGGTGGACCCCATATAATTAGATATTGTATAGACTAGAAGAGGGTATAGATGTGGATCAGTTAGGCACTACGTGTGGGAAGCACGATACTGATAGAACACCTGCTGATGTTCGCCATTACATAACTTCAGTCTTCTTTTAACATGGGCATGTTATGGTTCCCTTACTACCTGTAGACAAACTTAATTACCAGTAACGATGATTGCACGTAATGGTTTCAAGTTATATTATTACTTAAACCTGTTAATATGTAACATATAAACGGTTTAGCCTTCACAAATATTTAATTTCCCCAGCTTTTTCAACTAGCCTAACCTAACTTAGTTGTAAACTAACTTACGATCTTAGAAATATTACGAGGGTGTAAAACTGTAAATAAAAAGTACCTCCAGACACAGCCACGCTCACACGTAACCTGCCAGTTGTTGTTCACAGCGATACTCCTACTGCAGGTTGTATCCAGGGACTCGGTTGTTCCTCATATGGCAGTGTTGCCACTTTTTGTATTTTCAGATTTATTCGTTCGCGGCCTTACAAGTCAAACACTGTTAAAATTTATTAATTGTATTTTCCACTAATCAACAAGGAATTGGATTGAACTTGTTATATAAACCTGTTATAGGCAAATATTTTATACTTGCCAATTAAAATTTTCTAGCGATTATCTGCCATATCAGTGTATATACACCCCCCCCCTGTACTGTAATCGAACGTCATTTGAACCCATGTCAGGTCTACTTTTATTTAAGTTTTCTTATTTTAAATGTCACTGACAGCCTTTAATATGTAAATATGTATTATCGTATTCAAAATCTACTTGGAAATTACCTCCGGAAGATTTCAAACCCAGGACCAGCTCACTCCTTAACGGGAGCTCATGAAATAAAGGAATAATATTAGCTTTGATGTAAATATGTACGGCAAGTGTCTCGGCGGGCTACCCCCTCCCCCTCCTCACAGGCTGGCTGGCTCGCTCGCTCGCACACACACACCCTTGACAATTACAGTACAGTACTTATTTAAATCTAAAGGCAAATATTTAATATATGATTGAATGAATACTTTAACATAATATTACATATTATTAACAAAGTGAAACTTTATAAGCTCATCTACAACCTCCCCCAATAAGCTGAAGGAAGTAGCAGACGATGAATAAACTATGACCACCCTTCATAACCACCCAGCATCACCACCCCACCCACCAACTCCCTAACCTCACCACCCCAACCACCCTCAGTGGCGTAGCTAGTGTGTGCCGCCCGGGGCGGCCCTTGAGTTTGCCGCCCCCCCCACAAAAAATACATATTGCACAGTGACTCACTCTTATATATATATATATATATATATATATATATATATATATATATATATATATATATATATATATATATATATATATATATATTAAATAGTTTGTGTACCATTATAATATTACTGTACTTTCACATACTCAAATATAGTATGCTTTAAATACACCCCAAACATACTTAAACTTTATAAGTAACAGTTAAACAAAAAGCAAAAACGACATATAGGATAGGGAAAAAAGTAAAAAAGTGTAAAAAATTAGGACCATCTTAATATTTAATCTCAGTACCGCAGCAAAAGTCACATCAATATTTTTTAACCAATACTTTATTATTTCTTACCTTATAGTATTATGTCTTCCAACGAAGTAAATAACTGGATCGAAAACACAAGAGAACATAAAAGTCGTCTAGCCTCCCCTCGTCTTGTCACGATGGAGACTTGTGCAGAACTGAAGTGAATTGCTTGTAACTGGTGGATTGGTCGGCTGTACATGAACTGATATGACCCGAGACTGCATGGTTTTGCAGCTACTGGAGACGTTAATCCTTCCCTTTGTATCGGCGGCAAGTTAATCCTCGTCGTGTCTGACCTAACACCTGACCCACACCACATGAGCTCACTGGCGTACTTGTTTGAAGTTGTTTCCTTAATCCTCAACAGGTTACAGGTTGTGTGTGTGGCGGGGGGCCTCATAGCAAGGGTGTAGCTCATGACGTGGCCGTGATGATGTGGGTCAGGTGTTAGGTCAGACACGACAAGGATTAACTTGCCGCCGATACAAAGGGATGGATTAACGTCTCCAGTAGCTGCAGATATGGGTGATGAGCAGACCCAAAAGGGCCGCCCGGGGCGGACCGCCCCCCCCTAGCTATGCTAGTGCCAACCACCAACTCCCTAACCTCATCAACACAAACTACCCTTTGCAATTACCAACCACCACCGCCAACCAATATCATCGACCCACTACCACAATCACTCTATCCACACCATCCCTATGCATCACAACCACCTACTACTGCCACCACCACTAAGAAAACCAAACGCGCACATGCTGCTCATGTACCTGTACTGTATATACTGTACCGTGATAAGTGCCTATATGGTATTACATCAATTAATTTATGAGAGCATTATGTAAACAAAGCATTTAAATCAACACTGCCAGATCATAGAATGAGTAAAATTCTATACATCTAATAGCTTAAAAATAATCTGGTTCCACGATAATGTGACTCTCAGGGTTCACACCTCAGAGAGAGGGTGGATTGACAACGCTGTGTGTACCAATCGGGAAAACTCCCCAACTGTACATTACTTTAGCCTTAAAGTTGCTATCATAAAAGTAAAAATTTGTTTTAAGTATTTACTGTAAATCCAATAGAAAGTTATTTGATTAAAGTAACAAAGAACAGCTATACTTGATTACAAGGAGGGCCATATCCAGAGCAGGAGAATTGGGGATTAGTGTTGGACATCCATATTAGGTTTAGTGCACAAATCACATGTAGTATGTAATTAGGCTACACTTAATTTATTCTGCATTCTTCTGGGACAACTATAGGAGGGGGGTGTATGGACATCCAATAACCCTCCCCTGAATATGGCCCTGCAAGGATCTCTACAAAACTTCTGAATGATTGTATGGTGGGGAAAAATTTGATAAAAGCAATCCAGAAACAAGTTTACTTACCTGCTGACATTGGATTCCCTCCTCCATATAAGATCCTTTGAGCTCTGGTCTCTTTTGAGTCTTCCCTTTGGTAACTTTGGTCAGTATTTTCTCCATTCAAATTTTCTGGCTTTCACCCATCACAGTCTCTACCTGCCTGGTTGTATTAATGCACCACACACCTGGCATTTCCACCTTTCACTATTCAATAACGTAGAAAGATACTGATGGTTGAGGGCCCTCATGCCAATGAGTCGAGATTCCAATTGAATGAACATAACTGCAATTTAAGTTACAAGAACTTTATTCATAATGCATTTTAGCTAAGTTTTTATGTTCATAATAATATAGGTGATACATAGTTTGGAGAATAAACAAGACCATAACAGTCTATTTCAACTTACCTGAATGATGTAGCTATATCTCTGGCCTGTATGGATGAAGCTAATAGAGATGTTCCAAAGAGAATTCCATCTTCTTTCCTTGGCTGTGATAAATTCAGGTTGTCAAGCCATAATGTTTCTCAGGTAATGTAGAGTGGAAAATGATTTTTCGAGTTACTAAATTGGTATTGTGAAGAATACCTTATGATAATACTTGTACAGTATATACCTCACCGTAGTGAAGCTTCATAAATAGGATACCAGGTGAGTGAATCGGTATTTGAAAAGTTGTGACTTGTCTCGAAAATTTAGACTCTTTGATTAGGTCTAGTAACATCTGCAGTTGGGTGTGTAGCTTAATAATGTCCAAATCTTACTATACAAATCTACTGCTGTGGGATTCCCTCCCACCCAAACCCCCTTCTCACCCATGTGACCACTACAGATCATTCAAGTGAAGACATTCACATACTGTTTGGAAACACAAGTTGAGTGTGACTACCTTGGTCAATGTTGACCTCCTGAAGATGCAACTGGCCTCATTGAGGAAAAGGAAATCTAACCCTTGACAATGTTACGTCAAATAGGGTAAGAAGTAACAACAGACAAGGAGTTGACGACAACTAATGTGTTAATGATGAAGATGTCTTGAAGGTTTCCTGCCATGTTGGTTGGTGTACGACCTGTTGTAGTTATCTTATAAGAGAAGCAGACACTGACACTTTCACCTTGTTTCCTTCTCTTTTGTAATTATGACAAGACAGTCTTCCTCCAGCACCTTTGTAAGGAGGCAAGGTGGATAGTCTTCCATAATTATGTCTGGTGTAGGGGCAGACAACGTACTAATACTCTTGACAACCAACTTAAAACACCGCCTTAAACAAGTGGAGACTGAGGGTAGGCAGAATACCATAGAAATGAGCTGTATTTTATTAGGAGGGCAACAGTCACCTTGCACACCCACCTGAGTTATCATGGAGCTCTGCATTGGTGGTGGTAAAGTTTAACCACTAGTCATTATATTTCCATGCCAAGAACTGATGAGGCCACTTTGGGGGAGGAAGAAATTTCAGAATGCAACAATGATATTTGAATTCAATTTGCCGAAGTGTAACTGCATTTTAGTGACCCCAGACTGCCCATGAGAAGCTTTACCCATGCTGGGGATTAAGGCGCCTTCTTCATTTTCTTGCAGGCACCGACCAAAAGTAAGAGGTGGCTCCTTCCAAAAAATTCCAGATAATTACAGTACAGTATATAAGCCAAATTTCATGAAAATATCCCTTCCTATTTACACACAATCCTTGTCCACAGAGTTGGTTGACCAAAAATGGCAGCCTGTCCATAGTCATTTCATTATCCTTAGGAAATTTTGTATAATTTCATGTATTCAATTTACACAAAATCCTTCAACAGAAAATATGGCTGGACAAAGAGAGAGGCACATGCAAGGATAGACAGACAAGATCAATTCCAGATATAAATTATAAACTGGTCATTTCTGAAAGACTGCACAAGATCAACGACTACTCTTCAAATTCTTTCTGTGTAATGCATTCCTATCATGTTTAATCATAATAGAATTTGAAATAGTTCAAGATTTATGTTACAAAGCCAGATATGACCCCACTTAATTAAGACAATAATACTATTAACACCCAAACATATTTCTATATATTTTTATTGATTTTTACATGCATTTCTACATTTGTCAAGGCCACTTTTATCAAAATATCTTTTTTGAATCTTCACCCTTTTCTAAAAACTTATATTGAACAGCTTTTAATGCAATAATACAATGCAGCACACTTGAGATGAAACCTTTTTTTATCAGAACAAGGTGCAGAGCATTAACAAATGACATTTGGTGATAACAATGGTCTTTATTACTCTGAAGAAAATGGCCCATACAAAATAATAAGTAACTCAATCTCATTTTCCATTACATCATAGATATTGCCATTATTCTAAAAATAAATTACACAGTATAAAATATATTTATTCCTGATCTGATATGGAATCTTAATACTGTACTGTACTGTACTGTACACCCTTCAATGTCAGGCAACATACTTTTAAGCTGGTTTCTTTAGAATTGTTTCCTCTGCACATCACATATTGTAACACAGAAAAATGAGGAAATATTAAAGGTCCAATTCTTCACCAATTAATTATTGCCCAAAGACTCGTTATCTGTCTCCTGAATAGATACTTCCATTCACTCTATTTGTAAACACGAAAACAAACAATTAAAGTAATTAACATGAAGGAAGTACATACTGCAGTGATGTTTACAGACTAAAATTCTGAATTAAATAAACTAATTTACCTGTATAACAATAAAAAAATAAAATAAAAACATTTAGAACAGGTAACTGTAAGCACATTTATCAGTACGTATTTCATTTGGTTTAGTTTCAGACCAAACCAGAAAATTTTAGGCATTACAATAAATATGTTACAGTGGTCCCTAAGATTATGTGCTCCTTTACCTATGAAAAAATGTCAAGATATTAAAACTGAGTTCCACACAGTACAGTACATTTTTTCTACACAAATTATTATATATCACAAATATCACAATTTTATTTCTTAAACTCTCTAAATTTAACAAGAGAAACAACAGCCTATAACAAGTTTTCAGTAGGTTCATATTAGTTTATCTAACAGAAACAAAATATGGGGGACCTACCCTAGTAAACCCTTTCTTTTGATACATCAAATCTCACTTTTAACCCCATTGTTATGTGTGGTACAGTACACAAACTATGGTTCAGGTCTGTGATGAGGAAGGGATTAATATCACATTTTAACCAAGCACTAGACAATACTTTCTTAGCTTATATTGTATTCAAATGAATTTCCATACAATTGAAATACAGAACAGTGCTTTATAATTTTTTTTTTGTTATATAACTGACTGCTTGGTGAGAGTGAACTAATTGTGGAAGACAATAACATACCTTGACAATACTGTATCATTAACTTTCAGTAAGAAAATGTTACTAAGATTATGTAACTAAACAAACTGGTTAGAACTGCACAAAAACTGTCAGCACAAACTTGTCTACAATGATCAATATCCAATGTATATGTAACATCTTTGAACATATCTCCAAATAACATCTAAAATAGACTAGAAAACATTTGGCCCAAAATTAAACATTACATATGTAAAAGATTTGATCTTTTTATGAGTTGCAAGATGCTAGAATGCAGTGGAAGTGTTTATCAACAGAGACCTTTCCCTACAAGCAACAAAAAACTGTGTAGTCGTGACTGGTGGTCGGTTATTGGGGTTTAAGAGAAAAGCTAAATCACCATGGACCACCACTGCATTCTGCGATTCTTATAGAGATCCAATCTTTTACGCATGCATGTACACATGCACACGCGTGCACACACACACACACATATATCCCTGTTTAACAACATTCTAGATACAAAGAGTAAACTAATTCAACAAGAGAAATATTTCTGATAAAAGTTTGTGCACGAACATATGACTTAAGAGCCATTACCCTCATACAGTACCATAAATAACAGTATTACTGTATTGATAGCTACAAATTTTATGATTGAAAATACTGTAGAAGGAAAAATAATGTAAAAATAACTATAAATACAGTACAGTACATAAAAAAAATAGCAACACCTCAATTTCAAATGTTATTTTCCTAATAAAATACTTTGTGCTTATACAGTGCAATAATTCCCACACCTTTCTTGAACTTATCAGCCACAGCTGTACCTTTCATGAGCAACATAATTGCAAATTAGTTTCTTACCTTTCAGATCCCCTCATACCTTTCACACTCAGTCCCAAACACACACAATGATTAGGATAAAAAAATATTGCTTTGGTGTTTCCAACGGAGAATAACTAACTGAAGATAACAATGTGTCTATTTTAATTTACGGTAATACAGTAATAAAAAATATTTCCGTACAGGTACAGTACTCGAGCCCCACAACAGCATCATCATCTTAACACATCCTTTCCCACACTGGCATGGGTTCCAAAATTAGTAATTACTTATAAATCAAACTTGTTGTATGATGAGTAATAAGGCACAATATCTTACACACAAGACCATATCTACTCAGTGGCAAGATCTAGCTTCATGGCTTTTTATGCGTTATTAAGTTTTATCATTTTATACCGGAGAATTATTCTTAAAAGAAGCTTCGAGTGTATAATATTTTTTATTTATGAAATTTAAGTGTATGAGGTTCTACCATTATTTTTTTTATTTTCCATTAGTGTATTATTTTAGGATGGATTTGTGACATAACCCTTAATTTTACACATGTATTATATGAACATCTTTCCAGTTTTAAACCTTTTGTGAGGGGCTTCACGATGTAACTACACAAAAGGTACGAGAATTACTGTAGTTTTTCTAATTCCTCAAGTAATGGTATTCTTTGACTAAAACTACCATGACTAAAACTACCATTCTAAATTATAAACCAAATTTTCTAAAATCATGAGCAATTTACGTACATTTATATTATCATTTACTACAGAGCCGAGCGTGAGTGTTTTACCCTAACACTTTGACAAATACAGTCAATACTTCTTCACTTTCATATCATCAATACCCATCACACAACACTCCCACATATTTTGCTTAAAAGTTCCATACAATGGTTGTCATCCAAAAATTAAAAATGCTTTTATTTACTGCACAAAGAAATTATTACTCCGTAAGCTACATTGAATGGTGTACTTTACCAAGGGTTACTAAAGGGACAAACTAGGAGTCCAACAGGAGAAAGAAGTGATAAAAAAAGGCTCAGTTAGGGACGGACAACAGAACATTCAGATGGAAAGCACAGAACAGTATCTGAGAATTTTAAGTTTTAATTTTAATATAATTTACAGTATTAACCCATTGCAAAATCTTTTCCTTAATAAGCCTGAGTTGAAACCAGTACAAAAGCAAATTTTGTTTTGTACAATACTAAAGAGATTCCAACATTACCTTAACTCTCATACACATCTCACTGATCCACTGTCACATGACACATGTTGAGATTCATTCTTCAATCAACCTTTGCCAGTACGATGCCAACACGACTTGGAATGTATACCTGAAATAGAAAATCTATATATATATACATACAGTAAATATATATGCAGTATACAGTATATAAGAAAAAGTAGTTTAAATAAGTTTGTATTTTGGGCCTATCAGAGTACTGTATGTTTTAATCTGCTTCATACATCTGGCTACTCGTGTACCACATGGGGTGTGGCTACCACCCGAGTGTTCAATGAAGACTAGTGCCAGGACAGATGAAAGCCATGAAGTATATGGCAGTAATACGATTGATTAAAAAAATAAATAATTGTTTTAAAGAGGTTTGTGAAGGTTAGTGAACTAGTACTCTAGAATACTCACCATAAAGGAATTTGGCCGATTATTAAAGGATTCATTTTGAGTGAAGAAATCAGTACTATGATCAATCAGCTTGTGACCTCCAAACTCCTCAGCATCAGTGTCAAGAACAATCTTATATTTACCACTAGCACCCACACCAATCTGTACAAAAGAAGACATTCTATGTGCATCACAAAATTGATGCAGGAAAACTATGTACAGTACAATAGATATTTTACATAATTCTATCAATCTTTCTCATCAAGTTGATGAATTCCTCACCATGCTTATACAGTATATGATTATCATTGTGCAGTACATGTCCCTATAAAAACAATCTTATACATTCAAAGGTAATGATGATTAATTCGCTTTCAGTACTGGACCAGCTCACCTTATAGTCACTGTAACTCTTGTTGGGGTGAAAGTTGAAGACGAAGACACAGCTTCCACGTTCAAATACAATGATTTTGTCACCTTGATGCCTAGTGCTTGTGTAACCCTGGTAATAAAAATAAAATACAATTAAACTTACAGAACTAAAAAGATAAGTCTAGTTATATAGAATAGAATGATAGTGTTAAGGGATTTAAATACAGTATAATATAAGAGTTGGTGATGTTGCAGTAGAGGGAATTGTGGAGATTTACTGAATACCCAAAAATAATGGAAATGGAGAGACTGATAAAGACAATTGCTGAAAGAGGACTTACAAAAAGAAAATAAGTTGAAAGCTTGTTAACATAAACATATAGGCACTGCAGTCATGTGTGACGCCAAAAGCCTTAGGCATAGGTATATATTACGATAAATAGCCAGTAATAAAATTCCTCTAGGCAGCAAAAATCACCAGGTGCCAGTTTGCATTAATCCCCCTTACACAATAGTACAGGTATACAGTGCAACTTCTATTTAATGGACTATGTGGACAAGAAAATCTGTTATATTGAGGGTCCATTAGATGTGAACCTCCCCCCGATGTAACAGATTATATGGAAACAGAAGAGCATTATATGAAGGTTTCACTGTACAGTCCTCCTAAATACTTACTGGATCACAATGAAGCCAACCGTATTTCTCCTCTAGCTTGTTCATCGCAGAATCAAAGTTATTGAGGTACTGGTACTTGAGGAGGCCATTGTCCACCACATTCCACTGTCTCCTGGCATAGTGGTAACTCTCATTGTTTCCTAACCGGGGAAAGTCGAGCCACTCAGGATGGCCAAACTCATTACCTGTGAGAGATATATGTATACTTTAATTATAAGAACACTTCATCACCATTCTCAAACCTGGAAAATACATCAAAACTTTGGGATATTAACCGTGCTTAGGACAATAGAAAAATCAATGTCTGACTGAAACTTGAAGCTTAAATAATAGGCTAAAATTTGCATATTTAAAAATAGTCTAGTTTTGATTGCATCATCATAAATTTTATTATAAGGCTACTGAATCATTCTTATTTCAACTTTTATAAAATTACCTGAACAGTTTCCAAATTAACTGCCATTCAGTACTTTTATTTTTTCAACCATGCAAAAAAAATCTACAATGTAACATCCCTACAAACTACTTGATAACATGCCTTACTGTCATTCACACACACACTGCTGTTTCCTGGACATCTACACCCCTTCTTTACAGTATACAGTACTATTGTGCTTCCTTCACCTCATCCACCCATCTCGTTCTTGGTCTTTCCCGATCCCTTCCATCTTTCATTTCTGATTGATGCATCACTCCATACATCCACGCCATCTTAACCAACCCTGGTCAGCCCTGAGTCCAAGAATTCTTTCACTTCTACATCCATTTTATTCCTGTAATATTCTTGACAAATTATTAAAACTGAATACTGCAATGGAATCATTATTGTACAAATTTACAACCAGTCTCCATTTGACAATAATTTTTAAAAGAACTTATTATTCAATTAAAACATTAATGTAATTAACATCAACTGACTTGACCCATGGGTAACCCACAACATGTACAATTGCAAAAATGTGTTTCTACACCCCCTGTGGTAGCCTATGTCTCCAAACGTCGACGTCGAAGTAGAATCACTGTTTATGAATGAAAGGGTATTGGTCATGTAATGACATACTTGATTGGTGGATAAGTTTGCTATAGGTCATAAAGGTGGGCCGTTTGGAGACACGGGTTACCACAGGGGGATGTAGGAACACATTTCCACAACTGTACCAGTACTTTGTATTTTTAAAAGAAAAACATATGGTATAGAATGCAATCAAACACTCATTTTACCTCTGAAATAACCAGGTCAGATTACGTGACTTTTCACGCCAACAATGAAACAGATTTTCCTTAGCTATGTAACATACAGTATCTCAATTCCAAAAATCATCATACTAAAATTCAAAATTTGACTGAATACCAACCCATAAAATTAAGGTAGCCTTCACCACCAAGACCGTGTGTGATGAGGCGGATCATTTTGTGGAGAGCCATTCCCCTGTCAATGATCAGTGTTGGAGGAGATGATTTGGACATGTGTGTGTACATCGCCTTGTCCATAAGCCAGAAAGCTATTGTTTTATCCCCCACCAAAGCCTGAAACAGACATGAAGAGACAACTAAGAACTAAGGTCTGAAGGAAGATTATAAAAGAGAGAGAGTGTCAGTACATAGTTTGCAACAAGGATCAAGGAACCATAAGATTTTCTTGGGTTATTCATCTTCATTTGTAAGGAATTAAGGCAACATAAAAAGTTTACACAAACACCAGAAAGCCAAACACACATGAATGACGTCAATACTCTCTTTACCCTTTGGTGAAAAGTGAAAGTGGGTCCCACCCATAGGCATGACTGCCTTCACTTCCCTAAGTTGTAAACTTAAGTACCCATTTACAGGTGGGTGAACTGGGAGTGTCCAGGAATTAAACCACCGGCCCCTGGAACAGGAGGCAAGGGCTGTATCCACTCAACCACTGCGGTCCTGCCCTATGGTAACCAAGGATAAAATAATATACAGTACAGATATATACTGTATAATCAGTTGTCCTTCTTTTCAAGTTGTTCTATGCACTAACCTGGTCATGTGATTCTGCATAAGCAATGGTTTTCTCCATGTAGCGTCTATTCTCTAGGGTGTGACAAATGTGTCCCATGTCCCAATCATCATCAGCCTTTTCCTTAAGTAGCTTAATCCAGTGATCAGGAATTGCCATTCCCAGGCGGTAGTCAAAGCCACTACCACCTTCCTCAACTGGTCGACACAAAGCTGGCATCCCAGAAACATCCTGTAAAAATAAAACAAGAAACATGATGCAGCACCCATGGAAGCAAGTTTTTTAGCTCTACCAGATAAGATGATATTACTTTGCTATCAATTCACTTTTCCTTTTTTGGTATTCAAAGTGAATTAAGGACCAAAAGTATTACTCTTCTGTGTTCAGTTTCATTTAAATGGTCAGAGTTCAACTCCTGGTAAGAGTTTCAAATTGTGATTAATAACTCTATTCAATTTCCATAGTGTCCAAGTGTCTTAAATATGTTTTACATTTCCTAAACAGTTGCCCATTGTCTATTGAACCCAGTGATGAGAACCAAGAGATCTTATGATGCATTATTTCAACCATCTAATTCTAGCTAAATTAGGGAACACCTATTTCTTTAACTATCAAATTTCATGAAATGTTCTAAATATAAAAATCAAGAACACCCAATCTAATAAACAGCAGACCACACCCAGAGCTAAAGATCAATAAAAGGCTGTGAAGGAGAGTTATAATGGATTAGTTATAGAAGTGTGTTTGACTGGTTAGGCATAACAAGGAAAGAAGCACATTACAAGACAAAATAACAAGTTGTCAAATTGAAAGATTATACAAGAAAAGTTTGATGTAATTAATTAAGAAAAAGAATAGTTATAAATAAAGAATGGTAGCTTATTATTGTATATATGTTTATTTACTCGTAATCCTTAACTGGTTGCTAGGGATTTCCTACTCGACCCCCATATTTACAAAAGTGGAATGCAAGGAACATGAAACGTCCGGTGATGAGGGCTACCATCCCTACATCCAAGTACCACTGATGATGTGCATTGTATAAGGATTAATGCCATATATCACGTCATTACACTAAGCATTGATACACACCTCAGCAATAGTAATGACCTCAGGGTAGAGTTGGTGAAGCATGTAGTTGGCCAACATGATGTAAGTTAAAGCTTCTGTGTCCACATTCAATCCAAAGTATTCATTATAATCACCACTGAAACCTTCCCCAATACCATGTGAGTGATATAGCATGGAGGTTACACCGTCAAATCTGTTAGGAAAAAACAACAAAAGCTTAAACATGGGTGTAAGACAACATACTGTTTTCATCAGCTGTTTTTTCTGAAAGGTCAAATTACACGAGTGTACCTAAAAGTTTGCAACACTGTAAGTAGTTGTAATGTTTTTCCAATATCACATCGTTTGATTAGATATATTTGAGCTACAGTAATAGAGAAAAAAATATGGGATATCTTAATTAACTTTTATAACTACAACTATAACATTGACAGTTGTTCATTAAGTTTGACTGATGATGATAAAGAGAGAGAGAAGGAGAGACAGGCACACAACTTGACCCAACCTTGAAACACAAATTTTCAAATACCATCCTTATATAATAATGCATTCAATACACCCATCAAGGAGTTATTATCATTAAAGTTATTTGTCAAACTCAAACCAATGACATGGATATAATTCTAGTTTGAGTAAATAGAAAAATCTTGAGAGGTAAGCCAGACAAAATGATGCACAAGGAGTCAAATATGGAAAAAAGATTCCCGACCTTTCTCACAGTAAACCTCCCAAGCATAACTGATGACAATTAATGTATTAGGAATATTAAAACACAAATGCACCAACCTGTAACCATCAAACTTGTATTCTTCACGATACCACCGCAGGTTTGAGAGAAGGAATCGCAGCACCTCCCAGCTAGAGAAACAATCATAAAAATGTATAATTATAACAAAAGAAACACTGGTAAATTTAAAAATAATTAAGTCTATACGCATTTCCTGAACACTTTGTAAATCTCAGATCCACCTCAGGTAACGAGAAGTAAAGTTGAAGATAACAGAGTACATCAAAATCCTTACCTTACCGTATACAACAGATGCTTACATTTATGTAGAACAAGGTGGCCAAGAGTTTTATAAGAAACAAATTAAGACAAGATTGCACCTAACATGGCCAATACCCCATCTATGAAATTTTATGTTAATTATAGTTTAAAAAAAGCATCAATAATTTAATATGAAGAGGACTGTAATTGTGGGAGAAACTGACAAAACAAGAATTTTTCACAATACAATAAGTGGATCTTCAGTTAGTGACCGTGTTGTATAGTTTCATTGAAGTTTCTTGAAAGTATGTTAACAATGTGGGCTGAAATTAGAGTAAGTAATAAGTGATTGGGAATGAGGAGTCGTGATGTGGGAGGTAATAGTAGCTAACCCAAGCAAGTGTGGAAAATGGCCATTAAAACGTTGATGATGGTAATTCTAATAACTTGCCATACATAAGTGTTCCTGTGTTCTCAGTATAAGTTATACAAAATGTTAAATAACTTTTACAAAATTTGGTGTCAAATCTACTGTATTCTCAGCTTCTACTTTGCAGATATTCAAACAATTTTTTCCCCCACTTAATGTGGACTTACACCTTAGGACAGTATGCAATTAGTGAGCAATTGTATGACTTGTATAGTATAGGTACATGGTAGCTAAGATACCCAGCGCACAATCTTATGCATTTTCACGTTTAATTTTCATCTTTAACATTTTTAAGCCGAAACTTTAAATTTTTCCCGTCTAATTACTTACTGTGAATAGTTAAAGAGCCTGGAGTCCCAAAGAGAGTGTGTTCCTCTTGAGCCACCATGGAAGTAACAAGAGTCCGAACCGTCAAACTCATTCAGGCCGTCAAGCACATTTTTGGAGGCGTGAGAATGAACCACATCCAGAAGGACATACAGACCCATAGAATGTGCTGTATCAACCATCTCCTTCAATTCCTCTGGTGTACCATAACGGCTAAAAAGAGAAGGGATTGTAGCTTATGGTATGTTACCTCAACCACAGTCATGACTTGAAAGAAAAGGAAACTTAATTAGTCTTAAGGACAGCTCTGGTGTTCAGAGTTAGCATGATACGTACTGATTTTTGGACCCAAATGCAGGTTCACACATATTTAAGGTTACACCCTCCCCTCTCCATGGGGGGAAGAAATTTTTTTTTAAGATAAAACTAGGGAAACCAAGTTACGTTACTTGTACAGGTATCTACATTTTAATATGTTCTGCATTAGTTCTGTATTACTATACAGTATGTCTAATACAGTACCATTAAACAGTACCTACAAACACTTACCTTGAGGCAGCAAAGAAGCTGGTGACCTGATAGCCAAAGCTGGCATAATAAGCATGCTCCATGATAGCCATCACCTGGATAGCATTATAGCCTGCAAGTAAGATACAGTAAATGTGTTTATAATTTCAAGCAGTGCAGTATTAATATAAACACTGTTTTTAACACTTTTAAGTCTTTTTCCAATATAATGCAATAAGGCCTGAATCCATACATTCCAAAGAGTTATGTTTGAAAAAAAAAAAATATTTTAGTTACCAAGGAAGTCAATCTATATCCAGAATCTTAAGCTTTTCCTTTCAATCTATTATCTCTAAAGAACCATGATATAAGTGAATGTGGAAATCACAATGAATTAAATCTGGTCAACTTCATTTATTTAAAACATTAGTGAGGCCAGGTTATAAACTATGGCTGACCCACTATGTCCTCTGTTTACATAATGAGCAATTTATCTTCTTGCTTTCTAGATATTTTTTACCATCTGAACATTACAGGATGAGAACATTAAGTTCTCGGACTTACGACACAATTTATTCCCCAAATCACACTGTATTGTTTGTCGAATTGTATTTTCCCACAAGTACATCATCATATACTGTACTGCATAGGCAATTGGTTCCCAATGAGTCATAAATTTATATAATTCCATGCCACACTTCCTCATGGATTAATTCTACCATTTGTGTATATAATTCATCACATGTCCCTCCCCTAGTACACTCCAGGGTCATATTCCTAAATAATAACAACTCCACCACCATTTCAACTTACCTAATTTAACTATCCTTGGTAGAACATTCTTGCTAAACTCCTTATATGTCCCAACTTTCAGCTGGTCGGTGCCAATTCCAACATGGCACTCGTACACCCTCAAGCTCGCAGGTTTATGGGGCAGAGGATGCTTAAAAATATATCTCTGAAAAATATTAATCAAGATAAGAAAAAAATATTGTACTCTGGATTTGACACACAAGAAAATTCTATATGAGCATATTTATATCTATGAAATTCACTAAGAATCTTAAATAAGAATCCATTATAACTAAATGAGTCGATAAATCCCTACCCATATTTCTGTATTTTATTAGTTTGGATAAGACTCATTTCTCTTTGTAAACAGTTTCAGGATTCTCTGGGGCACAAGGATTCATTAATGGCTTTCAGAGACATGATCCATTCTGAATCCTAAACACCACTGACCACCTCCTCAGTCTCAATATACTGTACCAGCATGATATATCATGCTAATTCATGGAAGCACAGCCAAAATGTACAACTTTGCTCCATTTCTTTTTAAATATAAACTTGTGTATCATGCCACTACACACAGCAAGTACTGTGCATTATAGTTGAAGCAGTCTTAGTAATGTTATTTATTCCCACACTTTTAGATCTTAATACTATACTACATACTCAACAACACTTCCTAAGTTCTTACTTTCATTACTCTCCCCCCATGTTTATCCCCACAGTAAACCACAGTCATCAAATAAAGTACAAACATTTTCCTCAGAGATACATTGATGACATTTCTTTTTATCAGCCATCAGCCCAAGTCCATCCTCCATAACATAAAATAATCTGTAAATCATCATCATCTTATTTAATCCACGGCTGGAGGAAGGCCTCTCCTATATGCCTTAATAATCTTTTGTCTTAAGTCTTCCTTGCTCAGTGAACACATCCATACTCCCTAATTTCATTTATCACTGTGGTTGTTAAATTTATTCAAGATTATTAAAACAGATACAGTACAGTACAGTACAGTACATGAAAAATCTAATGCCATCTTATAAATATTGTAAACATTCTACTCAGATTACACATCAAGCTGACCTGTTAACCTCTTCACCATGGGGACACCACTGGATAACACGGTGGTAATTTTATTCAGTTCAGAGGCGACCTCGTACACAAGGGGATAAGGTTAGTATCCTAAGCTTTCTATCCTTTTTGTACTATTCACTCTCCGTACGGCAGAAGAGGTGAGAGGTAATCATACATACCTCCTCAGGTGGTGGGTTCCAAAAGTGATGGTGAAATGCTATGCCCTCTGTCTTGGGAGGCTGAACCACATATGATGCCCATGGGCATAATCTGTCTTCCATTACATCCTTTGGGGTCAGCAGACCTATCTGAGGAAATCAATACAGTATATTCAGTCCATCCTAACAGTAGAGCAAAAACTGGTTAAAGATGTAAAAATTTATTCAGTTCCTCAACATGCCAATTTTCAAGACATGTTTCTAAACTTATGCTGAACTATGCCAATAATGAAATATAAACTTAATAGTGATGTCAGTAGCTTCAAATAACTAATCTTCACATTTCCTATTTAAATACTGTTATCATAAACAGTATGTTTTAAATATCTTGGTCATTACAACAAAAAACTGTTTTACGAAAAATTTATATTAATAAAAATATCATCTCATTTACACATGGGCCTCCCCATTCCCACACTGTACACATTACCTTACTAGTGGTGACTGTCAATGCACAACACCAATTATTTTAAGAACTTGTTATAATGCTTGACAATTATTGTATATTAAACCTATATTCATTAATGATGATTTAATGCTTTTAATCTTTTTCATACAGTATATCATTCAGGAAATTTCATAATCTAAACAAACACAATTTACTTATTATCAAAACAAAGACAATTTATATACCTGTACTTGTTCATTGTAAAAAAGCAAAAGCAAGAAAATATGATCAATAATTATTCTCCATAACCAGGAATCAAAAATGCTAAAATTACCACTCCATTAAATAAACAGCAGAACAAAACATTAAGTGTAAAATCCATCCAATTCCCATTTCAGTCCAACCAATGCCCACGATCCCTCGGAGAAAAGGCAATGCTGTTATTATAATGAATGCCGAAGCAGAGGACAGAAGACTTAAATTCACATCCTTAAACTATATATTAAGGTGTACAGTAAAACCTCTATTTAATGGACTACATGGTGAGGAAAGTCCGTTATATCGAGAGTCAGTCAGATATAAAACGTCCGTCAAACAAACTATACAATGCAATTTCAAGTGACTAAATGAACCTAGCATAGAAATAGTGATAAACACATACAGTATTTCAACTACAATACTGTATGTAAATATTCTAAAAAAAAACACCTTTGATACAAGGAGCACCCCCATCTACAGCACTTTTTAATATCCACGCCTTCATATAACACAGTACTGTACTATATCGCTACTATGTTGAGTATAACTTTTCCAACAAAAAAAATTCAACTTCAACCTTCACATGATGGGAATTACTGTACTGTATTTGTTCAGTTACCCCTTCAGAAACTTCAGTAATGTAAAGTATTTAGTTTACAAGGGGGATTACTGAAAATACTCCTAAATCTTCCTTTTTAACCAAAGCTGTCAGAATTTATTTTATTCAAGTTACAGTAAACTTGACACTTCATATTTCAACCACTAAATCAATTGATTTCATTCTTACCCTTACAGATGATCACATATCACATTCAGTCAAGTCTAGTGCAACAAAAAGTAGCCACTTGGAAAGAAATCCTGACCATTATCTGAGACATCTAAACCTACTGCATATAGACTGTGGGTCAGAAGTTAGAAGGACACCATTGGTATATCCATCAACATTTTTCAAGTAACAATAAAATCTAATAGGATAAAAGAAGTACAATAAGCACATACAATCAGAAGAACTATGAGATTCAGGTCATAAACAATACAATAACAAACTAAAGCTAATGGATTTTTCCTTCCACACAAAAATGCAGAACATTAATGCATTTGTACACAATAAAGAAGTGTAGATTCAAAGATCCTTATAAAAGATTAGCTGAATGAAGTGACATTCAGAATCACGTAAAAAGTTGTAATAAAACAGTTACAATCATCCCTGAAACATGCAGCATTCAAAATACAAAGACCTTGGTACTAACTCACATAAGATGGAAAACTTATAAACTATGCTTACTCGCCTCGGCCCCAACAGGCAATGCTAAGCAGAACAAGCTTCCAAATGACCCCAGGGATACAGCAAATAAGAACCATCCTCAGTGATGCAAATCCAACAAATAAAAAAAAGTCTCACCTTGAACGTTCCAACTTCTAAACAGTGTAAACAAGGAAATGAAGATAAAGTAAAGACCAGAGTACTTGGTAAAAATACCAAGTATGTACGGTGATCATTTAAAATGTTAAGTCTGTACAAGTGTCAACAAAAATGTTAAGTCTGTACATCAAAGTCAGTCAAGTAACATACAGAACCTGTGGCACTCAATGTTTCCAAGTAATGAAGTTTTAAAATCTCTCAATTAATCATCCATCAACCTGGATTCTACTGGTAACACAAAAGAGAGTGATAGTTTGATAGGAAACTCTTATTTGGAAAGTCTTTTGAACTTTTAAAGCCAAAATTTTTCCCCATAATATTCTTATCAATCTTGAAAAAACTCTTACTTTCCCTTGAAAAGTAAAAACAAAATACTGTATTAGATGCTGGAAGCTTTAGAGTGTAAAGATATTTGAGAAAAAGAACACCAATAAGTGCCATTAGATTTTACTCTTACACCAAGTGCCACAGGTGATATAAACTACATTTGTTGTAGCACAATACCCAATCTGTCGTCTTGTTTATGGGATATACAGTCATGCTATACCAGAGTTATAAAGTAACTAAGTAAATTTACTTGAGTACGGTACTGTACTCAAGAAACAATTTTGGGTATTTACTTTTTAAAATGTACACTCAAATCTTTCAATACTTTTACTTAAGTATGGTTTTCTTATACAGTACTTTTACTAAAATACAAATGAAACAAAAAAAAATCGTTACATGTCCCAAACAATATGACGGTTCAAGTTAAATATAAGTGAACTGCATAGGATGCCATGGAAGACCAGTCAACACTTGGTGTTCAAGATCCACAAAAAATAGGTTCATCGTCAATCTGACATTTGTGGCGGGAAATTTTAACTTTTAATTTGTAAGGTTTATTATTCTAATTCTTTTGGCTCCAAGCCAAGCTAACCCTCCTCCACAGAGTTGTACCATACTTAATCCTTTCTTCGGAGATGATGTACTGTGCTACTATCATGAAAGCTGTGATCACTCAAAAAATTTAAAACACTCTTTCATTATGTTTAAAGTTTTGTAAAAAAAAAAATAAATAAAAATCCTGATATCAAAATACAGCACGATGGTATACTGGTAAGTGAGAAGAAAAAATAAACTATATACGTGTAACTATTGAGAGAGAACTACAAGGACAGGCTCACACGAATTGTCACACACACAATATACAAGAAACTGTTATGTACAAAAATGTACTCTAAACTACTGTAAACATGTATTGTATGTATATTAATGATGTTGGGGATCGTGCCCTAGTTCCTTATGAACCAGTCTCATGCAAGAATGACTCCTTGGTTACCTGATTCCCTGACTTCAAGACGCCAATCTAGAAAACAAAATTTTTGCACATAATTAAAATTTCTTATTTAATAATCTTTGTTTACCATTATTACTAGAAAACGGCTCATTTGTTTATACTGTAATGTATTAACTCCTACGACATGTAAAAGCAACAAGGGAAGACTACATTACAGATCTAACATTTAGTCATTACACTGCCCTGTGAGGATCTTGCAATGAAACTGTCATAAACCTGTGGGATATGATACAGCATACAGCATTATGCTCTAACAAAGGTTTTAAAACAAAAGACAAAATTAAACAAACTTACAAATACAGCAGGTCAGCATTCACGATCTGTACTTAAAAAGCCAACTCCTAAAACTATCGCATGTTTGCAAAGGTATTCTAAAGCAAGATTCATCAAGTGCAAAAGCTCTAAATATGAAGTTAAATTTTTGACAGGATCTGTTTAGATTATGGGATGCACGTACTCAACTTTTAGATTTGCTGAAGAAACAAATAATTTTGATTATATAAGTTCAGTAATACAGTATAGGATTGATTTACACTGTAATTTTATGGTTGAATCTAGAAAACAGTAATTTGTGAATAATTGCAATGAATCACAGACTAGGAAAACTGATGAAAGAAAGAATTTATACAGTACGTACTACCATGTAACAACCTAATTCACGAGTCGGTCACAGTCTATGAAGTTTAAACATTAAACCCTCGACCTACAACCAAAGAATCAAAACTATAATTCACAGAAACAAGGACATCAGCAATAAAATACAGTACAGTAATTCAAAGTTCATTGCACTTTGTAATTAGAACAATACTCTACTACTGTAATAATTCAACCCTAAAATATAATATTACACTTAAACTAACACACTAAATTACAAAAAAATACTTACCTTATAATACAAATATACACAGCACCCTTTAGTAATATTTTTGTAATATGTGCCAATCTCTTAACATAAATTTTGTTCACATGGTTGTTCTATTGGGGTGTATGAATTACACGATATAAACTCTATATTATCTAACACTGTACAGCGGAGTCGCCCAATAACACGAGTTGGGGATCAACAGGGCCCCGTGCTACCACATAGACGTGTAAAGTGTGACAGGTTTACAGGGTAAATGTAACAAATATGAACATTAGAAAATTGTAATTGTAATTCAAGTTAGCAGGAACTCTGTAAACATATTTTATTCATTATCTTGTCAACCCGCTGAAAAAAAACTTGTATCAAACTTCATTAGAATTAAGGAATATAGTTTGCAAATCTCAATACAAAATACCTTGACCCGTGACATGTGCTTGATGGGGCAGGAACCATCAGGGTTTGCTGGTATTGTTATTTCCCATTTACCATGTTCAAGTTTTTTAAAGGGATGGCTCAGCTTATTCCAGTCATCTGTAGATCACAACAACATAAGTAATTAAAAAAATATGTATACTATATATATATTAACAAAATGTTAAACCTTTTAATGCACTTTGCAGAAACACTTACAATAAACTTAATAATGTACGGTAAAGTCAATACACTTTTTAAGTGAATGCACATGGTGCCTAAAGTCTGATCCTTTATGCAGTACCAGCAGGTTACATTAACTCCAAACATAAGTCTTACTGAAATCTCCTTTGAGAAAGAGTCCTTGTGCCATAGGTGCCCACTCCATGCAGGTGATGCTGTTGTCTGGGTTAACATGAAGTCCAAATTTCTCGTACCCTCGGGAAAACTTCTCCAGCCCATCTTCTGCTCCATCGATTTGTTCCAGCAACTTTCTGAAGCATCCATATCTTAAATACGGTAAAAAAAAAAAATAATATTAGCAAATTCTGTGGCAATTATATATAGATGTAAACTGTATTACAGTAATACAGTAACCTGAACTATAGCATTAACTATATCCGAGCTCTGTACCGATGTGTCTTGATTTCCACAAGACTATATAACATTACACAGCACTAAAGTAAGTGGGTTAATGAGAAAAATCTATTGTATGTACTAAATTATTATTATTTTGTTAAACAATATGATCAGTACTGCTCTTTACTGAGCATAAATAGAGGTACTGTATGATCTTAACTCAGTCATCTAGCTAAGTCCTGTAGTGTACACTGTACAATAATGTATGTACAGTACAATAAATTAATGACACTACCAGTATCTTGTGTGATAATTAAAAAGTAAACAAATACTGTCGTACTGTATAATACATATACAGTACAGTACAGTACAGTAATATCATGTCATATTTTTTTTTTATTCTTTCAAGCCTCTTCCCACTGAAATGCAGGTTACTGTACCAGGATACCAGTGTTCTAGTGTAACTTCTTTTTCATTGCAAAATACAAACAGGTTGTGTTTCCAGCCTCACACTTCTGATTGGAAAAGAGGCATCCTGTACTCCTGCCTAACAACAATGAATAATAATAATGTATGTAATATAGTTAGTACTGTACAGTATTGGCAAAGATTCTTGACATGCAACAGCCAATATTAAACTTTTCAGAACATAATAGCTAACAGTACAGAATACTGCATACCTGAACAATACTGTACATAATATTTGGTGCTAATAAAACACAGAAGATGAACTTTAACTCATAAAAATTATTTGCAAAACTCCCATGAGAACCAGAAGCTGGAAATTTTTTCCTTTGCTTTACCATATTTATGACCAGCATATGAACCAATCAGTCTGTTCTGGTGTGCCGACATTTGCTCACAAGACAAATACTCAACATTTATGAAAAGGAAGAAGAATATTAGGTTAGGTTTGTCTTGTGAGTATATGTCTTGTGAGCAAATGTCATGGAACCGTCTGTTCTATGTTACACACATCTGTTCTTTGTTATGACCTTCACTCTCTAGTGGATTTTTTTATGGGGAATAGCCCACCAGGGGACAGTTCATCAACCCACAATGGGGTCTGGGGGGTGTAAAAAGACTATACTGTATTAATCTACACCACGAAGATGCCGGAAAACCATCTTTTGGAAGTGAGACAGATTGTAAGAGTATGGAAACACAGAAGAAGGCAGAGCATTCCACAGTTTGGCTGTGTGAGGAAAGAAGGATGTACTATAACGGGTTACTCTAATGTGACCAACATCCACATGGAAACGGTGGGCATCACGGGCAAGACGAGTGTTACGAACCCACGGCCTTGCCGGCAGTACACAGGATGCCAAATCCGCCGAACATTGCCCGTTAAAATACCTGTAAAAGAGAGTGAAGCAACATTGCGGCGAAGAGAAAGGGAAGAGAGATTATCAACTAAAGGAAGAGAGTTAATAAGACAAAATTCCTTTGATTCCACTCTAACAGTTGGACAGAAGAGCTGCCCGAGATATGAGCCGCCCAAGTTAAGATGAATGAATCCCTTATAAACTTGAAGCAACTGCTCAGGAGTGAAGTAGCTACAGCATCTGTACAGTATTCCCAGCTTTTGGGAAGCAAGTTTGGCAATGTTGTGGATGTGTGGCTTCCATGACATATTAGAGGAAATGGTGAGGCCTAGCATATCCACTTTAGAATTTGGCAGAATCAAAGCCTCCTGAAATGTGATTGGGGAGACCTTCTATATTGGAAAGTGTAATTAATAAATACTGCATTTTATTACTGTACTATTGAATTTAACCAAGTTTCTACCTCCCCATTCATAGATGCTGCACAGGAGAAAACTAGATGACTCAGAGAAAACCTACAATTTTTGGTAGGGTCACACATTGTAAGGCCCTTCTCACACATAAGATCTACCTTAACATAAAATTTGTTGTACCATATAATATTCAGAAATCTGTTTTAGAAAAGGCTTGCATTCTATTTTGATTGAAATCCTAAAGTATACAAACTATGGCAATACCATACTACTGGCAATAAAGTGGCGACCGTTGAGTACAGTACACCTTTTACCAGTATTTTTATAAATTCACATGATGAATGACACCATTCCATCCATCAGAATATCAACTTACTATATCTTGTAGAAGGAAAGACATTGCAGCATCAAGATTTGTAGAAAAAAGTCGGATGACAACTAAAAAAAGAAATTTTTATTCCCCTACAATACTGTGCATAATGGCCATGTAAGTGTTCACACTACCACATAGCAGGGAAGGCTATGATGCCATTTGCCACCATGACAAGTAATAGACAAATCTCGTCCTGTTGTCTTTCACGATGGCCAATAAATTGTGCTCGTCATTTGAGGTTAGGTTTCTAGTCATTAAATTTTCAGCCATCGTGAGTGTCAAGATGTCCGTACCCTAAGCCTCAATTATAACAGAAGCAAAGTACAGTTCTGAGTAATGCCATTCAGCTAAACTGTGAATACTGAATCACCAATCATGGACCAGTTCATGCGGTGAACGGTAATAAAGTCACAGGAAAAAGAGTCAGAAAAAAGTTAAAATTTTGGCTAGGAAAAAGAGTCAGGAAAAAAGTCACATTTTATTTAATAAAACTAAAAATATTTTAAAAATTATTAACTGACAATACATGACTTTTACATATTGACAACACAATTTATATATGATGCACGTAGGTTGGGTTAAGTTAGGTTAGGTTGGGTTAGGTTAGGTTTTTTCCGTGCCTTTTTTCTGATTTTTTTTCTTGTGACTTTTTTCTGTGACTTTTTTCTGTTTTTTTTCCTGTGACTTTTTTACCTGGATTCGTTCATTCTTGCTACAGTCAGTCAGTCTAGTGATGGTTTGTTTTCATTCACTAAGAGTAAATGATCAAAAACAAAAAGTGCAATAGCTTTTTCTTTAAGGTAAGAGAAAAATATGAAGGATAGTGTGATGCCAATCAAATAAATTATGAGAAATTGAAAATTACAGTGACCCTCCTTAGCCTTTTACTGAAAATCTGAAAGTTTCAAGTCAAGTTCAGCCAACTAAGCTGTGCCAATTCTCAATTACAATTTAAAAGGGTAACCAATGCTTTCAAGTTATCAACAACTTATGTATGATTGGTAACTGTCATAACTCGTGTCACCTTGGCAACAGATGACACTAGTCCTCGTTCTGAGATAACTCCCGAAACTCTTATTACATCCTCACCTCCGTTTGATTTCCCTTACGTGATTGTTGAGGTAGGGGTCTCTGCACAGTAGATCATCCAGCTTGGCCACCTCCACCTTCATGGGATCACCGATGTCAATCATTTCGCTGCTTTTGGTTATTACAGTATCACCCGAGCTTGTAGAAACACTGTAATCTTGAATGGAAGATACTGCGCTGAAGCTCTATCACCGGGTGGACTAATAATTTATTTTTTTTTCTCGCCGCTGCTAATGATTGTCAACTTAATAAAACTTTACTCAAGTCTTCTACCGGTCAAACTTTATATACTGGTAGAGGTACTAAAGCTGTAAAGTAGTTTTGGGATCTAGTGAGATATTATTCCGGTTACCACAACAGCAGGTATCGCCCTCCACCTCGTCTCTGCCGGGCTGGTGGTAATACTCCCACACCGCTGCCAGGAATACAATACATTATTTTTGTTCTTAAATTAAAATCATTTGCATATTTATATTTTCCGACACAAAATCTACGATAGAAAGAAACAACGCGATTATATAATTCGTTATTTTCATATTATTTAAAGAAAAAATTCAACGTACAACATGAAATCAGATTTTGCAGACCGTCAGACGTCTACCACTGGCCCGTCACGTGCTTCAAGGGCATTCTGGAGACCTTGTATAGTAACTACATACAGTATCTAAAATTAGAATATCACACCATCTGCACCAGTGAAGTTATTAAGAAACCTACATCTAAAAGAGATTCATGACATAATAAGAGAGAAAAAATCCATACCATATAACGGTATTACATCAGAACTAATGTCCTAATAATATTAATAATTGTAATTCTTCAGTCAAGGTCAATTTAGTTCCTAAGGTCGGGTAGTTACAGTCAGTGCTTGTGGGTACGAATTCTAAAGTTCATAAATACTTTACTCTGGGTCATAGTTCACACTTGAAGATTCATATTTAGCGCGGGGACATTCAAGTAAATCCTCCAAGGTCAATGTTCACAAGATAAGATCAATGTTTCTTTACGTCATCGATACCTTACTTTGTTCTGAAACGTTAATTTAATCTTTCAAAAATTATCTAAACAACATATTATATTTATATTTGTTTTACTTGGTCTTATTATTGTTATTATTATTGATGTACTCTATTGACAGCTTTATCGACTATCCGTGGTCAAGTCGTTTACCTGCATGGTTGGCACACAGGAAACTGAATACTCCCACGACCTACATTGTCTATATGCTGAACTGTATAACTGCACAGTTTATAAAGATGCTTATCCAACTGTTGACCTGTATGGCAACTTTACTGAATTACTATTGTTATTATTATTTACTACATCTAAATTTTGATGCAATGGTCCCATTTTCTTTGTTTTTATTCATAAAATTATTTTTAACCTTTCTTGGTTCTTTTATTTTGTTGTTTCCTTATTTTCAGTTTACAATATTATTTCCTGATTTAAGTAATATCATATGAAAAATGATGCTTAAAATAAGTAACCTCGTGTACTCTACTGAACTCAGCTGGTCTATCCAACATACTGTAGATGCTACTATAGCGTGCAGTCCACAAGATATTTAGGTTGTTACCTTTGGTTAGGTAAGGTAAGACTAAATATATCTTTATTGATCGCACGCTAGCACCCTTTCATAGTACCTGACGCACACTACTTGTACACCCCTATGCTATCCAGTACACTCCCATGCTCTCCAGTGCACTCCCTACAACACTCACATTTTCCATTGTGCTCACACTCCTGAGTGCACCAACACATTTCTTTATGCACCGTCTAACCTTTTAGTGGTCACACCCTTCAGTACACTGTCTTATTACTCAGTATACGCACCCCACTCACTGCACTGTCATGCCCACCAGTTCACATTGTCACCCCACTCACTGCACTGTCATGCCCACCAGTTCACATTGTCACCCCACTCACTGTCATACCCACCAGTTCATTGTCATGCCCACCAGTTCACAGTCACCCCACTCACTGCACTGTCATACCCACCAGTTCACATTGTCACCCCACTCACTGCACTGTCATGCCCACCAGTCACATTGTCACCTCACTGCACTGTCATACCCACCAGTTGTCACCCCACTCACTGCATTGTCACCCACCAGTTCACATTGTCACCCCACTCACTGCACTGTCATGCCCACCAGTTCACATTGTCACCCCACTCACTGCACTGTCATGCCCACCAGTTCACATTGTCACCCCACTCACTGCACTGTCATACCCACCAGCTCACATTGTCACCCCACTCACTGCACTGTCATACCCACCAGTTCACATTGTCACCCCACTCACTGCACTGTCATACCCACCAGTTCACATTGTCACCCCACTCACTGCACTGTTACTGCCACATTCCTCTAACCAGCTATATTCAAATACTCTACTTACCAACTTGGCAACTTTTTCCAGGATGAAAAGGGATATTGATAAAACAAGCAAAACAGCACAAAATTTGTTCACATTCGACGAAGATTATTAACGAAATATAGATTTACGATTAAACATTTCTTTACTGAAACCCAATTTTGTTGAGGTAAATATTTAATTCTTGGAACTAATGATGGTGTCTGTTTACATATTCATTCTGAGGAAAATTGTCTCAAGATTATCTAAAAAAAAATTATACGGTTTGACCGGGGGAAATATAGCCTTACATGCTATAGTCCTTATAAAGAAAAGGCTGATTTACCAATTTGTTTTCGTGTTGATCTTTATAACAAGTTTGTGGAAGCCAGAATAACAGGTTGAGCCCGCGTTTACTCTACGAGGATGACATAATAGAGCTTAAGTTCGTACCCTATAAGCTGTGACTCTGTTTTGTTTTTACTTATCATTTAAATGTTAATTAAGTAACTCCATTTATCTTCCATAAGTAGCAAATCTTAAGGGAGGGTAAATGCTATAAACTTTATTCCTTACTTAGAAAACTCAAACTTTAGTTAAGAAAAACATAAAGAAAATAACAATATAAAAACTGTGCAGAAAATTGAAATACAACGACGTCCAGTGATCATCAGTTTTGTCTATACGAGAGTCGGATAGACGATAGGTTATCTAACATATTGTGAAGTTCACGGGAATAACTGTAGGCCTATTATAGGCTGAGACCTCACGCATTAGGATAAAATTAATGCAAACAAATATTCGATCAGCATAATAAATAATAAATTAACTTAAATTGAGTGATAATTGTCTTTTCTTTATTGGTGATATTATGTTAATGATATCCGTATGTTTTCACTCCTTCACACATTTATTAACTGTACACGAGCAACAAATAAAACTAGAAAACGTCACGGCAATAGGTCATTGTGTCCGCACCCAAACACAACCACCTAACCCATGCATGCCAACTTTCCATCTACTTTATCTTAAATTAAATCTTATTATTCAGTTTTATCACTATTATATAGTGTAATACTTTAGCTACCAGACATTCACACATACACATATACAGTATATATTTATATCTATATTACATACTATTTATATACACAGTTTTACATCCGTAGGGAGCCACGGTTTGCCAACGATTCAGCATTTATTTAGCATTTTTGCTGCGGTATACAATGTATACAGATTTCCCTGCACATTCCTTTCATCACTGAGGACACTGATGCCCACTAGAGGGGTCGCGATAATCAGCATTCACAAGGAAGTTTCCAAGGGCGACTTGCTCCGCGGGGAGACACTGTACAGTTCTGAGTCCGGTGGTGACTTCAGAGTCTGCATTTTAGGTGTCTCATTTCCTAATCTCCTTCTTTGCTTTTCTTTTAATCTATCCACCTGTAAACTGAGTAAGATAGTAATTTCATCCAACCACTGTTTCTGCATGTTTCTGTTGGGAGTTCTGAAGACATAGGTGAGGGTTTTGGTGGCGGCTGTGCGAACTTCGAGCTGGAAGGAGTATTCGTCCGGTATTGGTCCAATTCCCACAGTATCCATACGAATGGAATCGACGTAACGGTAAGACGGTGGGTGTGACTCCAGTATTAGGATCATGGTGTCTAGGAGGACCATATGAAACTCTTGTTTAATCAGTTGTCCAGTCCATCGCACCTTGGCATTCCCCGCCATTAGAACCGGGCCGCAATCGTCCAGGTCGAAGGGCGCCCCCTTGATAGTCTCCGTCAAGAGAATAGTGTTGGCATCTGCTACACACTCCCGTAACATGGAAAGCGCCGCATTTACAGTTTGATTTTCCGACTTGTTAGTAAGAAGGCTGGCAAGAAATTTCATATATATTTCAAACTGGAGCACTGGTTGTACAAAACGACTGTATAACTCCATGTCTCTCAATAATCCGTCCAGACGAGCACGATCTGCTAAGTAGTTCGAATATAATTCTTTCAATCTAACAGAACAATCAATGAAACACTGAACAACTTCCTGCTTCTTCCCTGAACGTACAGCCGTCTCTAATAAAGACAAAAAGATGGTGGTGTGAAAGTCGTAGATCTTACGTAATTGGGTAATTATACAAGATGGAGGCTTCGAAATTTCATCGTTCAAGAGAGACCCAAGCTCCTGATGTATAGTCAAGGTATATTCGATCTCCTTGTCCAATAAACTGACCAGTATTGTAGGGACGCTGTTCTCCGACTCACATGGTAAACTTTTCAATTTGAACAGATCTTTCAATTGGGGAAAAACCGCCCAGACAGTCAGGGGAGTTAGAGAGTCTTGGTTCCTCCATTTAAGAGAGTTGCTCTCGCTGTCAGACGTGTAGCCGCTTTGTTGTCGAACTGCTGGTCGAGGCTTTCCCGACGTGCTGGAGTTCTTCTTAATAGCTGCCCGCCGACCAGACCAAGAAGCATTGTTTTCGCTCCTGCCGGTTCGAGTGTTCTCTTCATCCAGAATATCAGAGTCACTGACCGTACCTTGTGAGCTACTCCAAGACGACTCCGCAGAATGTCCACGACGCATCTTGCTACGCTTACCGCTGAGTCTCAAGTCAGATTGGCCCTCTATAAAACTATTCCTCGGGGTGGCAGTCTTTGGTTTTTCTTTAAGGATGTCTTTTAAATCATTAATCCATAACTGCTGCATGTTAATATTTTTAGCTTTGAATGTGTAACAGACAGTTTGTCCTCTTGGACCATTTCTGACTTCGAGGTTGAAAAGGACTCCTCGTTCCTGTTTCCCTAGACCAACTTGGTCCATCCGGAAACTTGTGACATATCGGTAGTTTCTACCGTCAGATGTTGTCAACAGGATTAACGTTTTCAGCACGAGGACGTGGTATACCCGGCGGGGAAGGTCTCCCCCTCTTCGTAGTGTGAGGTCACTGTGGCGAATCAGGTTTCCGAAATTGGTTAAGTCAAACGGGGATCCAGTTACGGCACCAAGAAAGAGCTTTGAGTCAGCCTTCTTCAGGGGAACTTTGAGAATGTCCATGGCTTTCTGAAGACAATGCTTTTCTTCGCGAGTATTACATTTCTTGTGGAGAGTCTCCAGAGTGAGAACATAATAATGGAGACGCATTCTGGGTTTCCTCAGTTTCTCTGGGAGCTCAGGTATGTGAGTTTTGAAGTAATCTTTGTGGGTATGGAGGATACGATCCACGATTGGGATATTTTCCATAAAGTAGACATAATTTTCATAATCATTTTGATGAGACACAATAGCATCACTCAGACGCTGCAGATAACCGTAACTATTCTCGAACTCAGCGTGTAGCTCCGAGTGCAGTTGAGTCAGTGCCTTCACTTGCATGAACAAAAGAGTCAAGTTTTCGCGAATAAACTGCGGTGTTTCCGAGTCTGCCAAACGCTCCCTGTCCTCCTCTAGACTCCGGAGAGACTTTAGGAACTCTTCATCACTTTCCACAAAGAACCTCATTTCAGCCTCTATGATGGCCGAATTGGATTCAAGTGATGAGTCACTGGATTTGGACAACGTCTCTGCTGCGTCGTCATAAAGCCTCTCTTGTACGTTGGCGTCGAGGCCCATGTCCTCGTAATACTTCCCTGCCGACTTGCTGTCCGTGTCGTCAGTGAGCATTTCTTCATCATCTGAGTCTGAGTCAGATGAGGATTCAGAGTTAGGCGTAGGGGAGTCGGAGGGTTCGGGGGGAGTGTTGATCTTGTCAGAGGTGCGAGGGCCCTTCTTCGTGGTGGAGGCGGTGCCTGCCAGCGATGCTAACATAGCCGTGAATCTTTTGCTGACGCCCCGACTCCATGACTGTTTGAGTTCTTTGTTGGGAGACAGCTGAGTCCCAGGACTGGAAAGGTAAACCACTGTATTACATATTTACTATGAGCGATGTTTGAGTTACTCTGAGTCTCTTACCTGAGACTTACTGCTTCAAGAACATAACCTATACTGATATACTTTACCAATATTTAAGATTGTACGTTAGTTTGTTCACCTAACCAAAACTCATCTAAAATTTACCATTTTAAAAAATTTGGCTGGGGTATGAAGTACAAATACTGTACCATATTACAATATATATATATATATATATATATATATATATATATATCTGACTATAAACAAAATTTGACCTAGTTACTGAAATTGTACTCCTCAGTTCACCTCTAGAGTGCCAAGTATTAATTTATTTCTACCTAGTGTGCTGATATATCTATTTAGATACAAGTAATTAAACATGAGAAATTTACTCTAACATTCTAACATTATCTGGAGCACTGACAGGGGAACCATAATATCTAGAGTCTAGCCTATACATTATACCTTTTCAAATACAGTTAAATTACAAGTCTGCAAAATTCTCATTAAGTCGAATCAATTAAAAAACAGTATGTTAATATTTTTATTTAGGAAGGCCGCCATGACATATTACAACACTAATAAGAGTGACTATGAATTTGTCTTTTGGGAGATTTTCGTCCAGTCCCCTGACCTAGGGACGGGGAGAGGTGTGTGGGGGAGAGGTGTGTGTGTGGGGGAGGGGTGGGGAGGTGGAGGAGGAGGCGTGTGTGGGGGAGGAGGTGTGGGGAGGGGTGGGGCGAGGAGAGGTGGGGCGAGGAGGGGTGGGGGAGGGGTGTGGGGAGGGCGTGTGGAGGAGGCGTGTGGGGGAGGAGGTGTGGGGGCGAGGAGAGGTGTGGGGCGAGGGAGGGGTGTGGGGAGGGGTGTGTAGGGGAGGGTGTGGGGAGGGGTGTGGTGTGGGGGAGGGGTGGGGAGGGGTGTGTGTGGGGAGGGTGTGGGGGAGGGGTGTGGGGGAGGGGTGTATATAAAGGCTGGACCACGCAATCTTTCTTTTCATCTCAGTCAGTCAGTAAGTCAATTAATAAGAGCGCTAGTTGAATTATTGAAAAATTGGTCCTATAGGTCATGATTGGTCGTTAGAGACTGTGTTTATAATTCTCTATACACTAAGGTGGCAGCATGGCCGGACCTGCACTCGACTGCCTTCATTTCCCAGGCTGAATGGACAGAAAGCGCCCCGGAATCGCACAAGTGAGGCTTAGGACAGGAGGTGGGCGCTGTCTCCAGTTGACTGCCGCACACTTATTCATCTATTTATCACATCTTAAACCATGGATAAGGTCATGCAGCGTTATTAATATTTCAGGTGTGTTAAAGAATGTTATATTTTTATTTAGTCTCTTACCCTAATCAGTGGAATATCGCGGTCGAGTAGATATAGAGCTCATCTGCCGTCAATGGTTCGCTCCCGGGCACTCCCAGTTTATCTGGCTGTAAATGGGTACCTAACTTAACAACCTGGGAAAGTGAAGGTGGTCCAGTACAGTGTTGGCCCACTTTCACTTTTCCCCCTAACCAGTGGAGCAATCTTCAGGTTACTTGTGTCTCTCTGTCAGTCACCAGTGTTACCATGTTACCTTGACTGGAGGTGAAGAAGGCTATCCGGCACAGCGGCGGGGAACAGTGCTAGCAGCTGGTTGACATCCTGTTGGGATTTCATCTGCAGGACAACGGCAGCGCGGCCGAAGCTGTCACTGCGGCTGATGTACACCACCCGGGTGGGAGACTCCTCGACGGGCGTGATGATGATCACATCACTGGTGCGATGTTTGAGGACAACTTCAGTGCCCTCAATTACCCGACACTCTGGCTCCTCCACCTTCACCTCCACCTCCCGGAGAGCGTAGAAGTTATCTACTTCTCCGATGTACTGTTGCCGCTCTTCCAGGAGGCCCTTATTGTCTTCGTCGAGATAATCGCCATGGACGACAGCCCAGTGAGAGACATTAGCAATTCTGGAGCGGAGTTCCTGCGGGAGGCGCCGCAGCGGCAGCTTCACCTCGGCTACACCCAGCAGTACACCCGACACACTCGTCATGACTGAAATATGACATTTGTTTACTCCAGGTGTGGTGTAATATGAGCCACCTCACGTAGTGCATGCTTCACCAACAAAAGAAATTATATTGTGTATTACAACGTCATCACACGTTGAAATGGCTATTCAATTAAAAATTTCACATGCCTATATCAAAATAAATATTATCTTATATTTCATGAAGCTATACATTGTGTCTGTGCCTGTACCTACACCAACATTGTTGAAGATGATTCTGAGTAAATTTTTGAATGCGAAGTCAAGTGCCTAAGGCAGTGGTTCTCAACCTTGTTTGCCCCATGCACCCCTTTCACCATATGTCAGAATGTCATTCCCCCCTCCTTTCCAAGATTGTCTGCCTCAAAAAGTGCATTCCAAATAATATGCATTTAATACTGAAAATCCTTTATTTTTTCCATATTAGTATCAGTTCCCCCCCCCCCTGAAAACCTGAGGGGGGAAATTCCCCCCCTGGTTGAGAACCCCTGGCCTAAGGAGTACGATAGCCTGAATGTCATCTTAAAAGACAATCGTAGTTCCTGATGTTCCTGAACTGAGAAGTCAAGTCCCCCTGCTAACATAAGCGCCACAGATAAACTATTATAAAAACTTAATTAAGATATTACAATTCCCCCCCTCCTACGGAAGCTCTCATTAAGGAACAACTTTCATCTTCTCAAGTAGTTTAGTTCCTGTCTACAATTCACAATTAATCTGTACAGCTGCATGTCCCCCCCCCCTCTATGAACGACCTGAACCTCACCCGGCCTATACGGTCAGTAGTGTTGGTTGGGTCAGCGTAAGTGTTCGCTGCCATGTTCCTGCGCCTTTTATCGCACCCAAGTGTGTCCTTACTAAACATCACAGGTCTCCGGGTACTAAAGTTTCTTCGTATACTAAGACCGGATAATAAAATTCATAAGAAATAACAGACCGGCCGCTCAAATGACTAGTAAGCTGAGAAAAGGTAATTAATAAATAGCTTTTGGTGGCCAGTGTTTCCCCGACACTCAGACAAGCGACTGTCCAAACGGCGAGAAAAGATGGGGTGGTTCTTGTCTAGCTGGGAATACCAAACAAACAACCAACCAAACAAACAGACATACCTCACGAATAAATAGTGTCAGCTTTACGTCATAAGGAAATCCACGACACATGCAGGGATTACGAGTTAAAAAAACAAAAAAACAATCTAGATCAGGGGTCCGCAATCCCCAGTTTTCCGGCCTCATATGTCCGGAAAGGAATACATGTGAGGCCAGCTGAGTGACGTCTAAATTTCGGGTTATGTGGCCGGTAAGACTGTTTTTATTCCTTATAATTTGGGTGAAAGTAAAAAGCAGGGAAATCAAGATAATGCTGGATGAACAGTTTGCTTACCTTTGTGAAGAACAAGTTACCGCTCTAAACAGCGCACCACAGAACTGGTGAAGGCTGCCGTAACACACTTTTATTTATTTTTTCTGTAATTGCAAATCACATCCAGGTTCAATCCTCACATTAGTTTTTGTGCTGTTCTTTCCTAATAAAAAAATAAACTTTATTTTACCTGAATATAACGCACGGATAATTTTTCTGTAATTTATAATAACATTACATTATTTTTTGGAGGGAGTTATTGTACTGTATTGCGATATAAAACAATTTCCCTATACGCTTGCATTTCGGGTGTGAATCGGTTATTAAGCTGTTATTTTGTACTGCTCGAAGACAGTTTCATATTTCAATATTTTATATTGCTAAAAGTTATGTTTCCCTTATTTATTTACAGAATATTTAACTATATAGGCTAGTGACTAGTGCTATTATTTCAACGTAGAGTATGTATATGTTGAAAATGAAAGCTATGTTTAGTGGTGGTGGTGCTTATAAAAAATTTCTGACAATAAAATATAGTCTTGTATTTCTGATTTTACAGTCAATTCCGTGGAACACAGTGCTGACTTATGTTGCTTTAGTACACCTGCGGCAGGATCACTGATTACTTGTACCATTAAGTGGCCGACTAGTGTATAAAGGTTGCGGACACCTGATCTAGATGCAGCTGTAAACTCCGATGTCATGACGCCATCGGATAAACCCGAGTTGTGTTATCTGATCAATCAACATTTCCGTCGTCTTCAAGAATATTAAATACTGTATCGTTATCAGGTATTATTAGTCAGCCATTAAGACCCATTTTGCTTATAAGTATTTACGCCAACACACACACGTTCATGTTCGTTTGTTTTTGTGACTACTGCGATTATATTGCATGTAGAATATATAATTTTAGTAACGGCTGTGTGGATAGGCTTATTTCCCTTTGTATAAATATAGTTATATACACCAAGAATAATTTGGATATTCTATGTTCTTATAATTTAGGCTTATACTTATACTGTACACACCCTACGGCCTGGGTAACTTGGAATCCCTTCTCAAATTCATCCTCTCCTTACTGTCACTTTCAACCCAGTTTTTGAACGATTGACAATACTAAGACCACTGCAGGTGTGACCCCCTCCCCCGCACCCCATGTCCTGATGTGTACTGAGGCGGAAATCATTTTGTTAGCCCCTACTTCCCTTAAATACAATCCCTCCAAGATCATCACCCTACCAGCTAAATTTGACGACAATATGACCAAAACTATGATATCAGTAAGTGTATACACAGGCGGATACACTAACACGAGACACTTAGTGACATTACTATAATAAAATATGTATCTTAAACATAACAAATATCAGTAAAGGAATTAATAAATATATACTGTACTAGTAAATAAAGTATGTAGAGGGAAAGAGAAAATTTTGCGTAATTTACAAAATTAAAGTATATAAGTAAAATGTCTTTACGGTACCTGGGAGCCTGTGTTGAGAATGAAGCACGTAATCGATGACGTCACTCAAGTCTAGGAGCAGACCGCTTGCCAGCTGCCGCCATGGTAGACTTGACTGTTAGTGATAAAAATAGACAAGAATGCAATGCGTTGTCCTTGACACATTTTCTTTGGTTGAAAAAAAAAACAATCTATTATAGTAGTCCATTAAAACAGGGCTATGGGGGAGGAGGCAATGTTTGAAAGTCAGGCAAGGGTTGAGACAAGGGGCTTGTAAGTTAACGAGGGATAAGAAACAGTGATAAGTGAGCTATCAGAACATAGAGTAGAGCCACATAAGCGCCTATGATTTTATGACTCAAGCGAATACCTTCTATAGGGTAGGTGAGGGGATAGCTGCCAGATCCCAGAACCATCCTAAAATCTTATAATTCTCAATTAAGGTTTTCAATCAAAGCGTAACTGAAGAGCCCTAAGAATAGGTGGCCGGGACTCTGAGGGATGCTGTAGGTGCAAATAGGTTTATCGAGTAACTAAACCTCTGTATCCTTAATAAAGAAATAAAGAAAGTATCCCGGAAATCATGTGACCAGGATGTGACGTGAGATACAGTGGCCGGCTGCCAGCTCATTCTGAAATCTCTGGTTAAATGGCAATGTTTTCTTGAGCGTTGTTTAACTTGTCGTATGTATCACATTCCGTTACCTGTTGTTTTTTTTTTGGTTCATCACAGAGGTAGGCCAACCGCCAACCACATTAAGATACACCTCCAATGCGAACACTAGGCTTCAGTATAAAGCCTGGTGCTATTGTTACTATGCCCACAGCTCTTAGGCTTCTGTTGGTCCCGCCACCATCACTACTGCTGCTGCTGCCTCCGCCTAGGCTTGTGGTTCTAACACCATCACTACTTACGACTTTGGTTCTGGTGCTCTCGAAACTGCTGCTTCTGTTTTTAATATCATAGATGCTAGCACAGTACAGGTAATGATCCCGTTGGTGCAGTACTTCTGCTATTGCAATTCCCACTAATCCTCATCAGCACAGTATACAGTATGTTACTACAAAATACCACTTACACTTTCAGTACTACTGCTATTGTCACTTATACTTTTATTATCACTACTACTGTTGCTCCCCCCCAAAAAATCAACAGACCGAGCGACCTGTTTCGTTGCAGTTCAATCAAAACCGAGAACAAGTTAGTTTAGTCACCGCCACACATCAGTACACGGTCACAAGCCTGGCATAATTTACTCTCACTGGCACGTGTAATCGACAATGTAGCTACATGTGTCAACTTAAACGAGGAGTCAATAAGTAAACAATGGTCGAACGGCGGCGTCTGGTTGGTTGATTCGCCAACCAGTGAAAGACGAGTCGCAGTCAGGACAAACATGGCGCACGCGTAAAAATGATATATTTTATTTTGAGATAGAAGCGAAACTTTTTCCTGATCGCAAATATTTTTTTCTTTCGCTCTCAAGTCCCATTTTTTTTTCTGCGACTCATCTTCAATTGTTCAAGAAAACAGCAAATCAGAAGCAGTCACTACTAATGGATATCTGTTGTCTAAGAGTGACAATAGGGGGCCAGCTAACGTCAAACTGTCCTCGCTAAGACATACACAAACTGGCCGAACTGCAGTAAATATATCAATAATCAGGCTAAAACTAATAACATACGTACAGAACAACACACGAATAAAAATATTATTAAGTTTCACAACTCAAATGTATATTAAAGTTAAATCAGGTGAAGTATATTTTTTTTTCTCGGAACGAACCTTATGATCATCTTTCATATACGTGGCTCCAACTTTTATTTATTTCTACTTTCATATTTTCATACCTACATATAGAAGTATTTGTTTGTTGATTTTATATAGGACAAGTGAGTCGGCAATGAGGAGCTGCTTGCGTTGCCAACACACATACACACACACACAAAGTATCAAAATAAATAAGAATTGGCCTCCAAAAAAATCCAAACATCCAGCGATTGATATAATAACGAATCGCAACAATCTGTGATAAGACAGAAATTATTGCATATCAAATAATTTTAATGTACACTGGAACCCTGCTTCAGGTATTGTACAGTAGACACAAGGTATAATTACGAAGGTTATTATGCATAAGGCAATGTTGGCTTATTATGTCCGCTTTCCGTGACGGTTCTCGATGGCAGTTATGCACCTGGCAGCAGCATAACAAAAAAACAAAAAACAAATGCTAGGTGTAAGAGGAACGGCATGTGGTTAAGCAATAACTAAAATGAAATAAATAACCAATGACAAAGCAGAAGATAAGCAAAGGTGGACATTATGGAAGTAAATGGTGTTGTTGGTCAGATATTCACCATATAAACACGACATGGTAACAATGGAGAATAAGCCATGAAACATGTTATAAGAATGCACTGGGGGCGGCTGAAGGTGAGAGGGAGCGAGGTACAGTATTTCTATAGCATAAGGCACGTGAGAGCTCCCGAAGACTGTTGTGCCAATGTGGGCTGTATCTCTAAATATGCATTTTTCTATCTCTAGCCTTGAGAATGAGCAGGTGTACCAACACATTTGCCCCAATTTACATCTTGTGTCATGCAGTGAAGGGAAAACTAAACTTTAAATCTGACACCACAGCCAAATATTTATACTTTCTCACAGAAACTGCGGAAAAATACTGGACTCACGTTTCTCTGAACATCTTAAAGCTTGGAAGAGGTAACCAGGGCTACTGTCGATAATAAAGCTCGTAATAAACTATTGTCTTCCCGCCTTGACAACCAATCACTGCTGAAGTAAACTCTTTCCTTACTAATATTTCACTATTTCTCACATGTCCATAACACCTTGAACAAACCCTAGTATTCTTTTAATTTGTACAGCGTTATTTCCGTCTTCTTATTCCTTGTATTATATTCACTCCATCTATAGTTCTTAAACGTCATTTCCATAGTTTTTAATATATTTCTTCCTCTTGCATTATTTTAGTCTATATAATGTCGATGAACTAGATAGATAGATAGATAGATAGATAGATATTCAGTAAAATCGTCAAACTAGTTCATATTCATTCAGCATGTACAGTACATAAACAGTGTAAGTCAGTGCAAGTACACATCTCTCAATGCACATATTACCTTCTTTCCCACAGCGACGCTACGATATAAGTCAATACAAAAACAATAGACGAACTTGCTAATGTGTTACACCAATGGCAGCGAGCAATGTGGAGCAGCTAAAATGCTTGTGTGGTTTTTAAATATCTCACACTTTCATGTACATCACAATACCTGCACGTATGCATAATGACAACTCCAGGTCTCCAAAGTGCTGCATCCACCTGTCAATCTCCACAACTGGTAATTAATCATCATTCTGAATTTTGTAAAACCAATGTGGGAAGCCAAATCAATGTATAAAGTTTAAATATTTTCTTTTTACAATACAGACACGCCTCGTCATAAAGATGTTGACAAAATTTTCATCATCAGTACCGTAATAACAACTGTAATTAATTACCCCTTGCCAGGTTACCACCAAGATATTACTGTGTCTTAGTGTTAACACGTCATATATGACTCACGTGTTAGTATATTGGGATGAAAGTGTAATGGTGTGCTAATATAGCCTAGTGTCCTGAAGCGTAACCTAACCAGCATGTATTATCATAGCCAAGTCTCACCCCCCCTGCATTCCTCAGTGACATAAGGCGTTAATGTATTTCTCATTATCTCCAGCATCTCTCACAGTCACAAGTTTCCAGCATCCTTCAACCCTCACATTCATTATCATCAGGTGTCACATAGTTCAGTTCCATTATTCCCAGCAACACCCCACACATTAAAGCTGACATAACTGGACGCTACAGCAGTACAGTACTCAACAGATGATTTAAGAGACCCTTCTGTCGAGTTTTTTTTTCTTCCTGAAGCAGAAACGAAATTAAAAGTAACAGTAAAGAGAATGAGTATAAATCCTTTTTCCCTGAACCACAGATAAATACATTATACTGTACTTTGAGCGCGATTATGTTATTACACAACAATACTAACTGACACTCGTCAGTGAAAAGCGGTAAAAAAAATCGGTTTATTCCAGAAGCCATTGAATCGTATATTAACATTTTACCAACTCATAGGAATACAAAACAACGATTTTCGACAACTTCATAGAAGACAATAAATCTAATACAAAAGAATACGATAAAATACCAGCAGTAAAATCATCGCTGCGTGCCCTAAATTTGTTCCCAGCCTTTGAAGATCTTTTTGTGTCCACTGCTGCCAGCCAACTATTGTGACGTCCCGGATTTTATGCAAAACTATAAAACGGTATACCACGATCTCTCCTCTCACAACGGTATGCACGACATCTCTTGTCCATTGCTGTCAGCCGCCGCACAATTGGAACCATGTCTTTTAGTACATATCAGCCATGTTTTTTTTATTCGGTTTCTCTGTAAAACAAAAAAAAAGTGATTCAGTTGTGACGCCATCTGGTGTGGGAGATGCCGACCATGTTGGTGACAACCTTTATGATTAAATATTGAAATTAATTTTTTTTTGCACTTGAAAGAGTCACTATTTAAGTTTTGTTTTTCACCTTAGCAAATGCAAAGAACCGCATTTCAATACCTTACGACGTTTCTACATATGTTTGGAATCAGAACAGGACTTTATGGACGGGGTCCTGAACTAGCTATTCCTTCTTCCCCACCAGCAATTCCCCTTCCATAATTTCCTCTGCGGAGTTATTTTCATTAAATTTTCCAGTCGAAATGAAAGACATTAAAATCATGTTTGTATAGTTTAATTATTACCTCAATGACCAATAACAACCCTGACAGATTCCCCCCCCCAAAAAAAAATAAAATCTAAAAACAAAATCTAAAACAAAAAAAAATCTACTGTTTTCAAGTATATTTTCAGGCTTTGCAATAGACATTTTGAGATGTAGTTTACAATTAGTGGAGCGAGTAAGAAGTCATGTACTTTGGTGCACTGCGATATACCATATATAGTTGGGATGCTTAGAACTCGAAGAAAGTATTTGTAAGTTATCTTGGCTGCCCGAGCAAGAAATACAAGTCTGATTGTAGAATTTGAGTGACACTACAAATCAAGGACTACAATTTCTTATGATTTGAAACCTCTTGATCTGACACATGGTTCTTCCCTTGTTTCCGTGTCCGACAAGTTACTGACTTATGGAAGGACTTCAACAGCGTTGGTAATATCACCATACTTTTCGACAAGGAATACCTTATGCGGCAGATGTAATTTGGGTCAAACGTTGAAGGAAACAAGAAAGATGAGAAGATTAATGATTTCCCAGCATATTACAACACTTATCAGCACCTAACATCTCGACCACCAGCTCAGGGCACTGTCGCTCGGCAAACCAATCTAATATGAAGGATAACAGCCAATGAGTAACGCTTCAGATCAATATACTGTACAAACAGCATTGACAAGCACCGACTCTTGCAGTAAGTTTTTATATTTTAATGTTTATTAGTGTTGCTTCTTCAATGTATTCAGGTTTATCAGAGATCGTGTCCTTCAAGATCAGGTTTGGTATTCAAGCTTAGACACATTTTCTAATTTGTGTACAGTAATGATTGGTTATTGTCGGTAGGTATATCGTAAGTTAGAAAAGATCCACAAGATTACTACCGAATGTGGGATTACACAGTGGGTGGATCTTCCTCTGAACAAAAAACTATATACCCTGTATATGATTAACCTTGTATGCCGAGGATGTTACTACCGGTACTTCTAGACAGGCCAAGAAAATACTGAAATATGACGTAAACATAATTTGCATCTAAATTTACCCAAAAGAAAACTTAAAGGAACAAGGTTTAGCAGCTAAACTATAAAACGAAATAATTGTCTTCGGTAGCCTGAGGGAGCGAAAGCCAAACATTATCCCGGATTCTGGGTCACGTCTTGGACTCACAGGAGGCCGGGCGAGCTTGTCCCCCTCCCCCCACTAACGATTGATACTTTAAATACTCATAAGTATCGTCATGCGAAAAATGTGGTTGCCGTTATAACTAAAGTTGGTCATGAAACTTTACATACCGTTTATGCCGGCGACAACGAGAACACAGGGTATATGCCATTAGTAGTGATGGGTCGCCTCACTCTCACCCTCCCTGACTCTTGCAGTTCACACTCCGGTTGCAAACAGTACATCAAACACGGCATTTGCTTGTTGAATAAGCATTAAAACATTGACACGTTTAGTCCATGTTGGATTGAACTTGATGTGACTCCTGGTAGCACCGCGATAGTTAGCACTTTTCGGTTGTTTAGAGGACGAAGGTCCCTCCGATGTGGCTGCACTGTCACTCATCTTGCCCACATGTTTGTTTACAACAGCGAGCGACCAGAGCGCGGGTAATCAATTACAAAGGCCTATTTTTATTGGTTGATGATCTGCGGTAGACCAATCATAATTCACGTTTCACATGGACAGAGTTTGTCATTCGGATACAATCGGAATATCTCGGGAAACATCACAATGAATTCGTTTAGCGAGTTTTAAATGATCAGTGAGAATGTTCTGGGTGGATTCCGCGCTCATACACAAGGAAACAAAGGTGTTTATTGCCTGTGATTTTAATAAATAAAAAATCTAAACAGCGCCAGATTTCAAATCTCTATGTGCCAGAGTGTAATATTAAAGGGACATCCGTATTAGTCAGCGCGAAATGAGTTAGTTGTTATATATACAGTATATTCTACTTGACACCAATCCTAAAATAATTATTATTATATGAAACAAAAAACAACACGCACACTAGAAAGAAAAATTACAGTTGTAACAGCAATAGGTACACAAAACTTGGTGAAACTACTTAAATAATTATAAGTTAATGCCATACAATGAAAAGAGCTTCTCAGCGCTCACAACACAACAAAGTACATTAATTTTAATTATAATGTCTCCTTATATGCACTTGTATCACTCGTACAGTATCTCAATCTCAAAATTGGGTTGTGCATACAATCTCTTATTCTTCATTTAATTTTGTTGAAGTTTTAGGTGTATCAACGTACCGGCCTTCAACTCTTATGTCTTGCTCGGTAGCTTGGTTTTCGGGCAACAATTTTACTTTGGTTAAATAGGGGCATGGCAGCCAAGTGGGTAAAGACTCCTTACTTGGCGGTCACCTGTTCAAGTAGCCCGACCGGCCACCGAGGGCGTCAGCTGCAGGATGGATAACTTAACTGTACAGGTGATGAAGTGAAGACAGTAGAGTTCAGTACCGAAAGCTTTAGTGTTGAATGTGATGCTGCAACAGTGACCCACTTCCACTATCGATTCACAACTATTGTTACCGTTATCATTACTATTGTTATATCTACTGTTGTGCCTGCTTTTATTGCTATTATTTCCACACATACTGCCGCGAGAATTAATGACTACACCTTATATCACTATTGATGCCGTCAATTACAATAATAATAATAATAATAATAATAATAATAATAACCACGACATCCTGTAACAAACAATACTGCTGGTGGTAGTGGTGTTACAACAAATTATCACCACCACAATATAGTCGGTGCTGCTGCTTCCACTCCCGAAACATTACACTAACAGGGGGAATATCAATAATTACAGGATATTTATGTACACAAAACAGCCACGGCTTCTTTTGTTTGAGTACGATATGGCTTTCACTTGTAATACTACTACTTCTACTACTACTATGACTACTACTACTACTACTACTAACCCAGAGAGATCATAACGGCAAGAAAATCAACATTCACTCTCAATAAGCTTGTCACTAAAAATGCATTGATTGTGATGAGCATTTGAGTGTCACTAGCTCCACCGCCCACACCACTAAATATAATTCTTCATTCATGGCGCTATCAATGTCTTCCCAGAAATCACACGGCACTGCATACAAAAAAAAAAAAAAAAGAAGAAAACGAATACAGATAAAAGTATTAGCAATATATAAATATATAAATATATATAAATTAAAAATAATTTAATTTTAAAGAAATTGACGAACTATATTTTTATATAACTAAACATTAAAAGTGGACTAAAATACGAGTTAGTAACTGTAATACTTCGTTGAGGCTACAGTAATGTACTGTACCTGTTAATGTGGCGCTGTCGAGGCTGTATCCTTTATCTTAACTCTTCCTGTACCTCCTTAACACTCTGGTTTCTCATTTGTTGCACATTATCCTCTAAAATACACCTTTGCACGAGTGATTAGTTGAATAAACGTATTCAAGAGTAAAGTATTCGTGCCGTACCTCACTTTGACATGCCACTGAGGTGTCTTGATAATCACAATCGTGGTGAACTTGCAGCCTTGATAGTGAAGAAATTCCCCATTACTTCGTCCCTTATCAACATGCAATGTACTGTATGTGTGAGGTTATGTTCACCCAAGTAATCACAGTACCAAGCGTTAATACGACTGGTAACCATAAAACATCTTGGTTAACTCTCCCTTATATAGAAGTATGGGTCGTGTTGGGGTCTGTCACAACGGCTCCTCACAGTATAAAAGAGCGATAATGAACGAATATAAACGACTTAAAAGGACAGTACAACCAATATGGCATCAGTGATAGTAAGGGCGATTAGATAGCGATATTAGCCAGTTCGATAAACTTGATGTCGCAGTTTCCCGCGATAAGACGTCCAGGGCGGTACAAGTATGTCAAGTCTATTGCTATGTAAAGGGAGCACGCATGTAAAGCAGCCACTATTGCATACCTAAGCAATTAAGAATCATTAATGACTTTCATACGCCACGAGACAAAAAAGTTTCACAACACTGATCATGTTACCACCACTGCTGAAGTTTATATGTATTTATGTACTTTAACAACTTTAGGTTTTTAACCGCGTAATCAAAGCATGTCCAATCACTAAATGAACCAAAATATCGTTCTTCCTTCAGGGATAAATGGTGAAAAATCCTTTATCAGTTACTATGATAAATTTATTCTTTTTTTCTGCAATATTTCAAAACACAATCATAATAGAGTTAGACAGCATTCGAACCTGAGGTGTGTATAAATAAACCTGATGTCTTAGTAACCATGGCAACTGCTCACTGTCAAGATATCATGCTTGAGTCGACATTGTTCCATATTCTTTGCGGGAAATTTGACGGATCGTAAAGAAAGTCCTGATATATCCTATAAGGCCTAAACAAAGCTATCCTCACTTGATTATTAAACATCTCAACTCTATCCAGGGTTAGGTTAGGCTAACGTTGTTAATCTTAAGGTGAAGCTGGCGGATAATTTTCAATAGATCCCACCTTTCTAATAAAGTCCTTTGGCTAAATTTATCAGTGTTCAAAAATCTCCTCGTGCGTCACCTTAACATCGGGAGATAAAAGCATGATTTCCGTACGCTCTTTATCCCTAGCAGAACTGAGAACGTTTTAGGCGAGATAGTCTACTAACCCCTTGAGCACGGGGTCCTCTCTGCAGTGAAGAAAATCGTCTAGTGTTAGCCAAAGAGAATACTAAAAGTGGCGTCCTCGTAGTGAAGGGGTTATATTTCCCTTAAGATATGGGAAAACAATCATATTTGCAACAGACTCCCGAAAAATGTAGCCTATTATCTGTTGTTTTGGCTAAATATATACTGTATATACGTCAACTGTTTCAATTTTCAATGTTCAGATCCACAGCTCGGACAGTAGTCATTAAACTCCCGTACTAAACAAGTTAAATTCTCGTTAAGTGGCCCCTCTGACAGCCAGGATTCACCCACAGAAAACGATCCTCTGCAAACTCCATTGATGAAAACAAATTCGTTACTCAAAATTACTAGTCGAATCAAGATGCACTACTGAACGCTACCAGACATTATTAACACTATGCAACACGTCTACTAAACACTACAGCAACACTAAGCAACGCGTCTACTTAACAAGTCACGATTGGAGCGGTTATACTGGTTACTGTGCGTCACTTAACCAAACTCTTACAAACTTGCCCATGATGTGTCTTACTTGCTGTCAAACGTTTGTCATTTCATTATGGTATGGCTACAGTCAAGGATATTTCAAGTGTTTCGTGTTGATGTTGATATTATAATGCATTTCTGTCTTTCAATAACCAAGGTCTTTAAGCGCGTATATTAAGTTAGCAAATACAAGTCATCAATGATTTTAAAGTAAAACAGATACATCGCTTTGGTTGACAATGTAAAAAAAAAAAAAAAAAAAACTTGACGTACATGTAACATGCATCTGTAACCTTTATTTCTACCTGTATCTGTAGCCACCAGATGTTTTTAAATATATAAATTGAAATAAGTGACTTATACTTATGTTTGTACCAGTAATATTGGTCCTGTGATAATAAATTATACCAAATAAACTTGTTACTAACTTGCAATTGTAACCTGCTTTATTGTTCATAAGTTAATAAGACGAAATGAGATGATAAAAATACTTTCAATATCTAAGAACCTTTTCCACTAGTTACAGCCTGTAAATCACGTGGTCTCCCAAGAGTTCTTCGTGGCGCTAAGGCAATCATAATATGTATTGTCATATCAGATAAAATTCAACGATAACAATATGAGTTACCTTCAATCTATTGTTTAGATGTATTTGTACACTATTATGTGTTGAAATATGAATCGCACATAAAAACTAAGAAACCCCAAGCGTGTGAGAGTTACACAGTTGATCATCTCACACAGTCGAGCAAGGAAAACAGGGTAAGTTGCCGCTTTTTCTTGTAAGGGAAACGGGACAATCAGCCTCCTCTTGGTTCAGACAGATTATAACCACGTAAAAAGAATCATTATGTGCTTTCTTATCGTTCAACAAGGCTCACATAACGTTCAGTTGTACACAGATACACTAATGAAACTTTATGAAGTCGGGTGGAAAATGTGTTGTGCTTGGGGAGGTGTTTTTCGGATCATCAACGCAATTCTCAGTCAGTAACACGAGGTGAGTCGAGTACGGGCTGTGAGTGCATGGGACCACCCAGCTCAGGACACTCAGGCCTCCAGCAGGATAAAGAGCATCTTGGATTTCTGCGCTTACATACGGTACGTAACACACGCACACAATTACATTCATGAAATTAAGAAAGATACAGTGGTATATGACTTTCCCAGATTGTTATCTCAGTGTCTATGAAATGGTAGTTTTGATGACAATTTTATTCTGCTTTTAAATTTCGATTACAACTTTCATGGTGTTTGTTAATAAGTAAATAAAAAAATAACAATTCCAAAACGCCAATCTCAAGGCGGCATATAGTTTACTAGGCTTCGTAAGAACTCGCCACGATGACCAGTTCTTAAACCCACACCACCAAACTCTTAAACACGTGGAGGAGATAACGGGGCTTATTAGTTCTAAATCTTTATATATTTGCTATTCTAATTAACCTAATTCATTATTAAAATATTCTAAACAAATTAATCTGAACTAGGAAGATCTTGGTGTTTTAATAATTAATTGGCGGAGCTACAACACACAGTGAGTGATTTATTGTCAATAAAACAATGTCGTCATTTATCTGATAATGGTAAAATAAATAACTTTATCTCACGTGATATAATTAAACTTACTGTCACTGACTGTATTGAATTCACTTAATCACTCGAGTGTATCTGTAGTTAATATTGTTTATGGAGTGATGTACTGTAGGCCTACACAGTTGTGGACAAAATTCCCTGGACACTTGGTGGTAACTGGCATGTACTGTATGTAACTGAGGATCATTAGCTGAGGGGGATTGAAATTTTAATGTATTTTCTCAGATATTTCTTTGTATTAATAGGTTAGGTTTTTTTTTCAATTTGTGGTTACGGCATTATGTATGGTGAAAAGCAGTGTTATTAAGTATAAACCAATCTTTTATATGACACGGATGTAGATACCAGATACTGCCAAGTGTTCAGGAAGAAAGTTATGGCAGTCTTGAATCCCAGCCTCATCCAATTCTCATAAGCGTCTACCTAAACATTTAGTGAAAACTTTGGCCTTACCTACCTACCTACTGACAGATGAACACTCGCAGTGGGGGGTGGGGCACGTCTTCCATCTCTGTTGCTAAGTGACCTGCAGCCGCTAACACATGCACGCACAACATATCGACCTCCCATCTCTGTAAATAGAAAATGCTAAGTCAGTGTATCAAATGCCAATATGACTTTATGAATAAATATTTGACAAGAAGCATGGGGGTTTAAGTACACGTAATTATCCTGGACAATCCTCTTTCCAATCACTTAATTGCCAGCAGTACGATCATTACACCCGTTTATACTTAATTGCCAGCCGTATGATCATTAGCCTCGTGCTATGCTTTAAAATTTATGCAGAATAATCTCTGCAGCCATCCACTACTGGCATATCACATACAAAAATAAAACAAATAAAAAATACCAACATTCATAAGAGCGTGTATTGCCGGACCTGCCAAACGACCAGTCCAAAACATGAATGTTAAGTTTGTTGCAGCTTCTCAGGGTTTCTTATCAGCTACTGGACTTCGTGACAGAATTTTTCAGCGATATAAGATGATGAAAAAGTATGTGGTTATAGTGCACTCCAAGTAATAATAGTAGGAACTGAGCTAAAAGCACCGACTTACATATTAATATCATGTAGTTCTGTATAATTAATAAATCCCACTTATGTATTAACAAGACTCATTATATTTAATTGGGTAGATAATAACCCCCCCTCAGCCCCCACTCCCCAGCCTTCAATGCAATATACTGTACTTTGTTTTACTGCCAAATATTCAGCGAGGTAAAAATAAGCAAGGGTTCCTTATTCATATGATCTGTTCTTAACCTGTTCTTAAAATCGATCAGAATGTCTAACCTATCATCGCCAGATACCCCAGCCTCCGTCACCACCTTCTTCAGGAGGGGGCAAGATCCAGTAGGTATAGAACAGGACAGAGAGAGGGGGGAAGGTATACCGACAGGACAGAGAGAGGAAGGTACCGAACAGGACAGAGAGAGAGAGGAAGGTACCGAACAGGACAGAGAGAGAGAGAGGAAATACCGAACAGGACAGAGAGAGGGAGGAAAGTACCAAACAGCAGAGAGAGAGAGAGGGAGGAAAGTACCAAACAGCAGAGAGAGAGAGAGAGGAAAGTACCAAACAGGACACAGAGAGAGAAAGAGATACTGAAGAGAACCAGAGAGGCGAAATACACCTCACAAAACAGATAGCAAGCCACAGGACAAACGAATTGATCAACCATGTCAACTCCAGCTTCACAATTTGGACAGCTGTTGGGCCTGGTGGATGTGAACCAGACTATGACCAGCTTCAACAAGGATGATAGACTCAACATCGCTGAAGTGTGTTGCGATATGGTGTGTGGGGGCCGGGCGCACGGCGTGAAGGAAAAGGTACCCCTGGGGACGCTGGGGCGTGTTGATAAAGCCATTTGGGATGCTGAAGTCAGCGTAGTCAATGGCACTATCCAAGTCTTCCATAACCAAGTACGGGTGAGTTTTGCTATACAGTTTTATCCTCGTACACTAAACTGAATCTGGTAAGAAATAGGTTTGTTTATCGTCGCTTTATGATATATGTCTATCCTTAATATTGTATGTGTAGCATCTACCTGAAGGGAACTACAAACCTAACCAAACCAAAACCGATCCTAACCTAACCAAACCTAATTTAATTTAACATAAACCTAAGTTAGTATAGGTCACGGGGAACAAAATCTCATGGTGGGAAAGATGATATAATATTACATTGAAGAACAGAGGAGAGAGAGAGAGAGAGAGAGAGAGAGAGAGAGATGAAAAGGATATAGAGAAGGGGAGAAAAAAAAAAGCACGTCACTCATATTTTAATCCGCCATTCCCTTCTCCAGGTCACATCACACAAGGTAACGGGCGTGAGTGTCTTTACCGCCATCCCAGGGACCAACGGAAAGTTAGTGTATATCGGTAAGTGCCAGGAACATAAGAAGAGGATGGCGGTGGTACTACAGCTCAGTTCGGACAGAGAGGCGCAGATCCTTAAAAGCCGTCACCAAGAACTGCAGGTGGACGGGTGAGTGATTTTAATGGTGGTAGTGGCGTCAGTGGTGGTGTTAGTGATAGTGGAAGTAGCATCAGTGTTGGTGTTAGTGGCACAGTGTCGTTCCAGCAGTTCCGAGTCACCTCAGTGCCAGGGGATTTTCAATCGTGTGTACATGAAATTAGGCTATGTAAATAATACTGCAATTAGAGTTTCCGTTTCTGCTTCATTAAAAAAAAAGCATTTCGCTGCCACAAAGGTAAAATTTGTTAAACATTTATCATAATTTTAAGTTTTAAAGTTACATTCCGGATACGAACCTCAGACTGACGAAACCCATTCTCATATCATCCTGTTCTGTTGAGAGATTAATAAATGAAAAATAAGTAGAGGAATCAAAAAGTCTGTGATAAGCGTAAAGAACCAATAAAAGTCTCAATGCACTTGTCCTTTGGGTAGCCATGTTGACCTCGCCGGCAAACCAGCCAGGCACCATCCACATAGACACATCACTATTCTCCATTCTTTATGTCTAGCGTATGATTTAACAGTACGCACTCATAGAATCGAGTTGCTGAGGAGTATTAATACCTTAACAGGTGTATTAAGTACCGCCTATCATATCACACGACGAATACCAAAGATAAAATTAGTGATTGGTAGAACGATGTTTCAACATGTTCATACACAGTAACCTCTAACATTATCATCTTTGTTATTTACTCGATATAATTTATTGATTTGCATTAGGAGTTCAACACATATACTGTACAGTACAATTTAACATAAGTAAAGGGTACATATTGCAGAGTACTTATACTAGAACTCCGAGGATAACACAAATAGCCAGGGTACCCAGGTTTATCTAGGAGGAATGTAGTAGTGGCGTTAATTAACTGTAATTTTCTAGTTTATTGATAAAGGTTCTATTATACACTCTGGACGCCTGAAACGTTATAAAAAAAATATCAACCTTTAAAGAAGAGGGAATGAGGCTATGACACTGGTACCCTATTGCACATCGACAACAGATATGCTCCAGCTCAACCACTGAATCTGATTGGCTTTTCACTAACCAATGAAATGTGCGTTAACAGTCAAAAGATTCTCTAAAAAATTGTAGTAGAAACAATAATATTTAGTTTCATCACAGATCACTAGTTTTCGTTCTCGTACACCAAAGACCATAGAAATAAAGATAGGAACACTGCTGAAAAGAACTAAAACCCTCATACACCTAAAGGATGTCAGATACTTCCATAATAGTGCCATGTATTTTTTTTTTATTATTATTTATTGGGCACCCCCCTACATCCTTGTGTAAGGTGAAGCGCAGAAGCGTTTACAGCGCCCAACAGGGAAGCATGCTAAGTTCATGCTTGTCTTTATGTCTCATGAATTAAGGGCGTAGAAGCCTGAAGAGTCAATGATTAATGTCATCAAGTTATTGGAAGCTCCAACAACTTGTCTCTGAATACGAATTCGCATCTTCCGATTTACACCAGGTACCTACTTTACTGCTAGGTGAACAGGGACTAATGGGGGCTAGGAAGTATGTCCAAACAACTTCCACCGGCCAGGGAATCGAACCCGTGACATCTCGCTTGCGAAGGCAAGAGCGGTACCACTCTACCACCAGCACCCCCGCGCCATGTATTGAGCACAAAATTATCGCACACTATCTTTACTCATTTTTTACTGGCTGGTGAATTAACCAATCAGATCGAGTGATTCTGTTAGCGTATACCTGTTGTCTGAGTACATGACAACAGGGGACAAGTTGAGCAAGTTCCTACAGTAAAAAATATTTATTAAGATTATGTTAATGAACTGGATACTAACGCATCCAAATAATCTACAAAATAAAACTAGTTACTTGATACTGCATCATACTTCTACTACGCCACACATCAATAATAATAATAATAATAATAATTTTTTTTCAACAGGCCCGAGTCTCGTCATATGTCTAATCTTTACCAGGTGTCAGCGGACCCTTCCATCCCTCCCCCGGACTACGAGGATCTCACCCCACCACCACTACCACCACAGAAACAAGCTAATCCATCGCCACTACTACCACCCTGGCAGAATCTACCACCGCCAACATCCCCTAAGCAGAATATACTATCCACGTGGCAGCATGTACTACCACCACATCCCCAGCAACGTTTACCAGCATCATTACCACTACCATCAGGAGACCTACCACCACCACCATTACCTTCCCCCCGTCAGCGTGTACTACCACCACCACCACCATCCCCCGAATCACTCGTCTTCGAACAAGCTCTACCACCCATACCAGCAGCTCGGGAGCATATCTATGACCAAGTCAATTTATCGATACCGCAAGAGCCGATCTATGCAACCATCGACCCAAGCTTACCAACACCACCGCATCAACAACAGCCTGGCGATGATAATTATTATTCTCAACCAGTCCACGACATCAACCAATACGAGAACCCACAAGGGGGATCATCAACAGGCCTCCCACCTCCTCTGCCACTTCGTCAAGGCTCAAGCGGGTCTGACCAGGATTCTAACTGCGACGTGTATGATTGGCCGTCTGATGATGGTCGCGAGGAGAGCCCCCAAGAGAACTATTACACGGCATTAGGGATTGATATAAGGGAAGCTGAACAAATTTATATGACTACATCAATGAATGAGGAACAGCAGGAACGGGGGATGCAAGAGAAGGGTGATCACAAGCGACAGAAAAGACAAAAACAGAGGAAGAAGGAAGAGGACAAATATAATGAAGAAAAGGAAGATACAGAGGAAGAGGATGATGATGAAGAAGAAGAGGAGGAGGACCAGGAGGAATTTGAGACTACGCTAGAAGAAGATATTAGCGCTTTCCTTAAAGATGAATATAAATTCAAGACAACAATATGGAGGATCAGAGAAGCCACGCATTCACTCACACGTGAGCTTCAACATCTTCTTCGAGGAACGGAAACGTTGGCCGACATTCAAAATGACATGTACGTGGAGCTGTACGAGGGATATAAATCACCTTCCAAAATTGCCCAGGTGTTCATCTCTCGGAAGGATCAGCTAGAACGGTACAAATATTACCTGATGAAGTCACCGCAAATAAACAAACTTACAGAGGCACAACCAGAAGAAGTGAAGAAAATGTTCCCCAAGTTAAAAGAAAACATACGAAGCTCCTGGAAGAGGTTGTACTTTTACTGCAAGAGCCTGGAGAAGATGCTGGCCACTGCTCCGCCTGATGATGTACAGGTGGTCCAAGAGGCTGTCGACATGCTTAGAGAACTAACTCGCCAGGGGGACTCTGGCATCATGATGGAAGCAGTCAAAGGAACACCTTTCAACCTTCACGACTACGCTCCCTTGCTTCTCCACAGCTCTTTTGACATTAGAAGCTCATCCATAAGGCAAAGGAAGGGCGATTACCGTGTACTACTGTTCGCGATGATGTTGGTGGTAACGGTGCCCAGGGAGGACAAATTCGAGTATCAAGAATTCATCCCGACTGAAAACTTAAGAGTTGTGTCCTCCAAAAGAGACACCAGAAGAACGTTTGTGCTTGAGGCGAAATTAGGACAAGGGGGAAAGAGAATGTACGGTTTCCGCGCACCGTCTGACGAAGCCAAGGATGTATGGGTGATGATGATCAATCGAGCCATCAAGGGAACAATCAATAAAATGAAGATATAATCTGTAGCTGAAGTAAAAATTGGCTGAGTAATGCAAATATTTGTTATGCATATATGGAGCTTTGTAGTACAGTATGAGTTTGCAATTAGTTTGTTAAATGAATCCACTTGTTAGCATATGAAGAAAAAATAAATTCAATGTTACATATTCAAATATTTACGTGTAGTTATAGAGATGAACGTGTATACAGTGAGTTCTGCTATAACGCGTGTTTTGATAACGCGAATTTGCTCTAACGCGATTTATGAATTCGGAACAATATTTGTATAACGCGAACGCTTGTTTGCTATAACGCGATTTTTGCTTACTATTTCTCCAATTTTGTGGTATTAACTGTGAATATGGTAAAGAAGAATATCTCCAAAAAGCGTTCTGATGATAGAATTCCCGGTGATTATCGTAAAAGAAAGGATATAACACTTGAAGAGAAGCTCAATGTTATCAACCTCAAAATCACCCTTCTCCCCCATCAAGTTACATTCATATTTTTTCAAGGTAAAGTGTTAAATTTACTGTATGATTTCATTATTAGATATGAATGTAACATTTATTTAGACTGTGCTATCCTTTGTGTTAGGCTAACTACTAAATTTTTTCGATTTCGAGCAATCTGCACCTAACCCTATTTTCTCCATAAGCCCTGTTATTTCTATTACGCGATTTTCTATAACACGATATTTTACAAGAACACAATTATCGCGTTATAGCAGAACTACCTGTACTGTATAGTGTAAACTCGCTGATTTTCCATTTCAAAAAGTGCTAAGTTCCATTTCAATTCCATTTCGGTGAGGTATTGTTTTAATGCAGGTGTTATAAGGGCATACCAGCTAAGTGGACACTGCATTTGCCTCCAGATCCCACGGCCGACCACTGAGTAAGACGCCCTCAGTCGACCAAGCTGCAGAATAGGTACAAGTTAATGCCTCAGTGTTCAGTGTGATGTATGACTTTCGGTTCTTCTATGATTATATTCCTAGTCATTGATTTGTACACAGTTTAATGACACGATAAACATTTTCTGTATTTTAAATTGTGTAGATGTGATTTGTTTATATAAAGAGCGAGATACACGTTGTTACCTCAATAACCTGTAATTATAATTACAGTATTCAAGTTCTTCTAAACTTCCCAAATCAGTACATGACACTTTTGAAAGCCTAGATACCAAAAAATTCTCTAGATATTTATGCCATCAAAACCTGGCATTGGTGTATTTAAGCGACTAGGTACTCCAAATCACACTTGTTTGACATATTAAGCGAGCACCAATGATTATGAGATTATAATCATGATGCAATAAACCCTTTAAAAAATATTAACATAATACTTATTAAAGATGCATAAATTTCAGATAGCAGGATTAAGCTAAAGCTCATATATACCCTGTACTGTATGCGAGCTGGAGGAGTTAAATTTGTTAGTGATCAAGAGATGGATCAATGCATACAGACAATCTAATCTAATCAGAGCAACAGTCTTTTGGTGCTTCTAATACTTACCAAGCACAATCATATACGTAGTTTGTGAAATAGTGGCAGCCTACAAATGTTCCACTGCGTGAATAAGTTCTTGTAGATAGCCTAGTATCTAGACTTCTATCAATTATGTCGAATTATTCATATGCAACAAAAGGATGACCAAGATACCGCAAATAATAATCACCACCACAGTGTTCTATATAATGCAATAATACATCAATAACTCGTTAACTGAATAATATTAAGGGAAATCTTACGAAGTCAAGTTGATGGTAAATTTTCCTTATACAGTACAGTACATAACTTAGCTACAGCATAACGCCCCTTAAGTGATTTGAAAAATTAACACCGAGTTTGTAATTAACTGCGATACGTTCACTCTGCAGTAATTAATGGATAAAAGTAATGTAAAGAATCGTTGAGAATAATTTACAACCTTAATGAATAAATAAGTACTGTATGTGTAATTGATTAGGTAACTCTTGACAAACATAAACAGGCTGACTGTCTTACCAGGAAGCATATAACCAAATATCACCACATACCAACCAAATACTTTCACATACCTATACCAAATAACCACATATCTACCAAATATTACCACACCACACACACCTACCAAGTACTACCAATTGGTATATAATTATAATTCTGATCACATCAAGTAATTTGAAATAGTTACTAACTACACCCATAAAACAACACAATCATATATACCGTTATCCGTAAAAGCTGAAGACTCTTTACCGGCTATAAATTAATATGCGGTAGCCCCTTGATGTATTTCATGAGCCATGACCAAACTATCCAACGACACCTATAGGTCACTTATTTTTAGCAACATCTAACCTCAGCCTTTGTTTGGGAAGACTTATGGACATTGTAAGCAGACCAGGGCTAAGATAACATTGCAGTGATAGATACAAGACAAAGAAAATTCAGACTAAATCAGTTTAATCATGTAGTACTGTATTTCTAATGACTATCGGGCTTACCCACTGAAGCCATATCATAAAATATAATTCTAGAATACACAGTTTTGTTTCTCGCCACTTACCACTGACGAAAGAATCCAATCAAATCCTGCAGACTCGAATTAGATGGTCGACTAAGGAGCTCCAGTGTTCAACAAGAGTCGTCTACCAATCATACCTGTCGGCACCTGGTAGGTTTCTCTTCTTCTGAGTGCCCTAATTGTTGTACAGAGGACTGATTCTCCAATGTCATTTCCATAACAGCAGTAATAAAACAGCGTATGTAATCATCGTGGCAAGCCAGGACGAATATGTCTAGGAGAATGGTGGAAACTGCAGTCAGTGGACAGCTGATAGTCTCCATAGTAGTGCCAAAAACGGAATTCATCCAATAATATGGAACCTTCATGAAATATATTGGCTGAGAAAATAAATGTATTACGACTTTCATCATATTTTAAGATAGCCGAATATTTTTAGTTGATTTTTATACACCAATATACAGGTATTATAGCCTCTTGTAAAAGAATTTCATTGTGGTGTTGCAAATCAGTAATTCAAAAGAGAATTTGATCTCATATGTTGGCTTTCCTTTCATGTTCATAGAAACGAGTGTGATATAAACACCTATTTATGTATAATAATGAAATACCTATATATCAATAAAGGTTCAACATTACGGCATCAATGACGGGCAAACATGCAATACAAGGAACAGGTGCAAGTTATATGTGATGTGAGAAAATATTATATGTAGATGCATTGAAATATATTTCATATAATTAGTGTAAGTTTACAAAACTCAATATAAATTCAATAATGTATGAATATGAAACAGTATTTAAGATGGTCATGATTATTGAGTGATGCAGTTGATACTAATGGAAATTCACAAGGAGAAGGAGGAGGGTGGTGGCCTATGGATGAACCCCATGACCCCGTTCTCTAACCAGTTCCTCCCTACGACTCCCAAATTGATGATCATTAAAGCCAATCCTAATATAAAAATACTATCAACATTTAGAGATCATTTTTCACCTGCAGTACAGAACAAACTATTAAACATGTAGATAAAGAAGAAACTCAAATTAATTACAGTGTATATATGTACAGTAGCTAAAACAATCATCTGTGGGGGTGGGAGTCGATATGCTCCGAAATTTTACGTGTGACTAGTGACAGCCCTCATATACCCAAATTTATCATCCATGATCTCATATTGTTTCCCACAAAGTATGCACAGATAGTTGCTTTAGCTACTGTACCTATGGTTTCTAGTGTTGAAGACAATACATAATTATATTCATGTTCATTTAAAAGGCTAATTAGTCTTAAAAGTTAACATAGAGTTCACTGTTCCGGTGTTAATAACAGTAACAGCTGGTCTTATTTTTATAAAAGTCCCTTGAAGCTTGTATTTACCGAGTCTCTTGGGGAAGTTACACATACTGAACATAAGTTTGTACTTCATATTTACTAAAGTGGCATGGTGAAAACTACAGTTATGTGCAGAAAATTATTATAAGCATGCTGATGTTTTGGATTTGTAATTTTTTCAATAAAAACTATAAACACAAACATCAAGAGACTTCGAGAATTAAACCTAAGCGATAAAGCAAGTAAATATGTTTCCCTGTTTCGAGAATACAGACAATTATTCTCAAAGGCCGAGGAAGCCAGATTGATTACTACACACCACCCCTCCCTCAATCCCCCCATCCTCTCTGACTCTGACTCAGTTTCACCACAGGGAGTGAACTTTAGTCCATGATAGTACAAGTACATCTATATTGATTACAGTACTTTACAATATGAAGAGCAACAGGAAATTAATCTTGGCACTTTCCAAGGACAAGCTGTCATCTAAACAGTGAAGTCATTTGCATTATGTGGTGATTCAAAAGTATTATACATAAACGTTTCCTTTACAATAATAGTTGAAGACCACAAAAAAGTATCCTTAATAGTTAATGTCACAACTAAAGCCATACTTTGTTTTAGTTAAATTTACTTCCAGTTTCTTCGAACATTCGATCACTGACTGACTGTCTTCTTCACTAACTCGAGCTGCTGTATCCCAGGCGTCTCAGTGTTTCACTTTTTATTTTCTCTGCCAGTTCTTTAAGGAGTCGATTAATTTCCTCTACCCATACGTCTCGAGCCTCCATGCTTGGTGCGCAGAACGTGTATTCTTTGTTCTTTTTCTGCCCTCCAAGCACGAGTTCTAGACTGAACTCTCTTTTGCTGGTGTTACTCGGGATCAAAAAGTTCACTTGGTTGATGGGCAGGTGTTCCTGATACTCATACTGCTCCTTCTTCGGCACCGTCACCACGATCATCTCTACAAACAGCAGAACACGATAACTAATTCTACCTCTGTCTGTGAATGAACTTCTGATGGTGAATGAATTATGGAGAAGCAGGGGTCTGAAAAGATGAAGATCAAAAGGTACACTCTTGACTGCAGCGATGAGAATACCAGAGTCCCCTCGACGGTTCATCTCCCGAAGCATCTCAACGGCCTCCTGGACTATTTCCCTGTCTTCTGGTGGGGCGCTCCTCAGCATTTTCTCTAAGTTCATGAAATAGAAGTGCAATCTCTTATAGGAGCATCTTATATCCTCCCGTAGTGTGGGAAGCTGTTGTGTTACTGCTTCTGGCAGATCTTCTAAGTATTTATTGATCTTTGGCGCATTCATCAAATAATATTCATAATTTTTCAGCTGATCCTTCCGGGAGATAAAGACTTCAGCAATTCTGGAACACGATCTGTAGCCATCGTACAACTCTTCATACATATCGTTGTGAACTGTAGCCAATGTATCCGTGCCCCTCAGTAGATTCTGCAGCTGAGGTTTAAGTGATTTTCTAGCATCACGTATTCGTCCAATTGAATAAAGGTACTTGTGTTCATCTCTCAGAAATTGGACAATATCTTCCTCGAATGACGTCTGCGTAGTCTGCTGCTTGTTATCTATCATCGACGTCCTCATGTAAATTCGTTCAGTTTCCCTCAAGTTGATCCCTAGCACCTCGTAGTATTCTTCTTCCTCCTCATAGATGGTGTCATCTCCATCATCAGATGACAAAGTTCCCTTTTCAGACATGATAACATTATTTGGTGGTGGCCACTGATTTGCCCGAGTTGCTACCGTGTCGTCTGAAGAAGAAATAGATAATCTGTGCAATTGTGGAGGAATCGTGTTGTAAATCAGCTCCTTTTTCACGTCATCGCCACTTGCCATGGACACGGCACCCAAGATTTCGTGATTACTTTGTATCTCTTCATATATTTGATTTCCTCCTGGAACCTGAGCAGTCTTTATCTTCATGTTGCCCTCTGTTTCATTTTCATTCCTACTTTTACCTGGATTTATTTGGGAGTCAGGAATAGTATTAGTCATTCCTGATACAGTACCGCTCTGTTGTGGAAAATTAAACGGTGACAGACACGTTAACAAAGGCGTTGCGACCATATTGGGAGGTCGAGGAGGCAACGTAGGGCTTAAAGCAGTCTGAAGCAGAGGAGAACGAGAGCTCGGCTTCCGGTCTGGCAGTGGCGGTGGCTCTTGAGTGTCGGGGAGATGCACAAATTGGTCTTTCTGCTTGTCAACGATCGGGGAAATTGTCGGTGACGATAATGATTGAAGGACAAGATGATGTGGCATAGTAAGTGTCAGGTTTGTACAAATTGGCGGACCTGTCGATGGTGGTGGCGTATTAGGAAGCGGAGGAGGGACTTTCGACTTCATATCAATCAATCTGTGGAAACAAACAAGTTCTATACGGTATACAGTATTCATTGGTATATCTCACCTCATAGGCTAATATGAATTAACATACTGTTAAGAACATTGTTTTGACTTCTAGGACACAAAAGGAACTGAAACGTTCCAAGAATTAAGTTTGCCGTAATGCCCGCCCAAATTCTTCACAATATGCCGTGCAGGTACTGTACAACACCTTTGCAAAATATCTTAATTTCATTGCAATAAGTTGCAGGGGTATTTACCATTGACTTTAGAATACCTCCTAATATCAAGTGCGCATAGCTTCAAAATGACCATGATATTGGTCAGATTAAAAAAAATCGGGGGGCTGACTGTGCCCCCCAAACTGCTTGGGCTCGCTGCGCTCGTCATGTTCCCCCCTCACCCTACCCCATTTTTTTTTTATTTCTGGATCCACCCCCCTGAGTTGTCAACTGATTTTATTACCATATCCTTAGTTGTACACTGTTCAGTATTGGGAATAAGGTAATCATACATGATAAGTTATATTTTGATCAACAGGTAATGACATTAGAGTAATAGTCGCTGCCCACCGGCAGAGAAATCGCAATCAAAACAAACTTGGTGAACGAAAGAAAAAACTATATAAAACGTCAAGCAAAAATACACTAAGTACTGTAAATACCTGTATGAAGGTCAATTAATAAATAAAGTAAAACATAACATCAAATTAGAGACTGCTTGTACTCTCCTCTCAGTCTCACCTAGTTTTCATCACTTGTCTTTTGTGCCTGTAGTCTTGGATGAGCAGTTCGGCCTCTGTATCAGACATCATGTCTAACACCACAGCCAGGCGCTGCTGCTCCTTCTTCTGACACTTGCCGACGAACACTAGGTGGCCTGGTGTCTTGCGTATGACTGTCATAACGCTCACACTCTCCAATTTGTGGCGGCTTACCTAAGAATACCATTTGATGTGTCTTAATTACAAGTATGGAGTTAGTGTTGTGGCCGTAGGTATGTAACAAATAGCGGATCTCATGAAAATTAAGAACCTCCGCATATCTTACTTGATTATTAAACAAACTAACGCTAAATTGCAGGGGGGCAGGGGGTATATTAAGTTAAGATAGATTAAATTAGCATTCAGGTGTTGAATCCTCAGGTGAAACAAGTGGGGTTCATAATTTCATAAGATCCTAGGTAACATATGCATGAGAGTTTGTGTACCTTTTTATCAGCGGACAAATTCCTTGCAAAGTGTAAATTAACATTAACAGTTAATTTTATCTTGTTATTTCAACCTTTTTTGCAGTTTGAGGAAAGTAAAAAAAAAAAAAAAAAAAGAAACACAACTGCTCAGGTGTTTTCAACTCTCCAGATGACAACATTTACCGCTAAGGTCAACGGCAATAGGAAGATGTAACGTTACTATCTATTTGTGTTCCTTTCGTGCTTTAATCTATCCAGTCGTCTGTGTCACTGGTAATGGGTAGCCATCTGTGTTTGAATAACATCCTATAATTGTAGACTGTAATCATATATGAGGACGTGTTGTTTCTGTCACTGTTAACACCGTAGGATGTAATAGAGACGAGAGAGGCGAGTTCTTCACTATTATCAACACTGATGTTCCAGTAAGTCTGCTGCTCTATGTTCATTCTAAACATTTCACAACACAAAACTTAATTTTTCATAACTATTACATTCATCGGCTCTTTAAGTTACTAAAATGATACATAACTCAAACATTTGAATATCCTGAAATTTCATGATAGGAAACCTAAGCCCTAGCTCCATAAGGGATAAATACTACAACTAAACTTGTGTCCTCACAGCCCCAAACTTCAATATAACTATCAGAGTGATGGACCAAGCACACCAATGACATGGATGTTACAAGAAACCAGATTTCGGTCCTTATGCCTTACTTACCACGTATTCATTGTTGAGCACCTGTATGCTATCTTTGTCCACGTGGATCTTCACTCCCATGTACCCCGTTTCAACTCGTCCCAGAATCCCTGGGGCCATAACCCTGCCTGCCCCTCCACACACTGCATCATGACACTGCTGGGCCACTTGAATCCTCTCCTCATTTCTCAGATTCTTCATGGCCAGGGTCACTTCCACCAGACCCAACAACAGGGCATTCTGCTCACTGCAACCAGCCATGGCTCCTTCCACACCTCTCCTGACGTAGGCAGAAATTGGGTAAAATTTAAGACGTTAATGGCAGTAGCAAGTGAAGTTGTTTAAGTGGTGTAAATGGTAATGTTTAGTACATATTGACACTGTGATGGTAGTGTTTTAGTACATACTTGATGGTAGCACATCTTGATACTGTCTAATGTACCTAAATAAGACCAACGATTGCTCTAGTGTTTTCATTCAATAAGGCAGGTATGGTCAGGAAGAGGACGACCTTTCTACATTAACCTAATAAAGATAAGTTCTTAACATGTCCATTATCTGAGTGTGCAAGACTCTGATTTTGATTATAATTGACAGTGATTATGCCATATATACGTGTTTCTTTAAAGACCTTCAGCTCAGCTCCTGAAGATTTGGGTACTAAGCATATTTCATCTGATGATAAATCTAAATCTCATCTAACTTAACTTAATCCTTTGATAATGTTATTAAATATCAGAAGAAATAAACTGGGGTGCCTAATTTTCAGATGATCTTAACTTATAATATACAACCAATTAACAACTGCTTTTCTTCACTATAAATAGTCGTTCTGTAGAGACTTAGAGTACAGGTATTGTTATTTATTGAAGACACCTGCGCCATTTCAATTTCTGCATAGTACAGTATTAAGTCAATGGTCCGTTTTGTCATATTTCTACTCACCATTTAATGTCACAAATAATTTTAGTAACTAGGTTTCACTGATAATATAATCACAAGTTAACTAATTTTGATAATATTGTAACTTAACTTAAGGTAACTAATAATGAGAAGCTGATACCACTGTAACTTAACATAACTAAATAATGATAATATTGTAATTTAATGCAACATACCGGTAACAGAATACTAATTTATATCTGTATAATTTGTCATTTCTAGGTGTGGCTTACAACAGCTCGTGTGTGTGTACTACCATCTCTACTTCTACGAGTGTCTAAAACTTACCTTAATATGTTTCGCTCGTATATTTCACAAAGTACCGTCTTGCAGGACTAATGCAGTAGACAAGCCTTGCATGCATGTCCCCAATACAGCCAATCTACAACGACACATCAGGCTTCACCAAACATCACCACTAATGATACTAAGAAGAGCAATTTTTCACATTCTAAAAAACCTTTCCAATTTAATTTTGTCAATTCTGTCAATGTTGCTGCACTGACATGGACAATGATGACGATGTCTAGAATGACTGAGAAACAACCAAAGATATTGAAGATATGATTAAACTCAGTAGATAAGAAACCACAAAAAATACCTGATTATACTATCACTTGTCTGTTATTCAACTAAGCAACTTACTTTAACTGACACAGTACCTGAATAATCCAGGTTTGGATACAGAGAAATCAGAAATTTGCCATTTAACATAATGCTTGTGAATATAAAGATAACTTGATCATTAACGTGTTTGTAAACAGAGCAATAAAAATAATGTGGTTCCCCCAAAAATTTACTGATAAGATAATCTCACAATGCTTGACACCCCGACACAATGGCCACCCTAAAACACAATACAGTACTGTACTGGATTGTGCATAACCTACAACACAACAATAAATGTCTAACAACACAATATATGTGTCTACCAACAATATAATGTATGCACAACACAATCCATGTCTATCAACAATATGTGCCCACATGCCCAATAACATGAGTTTCAAAACACATGTGCACCAAAACAAAATACTGTAGCTGCTAATGGCCTTCTAAACACAGTGGCAGGGTCAGTTTTGTTGTCAGCAAAATATCTGTAATATAACCCTTACAGTATTATGTGAATAAAGGGGGGGGGGGAGGTCTCACATACACCTATGAACAATGATAATCGCCTGGAATAACCTAAGACTTCATTTGTGCTGGGTAAAAAAAATTATATATACAGGTACCCGTATATATATATATTTTCATGTCCGAACCAGTTTCAGAATGCTTTTCACAGTATATTAGATTGGTCTAAAATATATTTACATGAATTTGAGAAAAAGTGGATTCATATAGTTTAAATTAACAGTTTTAATCTTACATCTGGCAGTGGCATATCATTTAACCCTGTAAGAGTTGAAGAAACTACTGCAAATCAAATGTTGCATATTCGAGGGACAGACTTTCAAGCGACAAACGCACCTGTTTTGCAAGTTTCTAAAGTCTGTACCCCTATTACAGCAGGTTTAAATTACAAAGACTTAAATAACAAAAAATGAAAAATGCTATACACAGCACGATTAAATAATACGTTAACTAAATAATGAGATATTTTAATTGTGAAGGAAAGAATTATTACAGGATAAGAAATGCTTACCTTGCTTCTTAGGAATACACACCAATGACCTGTTAACGGGTTGTCATCCTTGATTTCTTAGTATGATATAATCAAGATTTATCCTTATTTTTAGTCAAAATACTGTACACCCTGCATGCTAATACACCATCATTTGAACACCTATGTCATACAATGCCTCACATGAACATAACATTCATTTTCACATTAGCGAACAAAAAAAAAATATCATGTACTGTATGAACCTTTATGCTTTTTCAAATAGACTAAATCTATCATCGCATGCAGTTTAACCCTCAACTGTGTCGGGTGCAACAAGCACGAAGGATCAGTTTAGTTCTAGCCCTTAACAAGAACAAGAAGCTCAAGTACACCACAAGAAATAATACCCCACTGACTCCAGTTATAGTAGTCATAGGATTATAATTATACTGTACTGTATATCTTGTGTAGGGGGTACTAGAGTTAGTTTGTATTTCTACCTAATCTTTTCATCCCTCTATCACCATACAACCTTGTATACAAAGAATACTGACATTAGGATAATATTGACCACCACCAGATTCTTCATTTACCATATTATATGGTTTTATTGAGGAAATTGTACAAGTTTTATAATTTAAAATGACAAATAGCAACGTTAAAATATATCTTTTTTTAAATTATGCATTTATACATTCACAAGAAAACCAATACAATTCATTTGAACAGCACAAAACCTTTCCACACACTAGATAATTTTAAACCAATTTACTGTATAAGTTAAAAGGACCCATAAGAAATCGCCCATTAACAACAATAATTTAGGGGTCCAGGAGTATTTTAAAGAACCAATGACTGGTGAAACATGTACAAAACTGACAGTCTTAAGCATTCAACAGATGTTTTGAGAAAAAGACATATTTTGGAACTGGATTTTACATTTTAAAACAAGATGGAAAGTATAGAGTAATGACCAACACCTATACTTCTTGCTCCACAATTAATATTTGCTCCCAGTTTCGATGCGTTACTTTTTCTGTTGTTCCCTGTCAAGCACTGCTCTTTTCTTTTGACTTTTCTTTAGATTTTTCATGCCGTGCTCGTGCCTTTTCCCGTGCATTGTGGTAGATAGGTAACAACTTTCCTTCCTCTGCCAATATCTTCATCATATTAACAATGAGTGGTAGGTAATTGTGTTTCCGGCGGATATTCTCAATTTGCCACCGGGTTCGCTTGGTTTCTTCAGTTTCAAGGGTTACTCGAAGACGTGCCAACTCCTCCTCTTGACTGGACGTGTCTCCTTCACTTTCCTAAGAATACAAATTTCAATTATTAAATCTTGGTGCAATTTTTATCACACTTAAAAACAGTGAGAAAAAAATCATGATAACAAATAAGACAAAGTGTTTAACAATACAAAGTCACAATTTAATTTCCTTACAAACAGTAAAACTAATAAGAAAGTTTACCTCAATTTCTCTCTGCAACTGTGTGATACTCCTTTCAATAACCATTTTGCGGTCACTAACAATAGCCATGAGATTAAAGTGAATTTCACCTTCACTATATCTGAAAAAGAAAAGTATTCCATTTTAACTCTTAAACATAAAATAGTTTTGAAAATTACCAACAGGAACCTAAAAGGTTATTAAAGATCAAGGCTAAAACAGTTTTTAGTGTGTAAATTACTGTACACGGTGACTTAACATTTTTGGACTACATCAGAATCTGTGGTCAACGTTAGTTTATATAATACACTCCTGATCCTTAACATGATTTAATTCTTATTAGGCTGTGGTCAACGTTAGTTTATATAATACACTCCTGATCCTTAACATGATTTAATTCTTATTAGGCTATCATTGTGTTGAAATTACTTTGCATCACATCTAGTTAACTTCATAAACAAAATCTGATTTATTGTATTACCAAGTTTGAAACTATAGTTGGTCTTTAATAGGGAATGAAGGGTCACAAGGGTGCCATTCTCCATTCATGTTAAATACCAGAGCCCATTCAAATTTTGGTCTAAGTGGCATCTTGGATCCCTTAATTTTATATCAAAGTTTTGGTTCATATTAAAAGACCTGCACTCAACTGCACCATTGTTTAACATGCATCTACTCATCATATGAATTGATACATTGTGCAGGGCATTCAGGAACCCAGGATTCTGAGTCTCTCAAAAGTGAGTTTAGGTTACTGTACCACACTAGAATTAGGAACCTGGCAAGAAAAACCTTTAATAATTTGTTTTCATTAATACATAACAATAACACCTGCTGGTAGAAGAAATGTAAAAAGCAAACTTACTTTTGAATTCTTCGCTGAATAACAGGCTGTACAACTGTGAGCCAATCTGTACCAGGAGGTATGGGACCCAGATCTATTGGTCCATCCTTGAGGCCATCCAGTTCATAGAGGCGGCCTTCAATGGGAATATAACCCACAAAATGAAACACATCATCATCTTCAGAGGGCTGCTGTTTGTCAAATTCAAAGAGAGTTTGCCTAGAAGAAAATTTTTGGTGTTAGATGACTTTCTCTTTATAAGTGTAACTCTTTTGTCTTTAAGCCAAACCATGGAACAGACTTTTTTATAAATGTTGATTCTTAACCATGTCAACATCTTCAAGTCTTTAAAGACATAACACATTCTGAGACAGCCATTGAAGAATGTTAAATTTTGGTTTGACTACAAGGATACAAGTGAAAAGAAAAAACCTTACCTCAGCACGGAAAAGCAAGAGGGATTTCTTTTTAACTAAACTGGGTGATAAAATAAAATACTACTTGTCAACCCTGCCCTTCAAACTCAGAAAGGTGTACTACTAGAAAGGTATATTTTCACTGCAAAGAAGACTGGGAAGACCGGTGTGACACACTACAGTTACAGCATACTGAGAACTACACTTTGGCACATTGGGAGGTAGTGTGCCCAACTGTAAAGTCAGGAACCCATTCACATCTGGACGAACTCAAGAAGCACCAGGTGTTAACGAGCAAACTTTAGGACCACATTAAATTACCTGGCAAAAGAGTTGTGAACATTGCGGATAGTATCTGAATTGGAAAGTGCTAAGCCTTTCATGTGAGCATCAAAGGTCTGGGTGAATTCTTTAAATTCACTGAGTGTAGATCCCAGCTGTAGGTCCACATGCTTTGAGTTGAGCAATATTGATAGGATTGCTTGTGTGGCACAGGCATTGTTTATCATCTGGAAAAAATAAGGTCATCTCAATACTTTATCATTGAATATCACCGAAACATTGAAAACAGGATTCATAATCTTCAAAACTTATTTACTAAAGAACTGAGATCAGGAAATTATCAAAACCCCAGTCACAGCTTATCCCTGTACAGTACTATCATCTGTTGTCTCACATCCTTTAAACAAACAGGTGTACTATATTGTAACTTGATTTATGGAAGCATTGTTTAACTCCCTGGACCATATTGTATATAGTATTTGTTTAATAACAGCGAATCAAAGAAGATAATCCTAAAGGCTAATGTGATTTTTGTCAGCCTCAATGCACCATACTTACTAAAGTGATGGCTTCAATGAGTTGCTTACCACTAGGGGTATTGCTGTTGCTCATTTCACTTGCTTTCCTGGCATCTATAAATGAGGTAAATCCCTTGAAACAGTGTACTGTATTGCAAAAAATTACTGGAGAGTTCTGTCAAGTATGGAGTGGGAATCATAATATCCTTGTGGCTTGGAAAAAAATTTGTTACACCATACTATAGCCAGCCAAACTGCTAGAAAAATATCAAATGTTCATATTCTTTAGGGTATTAAAGTTAATATGTTTTCCACCCCCCAAAAATTCTATATACTGTATTAGAAAACAAAACAAAAAATTATAAGAAAATACAAAGTTGGGTAGATTAAAGTATTTACCATCATAAAATTACCATAAATCGAGGTACAGTCATTAAATAAGTAGCAATCACCAGCAAGCTCAGTGGAATAGAAAAAGAACGATAACAACAGACTGACTCTGGTAAACACAGGTACTGGACTGGGGGTGGATATTTAAAGTTTTTGCACAGTATTTCTTGTTGGTATGCACAGTAAGGTGGTCAACACAATTTTATATTGACTGTACAGTACAGGTACATGTATACCTGTATATTATGGACCTGTAAACTAGTTCACAGAGAGCCTCTAATTACCTATAAATTACTGAACAGACAACTGAACAGTCGGGGTCCAAAAGTTCGCCCCCTCCTGCACCGCAGCAGCATCGACCCAAGGTGAGATAGAAACTACACTCGCACCAGATGACAGTCAGGGTAAGTCAGTTCGGAGACTCATTCCCACGACTCAGTTTCATCATGGGACGTGAACTTTTGTCAGTGACTGTACAAAAATATATACCCTGTATGTCTATCAAGACAATAACATTTGGTAATTACCGACCTGTTTTGCAAAGAAGATTTTATCCAACCGATTATCCTGAACAACTGTACCAGAAGGCTGCTCCTCTTGCTGCCATTTGAACAGAAAGATGAGACCGTGCACAGGCCTGAAGAACACCACACATTTTTAATATTCACAATGTTGAGCTGTTATAATGTAGACAGAAAAAGAGTTATCAAACTTTTGGAAAATTTAACATCACACACACCTCACAGTCCCTAGTTAATGTAATGTGAAAGAATGTATAGAAAACAGTGAAGACAATGAGATAAATAACTCAAATATTTTATGACTAACAAACTACTGTACTGTACAAGGTGTGAAAACAATATATGTACACATACTTGAGGTTTATAAAGGAGTCGTCATCTAAACTCCATATTTCTTCCACCTGGACACCTTTCACACCTGAAAAGAAAATTGTTTTCATCAATACAAAATCAATTTGTCAGAGCAAGAGCAGATAATAATAATAATAATAAAATCCTGAAAACTGACATGTAGAAAATATACTGATAATTTTTCTAACCCCCACACTACTGTATACATATACAGTACAGGCATACAGTATATTCTGAAGGATGGGTATTAATAATTACAACAACTTCCTTCTATACATTCAGACAATTTTCCTATAAATAAAAAAATGAAAAGAAATTCTAAAGGCAAGCATGTTTCTTGTAGTGCAGGTGTTACAGTTCTATCTTAGGCACTGCTATTATCATTCATACAATATAGCACAGTATATCTAGAACATGATATTCACTAAGTTTACAGTAATGGACGAGTTGGTTCTGGGTAAACACAAGAAATACACTCTGCCATGTTCGTAGAGTGATAAGGTATACTGTATATAATTTGGGTATTATTTTGCTTTTGGACATTGTGCCCCCAAAAGTTATAAACAACTGAAACATTTAGATCTCCCTATTCTGAGCATTTTGAACCCCATACACAGCTCTTCCCCGACTTACGACCGCCTCAGTCGTACCAAAATTTTGTCAAATTACGTATTTTCGAGTCCCAACGTCAGTGATTGAGCTGTGTACTGACAAAAATTTCGTTTGTAATTCACTTTAAAATAGCTGGCAAGCTTAAAAGTGAGTTTTGTGGTGCTGAGAAGAAAAAGAGACACCCATTTTAGATTTTCTATGTATTATTTAAACATTTTCGACTTATGACCTGGATTTGGGTCCCTAACCCCATCGTAAGTCGGGGAGGAGCTGTATACATGGTGAAAATAGATAATAGCAACAATTAAATTCAATTGATTTTGGGTAGTTTTCAGTCTTCATCTGTGAGGAGATATTATCTGCGCAATATTGACTGACGTCATCCAGTCGTGACCAATGAGATATCGATTTCATCACGCGAATTTTTTTCAACCAATCATATTTGATTCTTCTCAAAGGAAGCAGCCTGGGTATGATCTTAATTTCATTGACCAGTTTCACAATGGCCGTGGTGGAGGTTGGTTGTCGTTTGTGCTCCTACGATTATTTTAAGTTTATTACCGAGTTTTACGAGAAAGACGATTATTCTATCCATTTCTTATGTATCCCTGGTCCTTCCACTTCTAACTAAGGTATTGTACTTTCAGACATGTCGCGCCCAAAGTTGTCAACTACTGAAACATTTATGTTAGTTTAAGCTAGGCCTACCGAGGGTCTGCCCACGGCTAGGGGGCGGACCCCTTCGTAATTAAAGCTATATGTCTCAGGACAGATACATCACGGCATGAAGAAAGGATTCCCAAACGAATGGTGTGTGCATGAGGGAATATCATTCTTCTCTGCCTATATCCCTCTCCAGCCTCATTCATTCTAGCAATTTCTGCCAAAAATGAAGGTCAGATTCGTTTAAACACACCAAAATACACTGGAAAAACATATTGGTCAACCCCAAGTAAAAATTTACCATGATTTGTAAAAAAAGTTTAAAAGTCCTGCTATTATAGTCAAGATAAATTTATATCTCTAGAAACAGGGCTGCCATTTGCAATGACATCACCACCTTCCCTGCAGACAACGCAGGGATGGAGATACGAGTCAATTTAGAAGTACTGTACAGTGATATCTCCGTTAGCCAGAACAATTGGTGCAGAGCAATTCCGGGAATGAGAGATTTTCGAGTAACGAAACGACTCTTTCAAAGCCAGAAAAATATCCCCCATCCCAGGAATTTTTCAGAATTTTCTGTGTATACTGGAAAATTTATCCAGAATCTCCTGAAAATGTGCCCGATTTTCAACTCTCAAACCTGAAAAAAAAAACTCCCCCCATCTCCGGAATTTTCCAGGTACCGGTAAAAATTTTATCAGAATATTCCAGAAAATGTGCCCCTCGGAAATTCGTTCTCAAAACCAGAATTTTCCAGAAAATTCTGGCTTTGGGAACGATTTTCCGAGAAAATTTCAATTCCAGCTATCGTAGGGCTCCGGGTTTGAAGGATTCCGACTAACGGTGATATTACTGCATTCTAATTCAATATTTTTCCTCTCCTTTGAAGCCTTGCCCTCCATTGGTAATGTCAGATTGGCAGGGTAGAAAGGGTCATAACTCAGATTTCTATATTTCCCCAAACTTTTATCACCACCACTGTATTCAGCAGGAAAAACTGCATTAAAATTTAGTGCTTCATGCCTAAATCATTTCCTGGTGTTTACAAAATACAGTACAGGTAATTTAACTTATTTGACATAAATGGTGTAAACTGCTGCCAGATTTTGTTTACCAGAAGTGTTAATATCAATGAAAATTTGTTTGACTCTTGGCATACACAAGTAATGGCAGCTTCCCTGATAGCTCCCACATCGCCGAGAAGTGTATTTATGAAAACATCAGAAAACCATAAGTCAGAAATTTGTAATTCCTCCAACCATTTCATTCTATTCATGAAGTAAGAAATAAGTTTTCTTCTATAAAAAAGTTCCCTATACTTGCTCCTTCCCACGAGTCTGAAGTCTAAAGTATTACGCGGATTTGCTTCATTCTCAAGGTAAGACATAAGTTTTCTTCCATGGATATATATTTCCTGTTAATTTAGTACGGCCGCACACTATGGCCTAACAAGCCTCACCATTTAATTACAACCACAGAAACGTTAGAACAGAGGAATGGTTTACCAGCTACATTATATACTGGTATACTGTTTATGATTTAACAGACATAAAATGAGCAAACATAACCTACCCAACTTAACCTAATCTATCTAACCTAACCTACATTAGGTATGGATATGGCGTTTAGCACAAGGGTGTATAACTGTCAGGAATGGACAAAATTTAAAATCAACAGTTTAAAAATTCCTTTTCCTCCTTTTTTTTGAGATTTTCATGAGGTAAGAAAGCATTATTTGTGTAAAAAAATCTTTATGTTGATGGTTAAAGTACACAACCTTCATCAGTATTATGGTAATGAATATTTATAGGTACAGTAGCTAAGACAACTATCTGTGCAGGTGGGGGTCGATATGCTCCGGAATTTTACGTGTGACTAGTGACAGCCTTCATATACCAAAATTTATCGTCCATGGTCTCATATTGTTCCCACAAAGTATGCCCAGATAGCTATTTTAGCTTTTGTACATGTACAGGTATTTTACAAGTGTAAATTACGCATGATCCCCTAGCCTACAATTTTATCATAATCAAATGTAGGAATACTATAAACACAGGCAGAGCCACAGTGTGTATTGCTTATATGAAACGTTTTTGTTTAAAAAAAATATTTAATTAGGTTAGGTTGGTAGGTTATATTAAGAACTATAATGAACTTCACACAGAAGCTCAAAAACAAAGCATAAGACGGCCATTGAGGTCAACATTACAGTGCATTATAGTCTTACCCTAACAAAGGGTCCGACTAATTACCCAAATGTACCCAAATGTAGCCAAATATAGCCGGAATGAAGTCAAATAATGGTCCTAGATGAATAAATCGGACTGCCAATCACTTCTCGACTAGTATTTGGTGTCAGAAAGTCACAAAAAATTGGAAAACTTAATTTAATCTGAGTTAATAGATCAAGTGCATGTACCGTACCTAACCTAACCTAACCCAACACAACTCAGATTAAATTAAGTTTACCAATTTTTTTTTTACTTTATGACACCAAATAATAATCAAGAAGTGATTCACAGCCCGAATTACGCTTGTACGACCATCATTTGACTTCATTTCGGCTACATTTGGGTAATTCCTCGCTCCGTCGGTACATGCACGCGATCTATTAACTCAGATTAAAGTAAGTTTTCCAATTTTTGTGACTTCGTGACACCAAATACTAGTCGAGGTTAGGTTAGGTACATGCACGCGATCTATTAACTCAGATTAAAGTAAGTTTTCCAATTTTTTTTTGTGACTTTGTGACACCAAATGCTAGTCGAGAAGTGATTGGCAGTCCGATTTATTCATGTAGGACCATTATTTGACTTCATTCCGGCTATATTTGGGTAATTAGTCGGACTGCTAACAAATATTGTACTGTAAATATGGTCACTGAACTCACTTCACCTAAGGCTGCCTAATTTAAATAATATTCCAGAGAAAGCACAAGTGGTTGCCAATAAATTAACGCTATATAAACGGCTTATAAATATTTTACATCACAACAACCAACACTAGACTAAAATGAATCATGAGATCAGATTTACCCAAAGAGAGAGAAGCCATCTCTAACAAGCATGGTATTATTCGACATTTATCTTTTACCATAATCTATCCTTCACAGACATATGTATACGTTAAAACTTACCAAATTTGTGTATGAGATCGGTGAAGACCCCAGGATCACTCTCAATGAGGCACCAGTTACCAGCGTCAGACACCACCATGATGATTGTGCAGCTGTTGGTTGATGCTTCTCTCCTGTCTAACGAACCCTTCAACCTTTCGGATCCGTATACGCAATAAACCCAGATTTTATTATATTTTATACTATATATATTATTGATCACTGTTATCATATTAAAACAAATCTACAAAAAACTGACAAGTGGTAAAGTGGATAAGGATTCAGTAAATATCTCACTTTTAGTTCTGGTTAAGCGAATGTTAAAGTATGATATATAAGTGAATTTATCTACACTATCTCATATATATGGAATAATTACAGTCATGCTTTATGTAGTTATTGTACTGCATCAGAAAAATCAGATGTTATAACTTTGATATACCCTGTAATGACTCCGGGGAGGATTTGTGACGTCACGAAACTCTATTAAAAATAACGCATTAGTGCAAGTATTCATAGTAAATTTTGTAACGTATAGAAATAATAAGATTATTTCTGTTCAATATTAGAATTCAACTATACAAAATAGTTTTATGTGGATGACATGTATAAAGTAGTGTACTTCAGTCACTGAGGTTAAGAATGAAACTGGATGATTCATTTTCACTAAATATAGCCATGAAACAAAGCAATAATTTTAAAGTTTTATTTTTCCCTCGAAGAGCTATCAGGATTTAATGACAAACAATACAGTCATATATATCAAAAGTCAGTTAATTATTTTGAAATATTACTTGTCATTATCCCTATGGCCCGTGACACTAGATATAGCACCCAGCACATTTGGCATGTCAGACAGATATTAATTCCACAGGAAGTAATAAAACATAACTCACAGGTCTGTCATCTTGGAAAATTCATTGTGTTGGATGTTCTATATTTTGCCAGATAGAAGATGCTTCGTGTTAAACCATTTAGAACAATTCCGACCACTATTACAAGCCTCGCGCTGGAATTGTTTCCGATATATTTTCTATACACTCGATAATCACTTATAATATTGAATTGGGTCATTGTTAAAAACATAAAGTACAGCTGATTTTATTTCATGACCAACATTTGTCAATTTATCGACAGTTCATCATCAATTTGAAGAGAATAAAGTAAAGTAAAATACATATTTATAAAATTACAAAAAGTATGCAGTACAGTATATCTGTATTCGCTGTTACACACTGTTGGCAGGTAATGGGCATGACCTGGCTACAGAATGTATCCTGTACCTGAGTCAGTGTTGGTAAAATCTGTCAACTCACACTAGATGCCATCACAACATTATCAGGTAGATTATTCCAAGAATTCAACAGCTCTCCAAAAAAGTGATTCTATCCCTTTCATTAATTAGTTTTTATCAAAAACATTATCCTTAAAATGTTGTCCCGGTAAATGAAGTGAAAGGATATAATCACATCAAATGAGAATGCAGTATAATTCCATATTAAAAAACAAAGTACAGTATATATTAATAAATCAGAACTCTTCATTATACAGTAAATCTTTACAACCATTGCTATATTATAGATGGTATATATTATATACTTGAAGTATACATCCTTATATTTAACTTATAGAAAAAGACTATTGCTTCAAGGAGACGTTTACGTAAAAATAATTTGAATCTGGTTTCTATGTTACGGCATGTTAACAACACGGAGATTTTATCTGGGGATGAAATTAAACATTTTCCATGTTTCTCATGGAAATTCACCACCATAATAACATAAATTATAGAATAAGTGGATAATAAAATCTATCCGGGTTGTCTTTAACTAGCGGTATGTCGCCAAACTGTACGTAACTATAAGATGAACTAAATCTCGGGGTAACTTGTTAAACTATATTAGGAACACATTCCTTATAACTCTAGCAATTTCAATTCCAAAGTTCCTGAACAATGTGTGATATAACCTGCTGTGGTGACTAATAACTAACATCCTCTTTATTCACACATGATATAAACAAATAAAACAAAAACCAATTATATATGTATGTCCAATACAAAATGGTATACTGAAAATGATTATTGTATATAAAATTAAAAACATTTCCACTCCATTAAAAAAAAAAAATGGTTACTTTATGTGGACAGAAAATACGTTGTTTCCTGGTCCCGAAAGGTAACTCCACCTCCTCTACTCACTCTGATAAATTACCTACTGTAAGAACTTTTCTGATCCACCAGCAAGTATAATGAAGTTTTCAGGTCAGTGACTGAGAAGCTTGTAGCTAACCAGTTTGTATCAAAGATATTTTAATTTCTTCTTTACTCTGAAGAGGAAACGTTAGTTAATCAAGAATTCATGTAAAAACCGTGGCCAGGTAAATTTCGTTTTTTTCCCCCCAGTATTTCTCTTCTTTTCCCTGTGTTATTATTATCACAATTTAGAGTCTGAATTCACTGGCTCCTCTTTCTTTTTTACATTTTTTTATTTTTTTTCCATATTTCTGCGAATCTTTCTTCAAAATTTCGGGTCTTCTTGCACACTCTGACGCATCTCACCACATTCTGGGGGAACTTTCGCGTTTTTGCGTACATATTTTCTGCGAGGGACTTCTGCTCCATCTTGCATTTTCTTCGAATTTAGGGGATCTTTCACTCGTGCATTTTTCCCTAACTTAGGTGATTTCTCTCCTTTGAGACATTTTGTGGCTTTTTCTTTCAATGCGTTCTTAATGGTTGCTACCAATACTTCCTGTTTCCTATTAAGGCCCCTTTTTGCCTCTTTCTCCAACTTCTGAAGTAACTTTCTCCTTTTGAGTTCCTCCTTAGTACGCTCTCCCTCTCGACCATGCTGGCCACCACCCCTCAGAAAACAAAATGGCCACAGTGCGTCTCTGTCAGTTCTGAAGAAAATTAGGAGTTAATATAAAAATACACGCGTTTATCATCTCACTTTTCAACACGAAGACAAACAAAGGGTAAACCAGGTAGCTATAGTAGATGATTAAACACCCTAATGCTACCTGGGAGTTAAGTTATGTTAAATTAGATATATATGTTCATAATGAGTCAAAGGTGAACTTATATCCTTTTTTTTTACTAAACAAACATCTGTGAACTGTGGTGAATGAGGTTACTTGCTTCCACTATACAAGATGATCTGTGAAAAGTAAAAATACTTGATGATTTTCTTGACAGCTTACTATAGCTAAAACATATACCCGGTGCAGGCTCCAAAAAGTATCCTTATGTAGTGGTTGGATGAATTTCAAAATGAACACTACGACTCCTGTTGTCTAGGTAAGGTTGTCAAAATCTTTCGTCCGTTGTGTCATGTTTAACAGAAAATCGTAGGCCTAATGATAGGATTTGGAGCAAGTGTTACGTGCTGTATAATATGTACTGTATATGGTCTCCAAACATTACATATACTATATATAGTGATATAAAAATGTTATATAATATACAGGGTCAACAATCTTCACACGTATGATCTAGCTATATTACAAATATTATAAACTATGTAACTTACAATATTCCTGGTAATATCGTCTTGATTTTCCTGGGACGAATTCGATGGTGTTCTGCCTCCAGTTTATTCAATCTTGCCATTTGGTTCCCGGTCAGTGCAAAATTCTTTATGTTCTGCAAACCATATGTGATACATGAAAGGGCGCCAAGCTTATTTTAAGACTACTACTACTAATAATAATAATAATAATAATCTGTTGTAGGTGGTAAGGTTAATGACTTTATAGAATAAGATAAATAAGCGTGAATTTCTCTATCTAGGTCCCCTTACGTCGTGTTTTGCCTGTGTGGGGTAATTCTGATTTGAGTGACTCAGTTTCCTTCCCACCATATTCTCCCTCACCCCACTGTACACATCACATCACTTTACAGGTAAAATGATTACTATATACTGTACCTGGAACATCCAGCCTGCTCCAGGAAGCTTCCAATTATCAAACACCACAGGGATCTTGCTTTGGTAGAGGTGTCGCATTATGATCATCTTGGCGTCAACATCCTGAAGATCTGCCAACCTCATCACCAGCTTGTTCTCCTTCAGGATGGGTTTGGCCTTTCTGTAACCATGTAACAAGTAATTTAATTAGGTGTCTGTCCTGTGACAGTAAAAAAGACACCACTCCAAGCAGAATTGAACTCCAGTATGTAGTTTTTTCACCTCCCAGATCATGTAAGCTAGATTTATCTTTATATCTTTAACAATCTTTCTAGTTTTCTACAAAGTTGAACAATTAATCTAAATCACCAATCCCAATTCTTCGTGATTAAAACTAAATGTAGCAGGACAGATGCATCACGGCATGAAGAAAGAATTCCCAAATGAATGGTTGTGTGAATGAGGGAATATCATTCTTCTCTGCCTCTAACCTTCTCCTGCTCATTCATTCTTTTTTCTACCTCACTCAATGATACACATTACTTACTTGGAAACATAATGTGGGTTTCCAAAGGGATGGATTGCACATACAGTAATATTGAGCCTCTTGCACATCATACGGAGATCCTCCCTCATGTTGTACAGATTAATCTCCGTCTGTATGACTCGCGGCCACACCTTCACCTCTGAAATATAACGTGTACTAATGTCTTCGTGTGTTTACAAACTTTACCTGTATGACATATTAATATAAGTACTCCTAAGTGTTGAATTAATAACAAGATTTTCTACTACTTCAGCTATTAACACAGGTGGTTCTGTTTGGGAGTGTTTACTTAGGTGCTTCTATTGTTATACACTCACCTCTGAGGAGTTTCAGGATCTGCAGTTGTGTGAAATTTCGTAACCCAAGATGACGTACCATTTTGGCTTCCACGACCTGCAAAAGATATGTCACATTAAAACATAAAAAACACTGAGCTCTGAGTATACTAAACACACACATAGACATAAGTGTTAACCACCAGGCACTACAAATATGAAAACTTACAATCAAAGAGATATAACATATTACAACATACAGTACAGGTGTATGCGAACATAATTGTCTATCAAAGTCATGCAAATACAAGATGTTTTAAAGAATGTATGCAAATCAGTCGATCATGGTATACCTTAACATAATATAACACGTCAAAATACAGACATGCACCCAATTCATCACCAGAAAGCGATACTCCCACTAAACAACACAACTTGGTCT